GCTGTGTATGAGGGTACTGTTTATGATGTGTGTGAGGGTGCTGTGTGTAAGGGTGCTGTGTGTAAGGGTGCTGTGTGTGATGGGTATGAGGGTGCTGTGTGTGATGGGTGTGAGAGTGCTATGTGTGAGAGTGCTGTGTGTGATAGTGCTGTGTGTGAATGTTAGAAGGGATTGTGTGTTGGGGGGGTAAAAAATAAAATAAGTAGGCATTATATCCTCCCCCTTCCTTCTTACCTTTAGCCTGGGAGGGGGGGGACCGGCATGGTGGTACCTGGGAGAGAGGGGGGGAGGACCAGCACTCTGACACCATCCCTGGTGGTCCAGTGGTGAGTGAACTCTAGTTTGCGGGCTAGAGTTCACTCTCGCGAGATCCGGTCGTTGCCATGGCCTCCAAATCTCGCAAGAGGAACCCAACGGAGTGCAAAGATAGAGCACCACCGGGTCCTCTCCCTCCCCAGCCGCATGTCTATTTAAGTGGGCCCGTCATGGAAAACAGCGGGCCCGGTGCTCGGATAGTGCCGGCCCTGCATGGACCGGCTGTGGAGATCCTGTGACCTCCCCTGCCGGCCTCAGCCCATGGCCACCGCGGCCTACCAGGCATTTGCCTGGTGTGCCCGATGGCCAGTCTGGGCCTGCTTTGAAGTGAAGATAGCAAAAGTGTTTAAAAAGTCCAAGAGGTCAGAGACTCCTTGGTACGGTATCTGCTAACACGTGGACCAGGTGAGGTGAAAGTCTCTCAGAGAGAGAATTCCATTAGGAGTAATAAAAACAAAAAAGGGGATGGAGGTTGTGGCAAAATGGAAAAAGACAGTATATGGGTGAAGATAACAACAAGAAAGGTAGGGAACAACAAAGTAAGAACAACAAGTTTAAGAGCCAAGAGTAACCAAAACTTGGTATAGTGATAAAAAAGGAAAAATGTATGTAACAAAATGTCCAAAGTAGAGTCCCAATAAAAAACTTGCCAGAAAATATAGCATCAATTCTATTAAGGGAAATTCTTCTATGTAAATGCCAGACCAGGGTTTTCTTAGGAGCTGTATATAAAAACAAAGGAGAGAAAGGAAAACTAGTGCAATATGTCCCAGAAGTTGATAATATGAATTAAAAAAAAGTCTAATATGGTCCTACTCACGTTTTATAGAGCTTAAAACTGGCTCGAGTATGGATAGCGTACAGTGGTATAATCCCCACTTATAGGATACGTGAGGAGATGTTGATAGGCAGATGTTTCCTCAATATGAAGACCACATAAAGTAAAAGAAACAATAGTGCTCGCAGTATAAAAAGTTACAGCGATATAAAATAAAGTAAGGTTAACTTACATTTAATTGAGTAGACAAACTGCTCAATGTACAAAAGTTAACCTTACTTTATGTTGCTTGAACTTTTTATACAGTAAGCACTATTTTTGTTTCATTTACTTTATATGGTCTTCATATTGAGGAAACATCTGCCTACCAACATCCCCTCACGTATCCTATAAGTGGGGATTATACCACTGTATGCTATGCATACTAGAGCTAGTTTTAAGCTCTATAAAATGTGAGTGGGACCATATTAGACCTTGTTAATTCATATTATAAACTTCTGGGACATATTGCACTAGTTTTCCTTTCTCTCCTTTGTTTTTATATACAGCTCCTAAGAAAACTCTGGTCTGGCATTTATATAGAAGAATTTCCCTTAATAGAATTGATGCTATATTTTCTGGCAAGTTTTTTATTGGGACTCTACTTTGGACATTTTGTTACATACATTTTTCTTTTTTATCACTATACCAAATTGTGGTTACTCTTGGCTCTTAAACTTGTTGTTCTCTAGCTTTCTTGTTGATATCTTCACCCATTTACTGTCTTTTCCCATTTTGGCTCAACCTCCATCCCCCTTTTTGTTTGTATTACTCCTTGTGGTTGTGGGGCCTAGAGGGATCCCTACTTTTTAGAGGTGTGCTGCCTTATTGCAAAGTACCTATTCATTACTTATACTTGGTTTGGTTATCTAGCGCTGATCCTTCTGTGTGTATTTTCTAAAGAATTTCATTAGACCTGCCAAACCTTTATACCAGTGATTTCTATTAATGAGAGGACAAACTCCAAGATATTGATCAAGGACCTGTTGCAGATACCTTAAAATGAGTGGAAAGACTCACGTATTAAAGATGCAAAGCGAAAGGAAATGGTGAAGGAACTTAGTGAGTATTCACAAATTTGAGCAGAAAGTTTCCAGAAAAGGATTGATTTGTACAGTTGGAGCACTGTAGGAGAGAGAATGCCTAGCAGCCCACTGAAATAAGTTGGTTAGTAAGTGTCTAGGAGCCAGACGCTGAAGGAAATAGAGAAAGCAGAAGTGTATCCAGCCTTGAGAAGTTAGTGTCTTTATACTTAATATTACAGGCCATTTGCAAAGTGACGATGATTTAGATGCTATATCTGTTGTAAAGATGGGGGGAGGGGGGAAGGGCTTCTGTAAGTGAAGAAACAGGAGACCACAGAAATTCAGTTTTCCAGTATGTGAGGTTGTATAATATTCTATGACATGTTAATGCAGAGCAATAACTCCTAGAGCCCATTGATTGTTATTGAACTAGGCTGATAACTGTAGCCAAAAAGTGAACAAAAGGGATAACGCTCAAAACATGGACATCAGTCTGGGAGAATAGGGTAATGGAAGTATGGTTAAAATCCAAAAATATCTGGATTTAGTGGCATCATGAGGTTATCCAGTGCCTTAAAACAATAGGTGAAACACACAGGTGTTATAATTGCCTATCACCAAAATTAACACTACAGGTGGGACAGCACCACCTAAAACGGGATCCCTCTGAAACAATCAGGAGGATAAAACAGAGAAAAAAAAATATAGGGTGTGCCAACCAAGGGTATCTCCAGATAATAAAAACACAAACAAGGAACAAATAAAACTACAGTGTAAAATGAAAATGTGATGGAATACCAAGTAGCAAGATACTGTTCGAAATACAGATAAAAGGTAGTGATCCTTCTGGTAAGTGGTTCCTTTACAATATTATTAGGTAGACCTTTACTTTGCAATGGTTTATGAAAAAATACAAAAATGAAATAAGTTTAAAAATAGTGCAAAATGTCTCTTTCCAAGTGTCACGAACAGCACAGAAGTCCAATTTTCAACTCACATTTGGCGGAGCTTAATCCCCACTTGTAAAATGTCCCTCTGGCAATGGTGAAGAGGACAATATAAAATGAAAGTGTTCTCCATATATGAATATACAAATAAATGAAATAGCACTAAACCGAGCAGACACAGCGCTCTTTGACGTACTTTGGACAGTAGTCAGCAGGTGTCACAAGTGTAAAACCATAAACCAAGATAATTATTTTACACCTTAATTATGGTTTTACACTTCTGACACCTGCCAACTACTGTCCAAAGAATCCTAGGTGGAGCTTATATCACCTTATACCTATATGGTTATCCTCACCATTAACTTGTTGTGAGCTGTTGCCACAGTGACCTCCTTCAAGTGAGGATTAATCCCACTGTATGCCATTTTACCTAGAGCTGGTTATAGCTCCACCGAATGAGAGTTGAAAATTGAACTGTGTGATACTTTAAAGAGATATTTTGCACTATTTTTTTTTTCATACGCCACTATGAAGTAAAGGTCTACCTGTATCTTGCTACTTGGTTTTCCATCACATTTTAATTTTACTCAGTAGTTTTATTCGTTCCTTGCTTGTGTTATTATCAGGAGATACTCTTGGTTGGCGCATCCTATATTTTTGCTATTTTTATCATCAAACTTAGACAGTTCGGCAGAAACATATAAACAAACATTCCATAGAGCAATGTGTATAGCAAATATAGTATAAAGGTTTCACAACTGAACGGCTCACACTATAAAGAGCTCTTCAAAGTGTGAGTGGTTCAATTATGAAACATTTATAATAAATGACGGTCCCTAGCCCAGCATAATTAAAAGAGCTGGTGATACAGATAAACTGGGATCGAGGTGGTTAATGCTCTGTTGATAAGGTGTTAGATCTGTCACAAATGTTTGGCCATTATCCTATTCAAACGTTCACAGTTAATCCTAAAGGAAAATTGGTGACCTCTAGTGGTTAAACTGAACACTAGAGCAGTTCTAGTTTTCTTGGTAGTCCTGATAAAAGTGTTGACATTTTGTCCTATATTATACATGCAGTGAGAACACACATTCTAAGAATAACCTGCAAGTTATCAAGATAGTCACAGGGCATTAACACTGTGATATGCAATTCTTCCCACTTGTATTCCAGTTTTGCAAGAGGGGGAGATCTTCTAATTAATCCTCTCTGGTATTTCATATCTTGACACTGGATTTCCCTGCCTCCCTCTTACACCTTGATTTCACCGTCCCCACTCACAGCAGTCTAGAAGCAGGATTGTCTACATAGCAGTTTAGATCGTATCTGTCAGTTTCAGTTAGTAGTCACACGTAAGCGAATGATGGCCAACCCAGATACTGGGGACACACAGTTTTGCTAAGCAATAAATTGATTGATACATGAATTATTTCAACCCAAGCACATTTTTTAGGTCCGGACCAAGCGGCTTGTGACCCAATACTTCAGTTACCAGTGTTATTACTTTCACATAAAGACAAAGACTGGAATACAGACAATATAAATAGAATATTAACAGGTCCGGTGACAGTCAATGTAATCTAAGGATCACATAATATATATTCAAAAATAAAAAATGATCTATTTCTGCTTCCATTACCTTTAAAAAAAAAAATTAATAAAATTAATGACTAACAAACAGACGCTCTAATATCTGGGTATAGATTCTTCCAACATCCTTCTTCTCCAATAGGATTTGTTAGCAAATTGAAAAAAAAACAAATTCACAGATGTTTATATGACAACTGTCGTTGACTTTACAAGTTTGAACAGAATTAAAGTCCTCAATGTTTCTTAAAAATGAAAAATTGACCACATGTGCAAATAGACCTCTTAGTGGCACAACATTGTATACAGGTAAGCCTTTAACCCTTGAGTCTTATATACATCCTGTCTGCTGGCTGAGCGCTCTGGTAAAAGTAGAAAAATAAAATATCAGACAAAGATGTGTTTTTTATTTAATAAAACATCACAACATTCCCCAAAACATTATGTACAGTGGAGGGGTCAGCAGCTTACTGGGGAAAGGGGAACGTGGATGAACATGGATGGAATGTGTCATTTGGTTGCCCGTGCCATGGTAAGGTGAAGTTATCTAGAGAGGGAAGGACAGTAGGAATTGGAAAAGGTTGGTTCAGGACTGAGATGAGGTTTGGACTCCATGACATTGGTCATATCATTTTGGGTCCCAATGGATAGTACTGGAGGGTCCTGAAGCCTGGAAAGATATGAAATGTTACAATTAGTGAGATGGGTGTTTACATTATGAATGAGGAACATTCATTCACTGTGTTCTAGAGAAGATATTTTCAGCCCTGGTAACATTTTGAGTACCTATAAAATACACCATTCTATGATGAAAGCACTAAATATTGTCAGACACCCCCACCCGTTCCACATGCGGAGAAGTTCAAGAAGCAGGGACAACAAAATCACTGTATGGGCTGCATCTCCTTCCAAGTCTTCACACAGTAAAGCAAAAACCTGGTTCTCTAACTTGCTGGATGAATCCTGCCTTTCCTCTTACAATAAGAGGCCAGGGAATGATATAGGGAGAAGTGCCCTTCTCTAAATGCCTCCATGTTTTACCCAGTTATCGACAGCTGTGAATCGGTTCCACTCATGGTAAGTACAGTGGCAGGGTGTAATTCCACTGCATAACTTACGGTGCAACGTGTCCCCTGATTCAAAGACTTGTTGCTTATAAGTGCAGGAGAGGGAAAGAAAAACAAGTATCTGCCGGTATAAGCAGACACACCCCCAACATCAGAAGGGGGTTAAAATTGTTCCTCTGCCAAATATAAATATTATACGTCTAAGCTCAGACCTATTTTTGTGCATGTAAGCTGCAGTTTCACACATGATCAGACATTCAGCATACAGGTTCTTCAACAATACACAAACAGAATTATGTCTGCCGTCAACATATTCAGCAATGCCATGCTAAACTGCGTATCCAATAGCCCAATATGGGAGACCCCCGATTAATGGATCTATTCTATTCCTGTTCTGGAAAGGTTATTTAATATTTCTCTATAACAAACAACACGCACACAAACTATAAATGTCACGTTAGAGTTTTATACATCTAGACAAGCCAACAGACCTTCTTCTAGTCTGGCTCAGTACTACATCTATCTGAGAGAAATTTTAAAGAAGCCAAACATATAGGTGTCTGTAAACTCATAATGACCGGCATTACAATAAGGAATACTCACACCTAAATCAGAGCTCATCGTGATCTCCAGTCGGGGGCTGAGGTGGATGGCAAGCTGCAGGAGTGTAGAACTCCATCAGGTACTCACAACGACTTGGCTCGGAGGTGGAGGTGACAATTGTTTCCTTACCGCAGGAGAGCTTCACCTGAGGGGACACAATGGGAAGAATCTTGTTTTTGCCAAATCTCTTAATTTGTTTCACTGGAATTCTGTAAATTCCAGATATTTAAGCCTCCCCCTTCCTCTCCTCCCCCAGACTTTCATCTTCTGGTTTCTGTGCCACCACAGTGCTTCATGTGCTACCTGATGGTATCATTTACTGGCCAAGTGCCACAGTTTCAGTGGTCTCCAAGTAGCAGTGATGGCACTGGAACCATAGATTTGTTGTTGCTGCCCTAAAAGGGCACACAGTGGGATGTGTCTTACCAGTGTAGAGCGGTTAGGGCCCTGCCAGCACGATGTGCCTTGCTCATACTTCATTGCAGTAAATTTGTTGCCTTCTGGTCCAGCCCAGGATCCCCATATCCTGTTGATGATAAATAACATGGTCTTTAACAAAATCATGTTCTAGAGATTATATGAACATAAGTACATTCCTTGTGCCTACAATCCCATTGAGGTATATTATAATTCTGTACATCTAGAACCCTGGTGCTCCCTCTCTGTGCTGCATGATGCCTGAGAGGTTCAAAGTTCCCTTTCTCTCCAATATGCACCCATTGCGATCACATAATGAGGGTCATCACCACAGGCTAGGGAAGTTAAATTCTTACCCGAGGTTTGTTTCTGATCCTCCATTCTTTGGCTTCTGTGTTACACGGTTAAATGGACAGAGGCGATAAATATATCTGTAAAAGAAGGAGAAAGCAACACATTTCAAAGTTTTTAAAATAAATGCACAAATTGCCATGAATGAGTATTCAGCCCTGCAGCACATCCCATTCCTCCCATACCGGACCAATGTTCTAAACATTCTACCATAAAGCATCCTCTTCCACCCCAGCTTCTGCTAGACACCATAATAATCCCACTATGGAGAGCACAGCCTGTCACCCCAATCCCTGCCAAGTCCCATCTATGCAATGTTCCAAACACTTACTCGCTTGTAGTAAGTTCATAACACGGTCCATATAGATATGAAAACTCTCCATCTGGTCCAAAATCCAGAGAAATCTCCTTCTCCAGACTCCTAACAGAAAAAAAATGCATGTAAAGAGGCAATGAAGAGCTACGAAAATACAAAACCAGTTCAAAAGAGGTAATAAAGCGCTCAGGAGTAGGGTTACTGTAATAAGATGTTACAGGCTAATAAGGCACTCAGGAGCCGGGTTACTGTAATAAGATGTTACATGGTAATAAGGCACTCAGGAGCCGGGTTACTGTAATAAGATGTTACAGGGTAATAAGGCGCTCAGGAGCCGGGTTACTGTAATAAGATGTTACAGGGAAATAAGGCACTCAGGAGCCGGGTTACTGTAATAAGATGTTACAGGGTAATAAGGCACTCAGGAGCCGGGTTACTGTAATAAGATGTTACAGGGTAATAAGGCACTCAGGAGCCGGGTTACTGTAATAAGATGTTACAGGGTAATAAGGCACTCACGAGCCGGGTTACTGTAATAAGATGTTACAGGGTAATAAGGCACTCCGGAGCCGGGTTACTGTAATACGATGTCACAATTTAATAGTTAGGTTACAATAATAGGTAATGAGGACATTTACTAACACACCTGATTGTATCTTCAATGTCCTTAAAAGATTTCTCAGCTTCTTCAAATTGAGAACGTGCCTTGTCAGCAGCTATAAAAATGAAAAAAAAAAAAAAGTAAGAAATCTTCAGAACAAAAACAAACAAACAAACCCCGTACCTTCTTCTCTATTTTTACTCACCATCGATCAATGTCTGAGTGGCTTCATCATATGGTGGAAGCTCTGAATCCTCTCCATGTGGCTTGGTAGGTAATGTCTGACGGGGGAAAGGAATAAATAAAATATTTGAAATAACATTATCATGGTGGCAATATCTACATAAACATCAGTTTAAAAAACAAAAAAAACAATCACACAAATGAGTGTGGGAAGGGGGTAAAAGGTTAGCATTAGTGCTATGGGGGTCTGTGACTCGTGTCTTGTAACCTTGATTAGTCTGTCTCTCCCAAGAGGTATTTTAATTAAACAGTTCAAGCACACACCATGATAGCAGCATAGTGTGCGTTATCGAGCCCATTTCAGATTAATAAAGCTGTTAACAGAGCTTGCTCTGTAGAAGAGCCGTGTTTTGGGAGCACTGGGAAGGAAGTAGAACCAGAGATCAATATCAGCCCAGAGCTGGTTGGTGACGAGAAGGAAAATAAATCACTAACTCTGTGGTCTTGATCAGAAGAATCATCATCATCATCACTGTCGTCCTCTTCATCTCCTTCTTCTATATCCTCCTCCTCCTCCTCAGGGTGAAAATCAGGGTGGGTGTCAGCTGCCTCTTCAACCTGAGCTGGTGGTGGTGGTGGCGGCTGCGCACTCTGCTGGACAATACAGGGAAATTCAGAGAAAGGCGGGTGAGGATTCAACGGAAATATTAAAGACTAAATCATTGTGTAAACTATAGCAAGTGCATCCATATTTGCATCTTATAAAGATATCTTTAGTTTCTCTACTGATGAATGCTGTAAAAGTAAAAAAAATATAAAAATATATATATATAAAAATAGATTACAACTGAATAATATTAATGTTCATATCAGAATCATAGATTTGTAAGATCTTTTAATGCATTTCATATGCCAAGTCTTATTATATAGTCTAACTGCAGCTAAATGTTACAAGACTGCATCCACTTCCTTTTGCCAAAATATGCTTAGAATTTTTTTTTTTTTTTTTTAAATAATGAGTAAAAACTGTGTAAAACTTGTATGTGTAAACAGTATCATGTTTAACGTAATCAACGCTGGACACATTTCCAGTTAACCTTTCTGGGTGTAGTAGAAGCACACTGAAAACTAAGGACATGTGAATTTATTTTGCTTTTACATTACGGATATATTCTAAATGCAGAAATCCTTTCCAAGGTCTGCCGGCGGATCGCCTCACTGTATATTTTATTTAGTACATGATATTATGACTTCCTAAAAGTATTCGTTCAGCTATTGGCTCAACTACTACAACTCCCAGGAATCTTTGAGGTACCCATAAACACTGCTGATGGGAGTAGCAGAGCCATGTTTAAGAAAGTCCCTCGAGGTAAAGTAATTACTACAGTGAACTTGCTAAATACAGCACCTGTAGTTTTTTGTTGCTTAGATTGCCCCTGTACATGCACATTATGGTTGGCTTCAGACAAAACAAAATATTTGGAAAGGTTTGTGACGATACCGACTTACCTCAGATTTGTATTTGTCTCGAATCTGCGGCCAAACGTCAGCATGGAAACTGCTGCTATCCAAAGAATATGAACCTCCCAGGATGGACTGTAAGTGACAAGGGAAATGCTTAGAAATAGCTTAACAAGGAGAACAAGCGATCAAAGAGGGCAAAATGAAATCAGATGTCTCACAGTCATGCAAGTCTGATTTGGGCAGGGGAAATTGCGTTGGTGATGAACCACTGCTAAATATCTGTTGTAGAATAAGATGTAAAACATGGCTGTATTATCTTAACACAGTGGGATGCCATAAGAGATTTGATAAGTTATCAATGTATTCATTTATGGTGTGTGTAATATATACACACACACACATTACATAACAGTTCACTGTTAGCAGGTGTTACAGATTTAATAAGGAGCTGGGTAATTTAATAAGATATTACCACTGCATTTTAGTGACTGAAAATTGTAAAATACAGACAAAAAACCAAACACTAATCTGTGAATATAGCCAAATTGGAGATTTTTCCAAAGTGGCTATTTTTGGCTACATTTAGCAATTTATTTTTTTCAGTTCACAAGAGTATGGTGTTTAATTAATATTTTGTGTGAGTGTAGACATCTCCTAGGAGTACACGTATACAGCGTGCATCTAACACAGAACTGCAGAAGGTACAACCAAAAACAGACCCAAATAAATTATCACCTGCGCCTCTTCGACAGAAAGTGAGCCGTCTCCGTCAGTATCCAGCTCGTGGTGAGAGACCAGCTCTGGGACGGACAGCCTGGTTGGAGAGACGAGATACAGGTGTATCATCATATGTGCTGCATCATCTTGAATTCTCACCTCATTAAAGAATTCAATAAAGCTTACAGGATCACAAGATTTAAGAGTTACCACCGTCAGATCTCATTAAAGGAGCACTATAGTGCCAGGAAAACAAACTAATTTTCCTGGCACTATAGGATCCTAAGGTCCCCTCACCCTCAGGGTCCCACTCCCACTGGGCTGAAGGGGTTAAAACCCCTACAGCCACTTACCTTTCTCTAGCGTCGGGCTCCCTCGGCGCTGGGGAACTCTCCTCCTCCTGCCGATATCGGCGCCGAATGCGCATGCATGGCAAGAGCAGAGATGCGCGTGCATTCAAACCGCCCATAGGAAGGCATTTCTCAATGCTTTCCTATGGACGTCCAGAGTCTTCTCACTGTGAGAATCGTGGAAGTGCCTCTAGTGGCTGTCAGTGAGACAGCCACTAGAGGCTGGATTAACCCTCAGTGAAACATAGCAGTTTCTCTGAAACTGCTAAGTTTTTAGCTGCATGGTTAACACTAGAGGGACCTGGCACCCAGACCACGTCATTAAGCTGAAGTGGTCTGGGTGCGTATAGTGGTCCTTTAAGCAGAAATAATGTACTTGTATAGAGGCATTTAAGCTCTACCAAGGTCCAGGAAGCCAGGCAACAGACAAGATAAATCTTGGCTTTATATGCAAACAGTTCTTTGAGCAGGTTATAATTTGTTACCTCCTGTTCTGTTAATAACCTGCTAGTCTCCTATGTGTGAGTAAAATGTAATTAACATAGCAGGAGATAAGAACTTCTAAAGTAAACTCACTGTGCTGTAAAATCTGAATGAAAATTAAACCATTTATTTCATGAACATTGTGTCAGCCAGGGAAAGTGTGGCTAGAGCTGCATAAACAAATTGACTTAATACCTTAACGGCAGGGTCCTGATCTATACACCAAAACCATTTATAAAACTAAAGCTGTTTTGGTGCTTAGAGTGTCCCTTTAAAGGGACACTCCAGTGCCAGGAAAACAATCCGTTTTCCTGGCACTGCAGGTCCCCTCTCCCTCCCACCTTCCATCCCCGGTTGCTGAAGGGGTGAAAACCCCTTTAGTCACTTTCCTGAGACCCCCGCCGATGTACCTCAGCGGTGGTTTCGGGTCGCCGCCGCTCCTCCCCTTCCTTACATCAGCCGATGGGCGAGACTGATCCCGCCCATCGGCGAGACCTAATGCGCATGCTTTTCAATGCTTTCCTATGGGGAATTGAGCGACGCTGGAGGTCCTCATACAGCGTCCAGCGACGCTCTAGCACACAAAAACCTGTGCTATAGACACGGAAGTGCCCTCTAGTAGACAGCCACTAGTGGAGGAGTTAACCCTGCAAGGTAATTATTGCAGTTTTTTATATTACACTTGCAGGGTTAAGGGTAGTGGGAGTTGGCACCCAGACCACTCCAATGGGCAGAAGTAGTCTGGGTGCCTGGAGTGTCACTTTAAATGCACAGAATCATGTTACAATGTGCTGTGGCATCATCTAAAAGGGACATGCCAGCTACACATTTTTAGAACAATAAAGGGTTTAAAAATCTGAACATTCAGGATATATTTTGGTAATTCAAGTTATTTGGATATTATTCAACTTGGCAACATGTGGAGCAAAGTCTCTATAATTTTCCACCGCTCTACATATCCTCACTAATAAACAAGCATCTTCCATCTCATCCCTCCACTTTCCCCCAAATAATGTGTGCCTAAGCAATGAGCTCATTGTACCCAGAGTAGGTTAGAGAGCTTCTCTCCAACACCAGACCCAAAAAGTGGAATGTGCCAGGTGCTCCTTTAACCAAGGGGGCAGAATGGAATACTCTTGCCATTTAATACGGATTCAATTTGTCCTTAAGATTTCTTATTACAGACAATCCCTATGATTTGTATTCATTTTTTTTGTTACAGGTACAGTTTAATACAATAGACTTAAGTTGTGCGAACCAAATATATTCTTAAATATTCTTAAATCCATAGTGGTATGGGATATTTATTTACTAGGGAAACCCCAATATTTACATTGTACCAGTGTATTTATTGCAGCCTCTAACCCATAAATGGCAAAATATAGACGTGAACTACTCTCCTTTGTGATGTCAAGGAGCCAGGCAATATGCAGAGTAAACACAGCAGGATAACATCCTTTACATTCACTCACATGCCATCAGAATCCAGATCCAGATTAGAGAACGCCTCTGAAGCTTGTTGTTTCTCCACAGCTTCTTTCTCGGCCTCCCTCCGCTCTGCAACAAACACAGATTACACTTTATTTTTCTTCAAACTCTTGTTTTATTTATAAACCACCAGCATATAACACAGCGCAGTACAATGGGTAAACAAAACAAGTAAGTGAATGACAAGGTTAAAGAGGCGATCAGTGCCCTGCTCGTTATGGAGTATAATTACATAAATACAGGACTTCCTTAAAAAGAAACAGAAGGAGAATGAGAATGTTGGTATAAACAATGGATAGAGCTGAGACAATAGACGGCAACAGTTAAGTACTATGAAGGAAAAAAAAAAAAAAAAAAGAAGAAAATCTCTAAAAACCACCTGTTCACGGTAATCTATTTTCTCTGTTTTAAATGATCACTAAGCACCATTACTTTCACAAAACTAAACCGTGTTGTATATAAACAAATAGCTGCTATCATATTATAGTGAATTTCCACACACCCTAAGTGGAATGGCTGGTGGGAGATAAATGTCTTATTCAAAACACTTCTTCAGCACAGAGGTACATGCGATAAGATTGCATCCCATAGACCAGAACGAGTGGCTCCCGATTGGGTGAGCTGTTACACTGTGAAGGAAGGGTCTGGCTCAAGCTGTACTCTGTATATCTATGCTGTGCAGTTTCAGGATTTTGGAAGGTGTTGTTATTTAATAAGTGTTTAGGGGGTTGTTTTGCCCTATTTTTAATCTTGAAACACTTGAAAATAGGCTAAAACATGATTGGGTGAGGAACAGAGCGTCCCTAGAGAAGTGTTAAGGGAAACAAATGTAGGACAAGCTAGGATCTTGCAGAGCAGAAGGACAGACAAACTGAATTTGGTTATTAGAACGTGCAGGTTGGAGTGGAGTTATGGAGACAATGTGTTTAAGATTTAGGATTTCTGGATTCTTTAGCTTTCCATTTAAAACCCTTTCTTCATGCCGTTCATGGAATATAGCACAGGTTGGTATTTATAAGAAAGGGAGAATGGCAGTAGAACTTAAGATGGGAAATTATGAGGACTCTCAGCACCATGAATCTTTTAATCACTCTCAATCTGCGTATACTACAAAGCTTCATACAGAATACTATGTATCATGATGGATGGGTTAAACAAGACCTGCATTACCTTCCCAGGCCTTCTTGTGGGCATCCTTTGCTTCCCGTTCAGGTTTCTCTGCGTCTTCTTTTTCTGAGCGCAGAACATCCACCTGCTCCTGAAGACTTTGCCGCCTCTGTACCATGTCCTGCAACTTTGCCTGCGTCAGAAATAAATACCAAATTCTTAGTATCCATAGTACACCAAACTATCCCAGAGGGTTTATTCATTAAATATTAATCTGAGGCAAATTGATAAGAGAACTGCGTAATCAGGTCCAAGGGTGGAGGTGGAGTTATACAGCCAGCGTGGCTATTTTACAGTATGACTGATGATCTCAGCCAATTTGATGTTTTACCATAGGAAAGCATTGAGAGGACAAAACAATGTACCAATCAAGGGCTCCCTATGACCAGCATGTTATTGAGAACAGAGTCTGCGCTAGTTCTCACAGAGATGACGCCTCTAGTGATTGTCATGAAGACAGCTACTAGAGATTTGTTAACTCTGCAATAGAAAAATGTAGTTTCAACAAAACAACAAGGTCTCACATTGCAGGGATAAAACTAAAAGGCCACTGACACCCAGATCTTGACCATTGAGACAAGATGGCCTGGGTGACTTTAGTGGTCCTTTAATCAGGAGATCCCATTTTAGTTAACAAAACCTCTCTCTAACATGTCGTGCAGATTCAGAACACACAGAGATGGCTTTTTTTCTGGCTAGCTTGCTGACTCAGTACCTGACTCTCCTCCCTGCTCTTCTTAGCCTCCTCGATAAACTGTTGTTTTAGCCGGAAGCCCTCTCTGGCCACCTCCGCTTGTTTCTGCATCTCCTCTCGCTCCTTCTTCCCCATCTCCCTAAGGGACAGAAAGAAGAAAAAATTATTAGCAAACAGAGAAAACTAATTCTAGATGTTTCATTCTAAAGAGATAAAAAAAAAAAAAAAAAGTCTAAAATATCTCACCTGCATGTATTCTGACACAAAGCTCCACTGTTATACTCATCTGTGGTGTCACAGCAATCTGCAGAAAGACAAAAATTTTAATTCTACAAGAAGTTCATATAGCTGGTAAATCCCATCAACATACATCCCCAGGATTTAATGATTCCCTAATTCTATTCCAATAAGAAATGGACTGGAGGCATTTGGAACATCACTTGGTGATGAAAGTATTTTGTACATTCTGATTCATCTTCAGCATCTCATGTTATGGAGAATAGTGTGCAAGTCAGGGATCCTCTCGTTAACCAACCCTTTCATTTTCCATGATTGAATCTGTTCATTACAGATAAGATGTTGCCACCTGTTAATAAACACTACACCTCTGGCAAGATTCCACCCTTTCAATGAAGTATGAGAAAGCTGCCCACTCACCGCAGATCCCATCATTGACACGTGATGACGGTATATACTGGGGCTTGAATCCGGCATTGGTGCAATGGAACCTCCCATTGGAACATGCTGCAGTACCTGTAAGAGAAGAACAGAGACTTAACACAATCAGATGTGGGTCCACGCCAGTGACACCAGCAATGCCCCATACCTTAACATCTCATTCATTACCCTTCACAACTCACAGAACACAAATCATTGCAGTGTACGGATAGAGACTCAAATCATGCATGACACAGGAGGAATGGAAAGTGTCATTCCACAGAGGAAGAAAGAACACAATAGAAGGAAATGCTCTAGTTGTTTGTCCTTGATGTCTTTTTACCGGGTTCGTCGGTCCCATCTGTGCAGTCACAGTAATCATCGTTCACACGGTCAAAGGGAATGGTGCGCGATCCATCCAGGCAGGTGAACGGCTTGGAATCATCGTAGAAACTGCGACCTGGAAGAAGAACACTTTAAGAATATATCCAGCGGTTGGCAAAGTAATATTCTTTAAACGTTGTCTGTTTGTTGCACAATATGAACAATGGAGGCAAATAGCAATCAAGGCCAAGTATTAACACATAAAGGTAATCCCCATTTTAGGTATGAAAAGACGCATAGATAACGACATACATTAAAGGAACGCTACAACCATAGGAATACAAACAATTCTTTAGACTATATTTTAAAACTACTAATTTTGGGCTCCCAACCCCCCTTTATGTGAGTGTTTAAAAGAGTAGTATTACTTAAAAGGGACAGTATAGGCACCAAGACCACTTCATCTTATTAAAGTGGTCTGGGTGCAGTACCCCTTTCCCCAATTATGGTAGTTTCTGATAAACTGCAATAATTATTTTGCAGCGTTAGCTCTTCTAGACAGCCACTAGAGGCACTTTTTGGAGTTTTAATTGGTTCAGTGCTTTCCTATGGGGAAGCACTAGGGCTACAGCACATTAGTTCCCCTACATCGTTGGAGGAGGATCTCAATCCAGCACCAGGGGACCTCAGCGATGGAATCAGTTAAGTGAATGGAAGGGTTTTTAACACTTTCATGATAGGTGGGGCACTGCAGAGGGACAGTATAGTATTCTTAGGAATAACGTTTTTTTTTTTATTCCTAACACTATAGTGTTCCTTTAACCTTCAGCCCTCTGCAGCAACGGTCTCCACAAAGCCACTCCTTTCCTTGGCTGAGATCATGTTGATATTAGCTAATCAAATGCTTCCCTATATGGAAACATTGTGATGCAAGTTTTACAAGCGCAGCAAACAAGCCTCTTCAATTGAACGCTGCAACATTAATTATATTATTGTTAACTATAGTGTACTACGGTAGTATTCTGAACCTGCAGTTGCACGTATTAACCCCTTAAGGACCAAATTTCTGGAATAAAAAGGGAATCATGACATGTCACACATGTCATGTGTCCTTAAGGGGTTAATTAATAATATGGCTGTTAGTATTTAATTGGTAAAATTCAACAAATGTTTCTTGTGCCATCCCACTCCTCACCCATGCTTGCCACTCCTAGCTGTAAATCCCTTGAGATAACTATATCTCTACAGCTCCATTAGGACCAGATCCACCCGTACCATCAGCAAACAAGCCTCTACAATTCTACTCGGCTCAACCCACCCACCAAGGCTCCCCCATTATTTATAGAATGCTGTTCCAGCTAAAAAAATTCACTCCATTACCTTATCATTCCCTCTATATTTTACTAATAGCTGCAACTCTGTTTACTTTTTTAGCCATCACTTCCAAATTTCCCCTGCTACAGCTTGTCTCAAATCCCCACTGTATCCTTTAGATTGTAAGCTCACTGACTATCTACCTATGCACTTTATATAAAAGAACTTAAATGGCTAGATCTTAGCTTACTGGTAGGGCCCTCTAAACCGTTTGTATATATTTTACGTCCTCCACTAATTGTACAGCGCTGCGGAATCTGTTGACGCTTTATAAATATCAGTAATTAATAAATAAATTACAATGAACTGCTGTAGTGGCAATGATACTTAGAATGCCCGTTTAGTGTCAATTCTTTAACAGCACATACACTACACATAATTTGATATTGATTACGTGCGATGCAGCTGAGAACCAATTTAAAATGCTAGTTTTATCTAGTCAAAATCAACTACATGTTAAAGATAATACATAGGTTTTCTATCCATTTGCAATATAATGAAATGTACAGGCAGATTAAAATAGGGCATTTGATTCAATTTATGTGGCATTAGCTTAGGGATTTAAAAATATATACCAAAAAGTTAAAGGATTACTCCAAGCACCATGACCACTTCAGTGATTTGGAATCTGTATGTGCAGTGTTTTTTTTTTCTTTTTGTAATTATTTTTGTGTCAACTCACAGTTATGCTTTACTGTGACAACAAGACCAAACTTGCAAATTGTACATACCATAGCAAACACAAGTAACAGTCAGTAGGAATAGGATAACACATGAATTGACGTTTTAGATATTTAGAGACAAACATACGGCATTTAACATCTTGGGTCAGTAACGGTATGTTGTGGGGAATATTGTGCTAAAAGGTGAGTACTAGTGTATGAAGGAGATGGGCTTCCTGCTTGTGGTGGCGTTCATTAAGGGGCCAATCCTGTTGGATGTTGGGACGTGGCTAGGCCTGGGGCGGTGGTGATTAAAAGCGGTAGGTCTGAGTTTGGGCCTTATCGCTGTGGCTTGTGCGCTATGTGGTTAAAGGAGAGTTTTACGCCTCTTTGGGTTATGGAGAGGGCATAGGTTAGTGGAATGGCAGTGAGGCGGGGGGGGAAGGGGATGCCAGTCGTGGGCTATACCCAATGGTCAGCGCTTGATGTCAGGTCTGGTGCCTGATCTATGCTTGCTAAGGAGATTTAAAAAAAAAAAAAAAAATTAGAACTTAAACAAACAGTAGCAAGAAACAGAACAGTTCGGAGTTGCAGCACTGTGCAGGTCTTGGGGCCCTTTGGGGGTTCAAGTAGTGGCTGCCGCGCATGCTTCCGCTGAGGGTTGATGTGGGGTAAACAGAGTGATTCTGGTTGGGTCCCAGGAATGTGGGATCTTGGAGCCGGCAATGGATTAATTTCGGGTCAGACAGTCCTGTGGGAGACCTAAGTCTCGTAGTGTCATTGTTGCGCTCTCTAGATCCTGAAGAGGGTATTCACTGTCCCAATGTTGTACTATACGTGTGCGTGGCATGCGCCAGCGGTAATGAATGTTGTGTTGTTGTAAAAGCATGGTGAGATGTTTAAGCGACCGTCGCCAGGCCAGTGTGCTGCTAAATAGGTCTGCGTAGACCCCAAGTGACATTCTCAAATTGGAAGAGGGGTTTCCTTAGTGCAGTCAGGACGGCATCTTTGTCTGTACTGCTCTGGAAATGCACTATTAGGTCCCTAGGAACAGTGGAGGGTGCTTTGGGGACATGGAAAAGTCCATCCAGGGATACTGCCTTGGCGGGAGCAAAGCCCATATCAATCTCCTCAGTAGATGCGGCATTTGCGCGCCAGAAACCTCCTCAGGAATCCCCCTAATTTTCAAATTGTTCCGTCGACGGCAGTCTTCCTGTGCCGCAAAGCGGCATTCATGTTTGGTTATGTCGTTGCAGTTCTTGCACCGCTCGTTCCAGCATCTCCATTTGCTGGGAGCCCTTGTGGGAAGCTTCCTCCAGTGCACCAATGAGGCCTGTTAGGCCTTGCAGGCCGCCATTGATTGTAGCTATGTCAGCTTGCAATGTGTTTTGTAGTTCCGCTAGGAGCCCCTTCAAGACAGAAATAATGACCGGAGAGGAGTCCGGTTCCGTTGGGTCGCCGTTTGTTTTGCTGGCGTGGGTAAGTGTATTGCTTCTTCTTCAAGGGATCTGTCATTTGAAATATCCGACCAGCCTACCGAGAATGCACCCATGTTAGGTCCGCTCGCGCCATGCGCCTGTCACCACAAGTTGCGGATATTCATCCCAAGATTGGGTCGGGTTTGGACTTTTTGAACTTGCGCCCCATAATGCCTGGGCTGTCAGGTGAGGTCCCTGGGGTCAGATTTGGCTGGGTAATTGCCCTGATTTAGTGCCTTGTAGTCGCTTATAGCCTGGAGCATCAGGAGTGTGCGAACATGCGCTTTGGCAGTTAGGCTCCGCTCCTGTGTAGCGTTTCTTACAGAGCGGCTGCACAGACATATTTATGTCTGCAGTTAGCATCATCATTAACAGCCAAACATGAGCGTTGTGGGCTGCTAAACCAAATATGGGAACAAAATGTATTTGTATTCAGCAGGCAAACCGTACAAGCAACAAATTAGCAATGGTGGCATATTCCCCGTCCCTCCATATGAGAGTTTAAAGGAACACCTGGGCACCATAACATCATCAGAGTGAAGCTGTTATGGTATGAAGAGGTATAAGGTGCCAGTTTACAGAGGTGGTCACAGGCACCAGCTTACCTGAAAACCAGAGGTTTCCAAATCAGTCCTACTGACCTAGAAACAGTCCAGATTTTGTCAGTATCTCCATTGGAATAGAAAAGAGGCGATACTCCGGTTACCTAGGAATGGTCTGTCACATTTGCAATGGCGCAGAATATCAAGGAGAGGGTGAATTGACTATTTATTTCATTCAGGTAAGCCCAGGACCTCCTTGTATCACAATGTCGTTACACCAATGCAGTTGTTATGGTGCCTGGAGTGGGCAGTTGTTCCTTAATAAATATGCCTGCTTCACTGAAAATTAAAATGCCAATTGGTCTAGTTAGCATGGACAATGCCAACCTAAAACAACAAACAAAACAAAAAAATGTTTAATTCACTTAATTTTCTGTTCAAGACAAAATTGTGTATATTCTAAGTGTTCTTGATATAAGCATGCCAGTCACCTGGAAAAGTGGTTTAAATGCTCTGCATACATTTAAATATATTGAATACTTTGCATGTTAATCACCAGCTAATATATGATAATCTGCTCTGCACAATAATCACAAATCAGTAGCTGCATGTACAGATCAGTACTAGGTCAACCGTGAACTTATAGTTATGTTATCTCTATGCAAGAATACCTTTCTATGCAACTGTGGATCTCAACCACATAATACACACACACACACACATATATAAAAAGGTACGCTGAACTTTGAGAGAAGGACACAGCCACACCTGGAAACTATTGCACCTAGAAACAATTGCAGCCTTTGCATATTAATAAAGTATCTGGGTAATACAATATTTTTCAAATAATAGAATTGCTGGGAACTAACCACATATTAAGACGAAACGGTTAAACTGAAGAAGATGTCCAATGCAGTTATTATCAATTTGTCTGCTTTGGTCTACATGTTACAAATCAATTCATTCACTGTTCATTGTCCTCTAAAATGTAAATTGTCAGGAACTGAAAGTGAATTCCAAATTTAGACCACAATTAAAGAAACAAGGAGTTTTCTCAGAGGAAGCAATCTTCATTTTAGCCTTAAAAAAACCCCCCCCATTAAATTCACATTCAGAGATATTTACTAAAGCGGGAATTCAAAAGTGAATTCCAAATTAAAGACCAGATTAGTTGAACGTGCCTAGCCGACTTGGAGAATTCTTCCAGCTCCCACTATGGTGACCTTAAAGGGACCCTCTTGACACCATAACTACTTCATCTAAATAAGGTTGTTATAGTGTCAGAAGACCACCAGACGCATTCTTACCTTAAGGAGATAATACGTTCTTAATTTAACCCCCAAAAAATTGCCTTCGTCGCTCACAGGCGGCATCCAGCTCCTGAATCTCAGTTACAGGAAGCGCAAGGCTGCCACTGATTGGCTGGAAGGGTCAGCTGACGTCAATCAGCAGATCATTTTAGATGAAGTTGTTATGGTGAGCAGAATTCCCCCTTAAATTCACTTTGTATTGCCACTTTAATGAGCAGCCCTGATTGCACATGATGAGCTGTGACCTTAAGGGGGAGGCAGGGAGGGGGGCTGTCACACAGACTAGAACTAATGGACACACTGATGGCACTCACTGGACAGGGAAACCCCTCTGGGTCTTTTCACTTCCACGGCAGAGCCGCTCAGAACCCCCAGAACCAGCACCAGGAGCAGCTCCATCTCTCTCTGCCAGGGCAAGACAGCAACCGGAAACTGGCAGCCAGCAGCCTATCTGATAACGCCAGCAGCAGCAGAAACCTGTCCATCTGCCTCACTTCCGGTCAGCGTCACTTCCGTGCAACGTCTGCAGGCAGCCATGTTGGGTGTGGCTGATTGCACTAGTACAGCTACAACGTTACAAAAAAAAAAACAAAAAAAAAAAAACAATCAGATAGGGTGTCCAAAGCCACGATTATACCTCTTACAAACGTCAGCAACATATTTGTTGAACTGAACTCAAATAGCAGCATAGATATGGTTTGAAAATATTATAGGTCCGCCATCTTGGAGGTGGCAATAAAGGGGGGGGAATGAATGAAATGTCAAAGCTTCTTATTGTCCTTTATTTTAGGCTCTTTAAATGTGTTCTTTCAATTACAGAAAGCTACATGTGATAGATGTAACAGTTCTGGGGATTTGGAAAAGCAAAATGCATACAATTCAGAAGTAATACAAAGAAAAAAAACAAGGATAAAGGACTAAACTCAGAAATGTACACCCCCATTGTCTGTTTTAATAAATCAGGGACATGAGGCCAGCAAGGTTTTGTACACACTTAGATATAAGAAAAGCAACGCTAACATTGCATTAAAACTGTTTATATTGGTTTGTACAGAGCAAACTACAATCAGAGCTATCTGCAGAAAATTTCTTAATAATTTCACTTTATCATTAATATTTTGGAATAGCTAAAGAATGATTTCCCACCTTTTCATGGAATATATTAATTCTTTAAGCTGTTGACCCTTACATGGCAAGTGCTGTCTTGCAGCAGCTGTAATCCCCATACCAGCTTAGGAGGCAGTTCAGACCCTGATTACCTACAACTCCCCCATACAGGCTCTGAATAGGTTTTAATGGACAGGTAACTTTCTCCCTTGTGCATTGCAATTATACATTACCAGGACATGATAACTAGTGCATCTCACATGTACATAATGTGTATCTAGAAAATATGGGTGATCTAGCAATTCTGATTTCCCTGTGCTTAAAACAGTGCTATATCATCTATGGCAGTTATTATAGACATCCTCTCTAAATTATAATCATTCTCTTTCCACTGAGAGTAGTAATATGGCCGACCTCCCAGTGCTACAACCACATTTCCACTGAGAGTAGTAATATGGCCGACCTCCCTGTGCTACAACCACATTTCCACTGAGAGTAGTAATATGGCCGACTTCCCTGTTCTAAAACCCTGTGTCTTTTGGGAGTAGCAATATGGCCGACTTCCCTGCGCTACAACCACATTTCCACTGGGAGTAGTAATATGGCCGACCACACCATATCAATACTGTGTTTGTATTGGGAGCAGTAACATGTATGACCCTCTCTTTTAAAAAACAAAAAACAATAGCAAAATACGTTTCTATTGGGAACAGTGATATCACAGGGCTAAGACAGTTCCAGTGTTACCGATTTCTGACATTAATTTTCATTTTTTAAATTTTATTGTGGAGTAGCAAGATGGCTACCCTCCTCTGGCCAGGCTGCAGTAGTGCAACCAATAAGAGGGATTGTGTGCTGTGTCCAAGGAGACTGTTGCTTGGTATTTACTGTAATCAAAAGCTGTGGAAAGCAACAGAGACCAAGCTGTAAGGGCTGCATTTTACATAGCAAAGAATAAGACGAGAAATACACATTGTAAAGGTGGGTATTCACAGATAGGGACATATTGTGTAACTTTTATAGAGCCCAGTAAGGGATAATACTGAATGTAAAATATAAACAGAAATATTCATTAATGCTTGTTAATAATTAGAAAATGCTACAAGAATGGGAAAATCTTAACATTGACATAATATGCCAGGTAGCATATGTTAGTTAAAAATAGCTGAAATGAAAAAAAAAAAATCTAAATTTTAACTATTTTTGCCTTAAATGAGATTTTTCACTTTGTGGTTTATTCAATAAACATTCAATTGTAGTTGATCAAATTTTGAATGGGTCAATTAAGGGGCAAAACTAAGGATACATTAGCTAAGCCATGACCGTAGCTGACATGGATCATTTTTCCAAATCAGCAATTTTTGTCTATATTTTGCCAATCGTGATTTCATTAGCTAAGATTGATGATTTATTGAATAAGCATGTGAATTGGTAGTTGTGGAGAATTGTGTAGGGAACTGCAAATGTTAGATTTTGGATTTCAGTTGGAGCTAAAGCAATTTTGAGCTAAAAGTTTACTTTGACCAAAATAAACCAGAATTTGCTGTTTAACAAATAAACCGCCATATAGGTTTCGGGCTCTCTGATATTATTGTTAGAGTAGTTTGCCTTTCTCACTGGCGCCAGATGTGTACAAAAAAAACACAGACATATAACAGTCATGGTAAGATGTAAAAATGTCATATGTGTTGTGTGTTCTACAGCAGGAAATCATGCCAGCTACAGTGTCTCTTGATTCTGTTAAACCTCCTATACATGAGCAAATAGCAGAACTGCAGAAGAAGATACAGCTTCTTGGTAAGTATACCTCCTATTATTGCTAATAAAGATGTCCATTTTCATTTTAGTGGGTGTCTGGAGGAGTGACCAGGGGTAGGGCTAATATACTTGATCTCATGACCTGATACTCTACAAAAGGGTAACTTGTGCACTATAACAACTTACTGCAGGTTAATGGCTGCCCCCCTGGAGCTAATACGTCAGATTGAGGAAGTTTAAATGGTGCTTTTCAGTATCACATGTGTCCAGGACTCCAGCTTCTGCTTGCGACTTGCACATTTTCAAACATTTTAACCTCTAATCTAAATTGTCCTCCCAGCGCCCATTGCGCTCAGCCTCTTTGGCCCCGGCACTAGTAAAGAAGATTAAACCATGGCACCCATGATAGCTGACACTCATATTCTATTCTACCGATTGCCATTGTCAGAATGCTTTAGAAAGTTTTACAGGGCAAAGTATAGGGAATATTAGTGTCCTTTTTTCTGTCCTACATTTTCTGCTGTGCCTTGCAGCAATCTATACCTCCTGTACAACCAAGAGCAGCCATGATTCTCTAAAGGAGACTTTTCCTTAACAAACATGGTTGGAGTCAGTTGTATAATATGTGAGCTCATGTGGCAATGGTCAGCTTTAAGCACCCCTCCTCCTGCCCAGTTTATAAAATTGAGGTGTTACCTTTATATTTATTTTATGCACTCTGTCTAAAACGTAGAGCTGGGTCACACCTCTAGATCAGGTACCCCCTCATTGATAGACATGTCCTGTGTTTAAATGTTAAGAACACGTTTTTAATTCATTGTGCATGCTTTGCTTATCATAGACGGGGATCAAAAGGCCTTCCAAGAGCAGTCGGGATGGACCATCCAGAAGAATGGGGAGACTATCCAATGGCTGCGCCAGGAGAATAAGAAGTTACATCGGAAGCTAGCTGACGTGCTTGCGGTATGTACCCGACTTATATATCTCAGAAACAAGCAGACACATTCTGCTCTATTGACAGTAAAGCTAATGATATATCTACACATTCTCCCCATCCCATGAGGTATATCTATAAACAAATAATGCTTCCTACAATATATACATGAAAACCAGTTGGAAAGAAAGTGGCCATTTTGATTGTCTCCTTCTGATTGGAAAAAATATATACATAGTGTTAATAAAGTTATTCACTAAACTCTGACCTTTGTAACTGGTCAAGTGAATGAAAAGAAAGGAGAGACGTATAAAACAAGAGAATCAAGTCATGAGATAGTTTCATTATGTGACTGCCAGTTCTCAGCTCCTGCTCTCTGTGCCTATCTCAGGGTGACGAGAAGGTGATCAAGGAGGCTTTCCAGAGCCGAGCCGTGGAGAAAGCAGCCATGAGGGGCAAAAGTGGGCAGGTGAGTCCTTGGCAATATATGTTTACCTTGTCTATTCGGCCTTCTTCTGTTTAAAAAGATAAAACAAACATATAGGAGCTGTTTAAAGGGACACTGTAACCAGTTTATCTTGTTTAATTTGGTTATAATACCTGGAGTCTCCTGGCACTGTTCCTCCATTCCATGTTAAACCATTTTCGAGACGTTATTATCATTATTATATTTATATAGCGCCAACAAATTCCGTGGCGCTTTAAAATCACAAACATGTAATTGAGAGTCCCTGGATTCCCACAGCTCCACCCCCACAGGAGGTGTGGTTAAGGTAGAGATTACACACTTCCTTGTAGCCATGCCGATTCATACCTGCAGTGGCACTTTGATCGGTTGAATGCGGTCAGCTGACACTATCAGCCAATCACAGCCATCCCATTGTTGCTCACGTTAATGTTTTCTCATTAGCCCAAGCAGCAGAGAGAGTTTGAGTTTCTGGTGACTTTTGTTTAGCATTAAAACATTAAAAAGGGTTTAATGCTGAATAGTAGAAAAGTGCCAGGGGACTCCAGACACTATAAACACTTCAATGAGATGCAGAAGTTATTGTGCCTATAGTGTCCCTTTAAGGCCAACTCTCTTTGAGTTCAATGTTTATTTTAAATAAAGTTACATCAGTTCAATATATAGTGACCAATGCAAGTGTGTCAGATTTTAAATAAAGTTCCATCAGTACTATGTCTCCGTACATATGCTATTGTTCCAGAGTTTAAATAAACACAGAACAGCAACGCGTTCTCTTCATAGTGACAAAATGATTCCACCATCCATGGTGAGGTCCTGTGTGCTATTTCCTTTTCTGAATTATTGAAATTGAATACAAAGTATAGAATAGTTGTAACATTGGACATAATGCCATTACTATAACTAATGATAGAAAAGGAAACCCAAGTCTTTTTGCTTGGGATCACACCATTTCCAGAGCTGATTCTCTTCATGTCTTTATTACATTCATTTATAGCTATAATTTTATGTTGCAATTTCATCAATGTTAAATGAAGCACGTAGAATAAAAATACAGACCTCTTCATACTCATTACTGAGAGCTCAGGCAAAGATCATAAATCATCGTAATTCCTGTTTCCCAGCGAGTATATCTGAGATGTTTGGCCTTTACCATTCCAGAACTGAGAACTCTATTTCCCATGCATAATCATTTCCACTCAGTTCCGAACAACTGGAGTAAAAAAAGTTAGCCATGTATTATACAGTCTTAGAATGGTAGCGGGATATATACTGATCGTAAGCTCACATAGGTAAAACACTTATTTTCGTTAGTTTCTTGTGAACTACAAGTCAAATTGACTGTGCTGTAGTTATATTGCACAGCACTTCAGAAACAGTCTATTATTAATGACGATAAGAATAACTAATAAATAATTACTATTGATTAGGGATTTACAAGTCTATACACCTGTCTGTCATCTCTTTTCATTCTTTCGACATCTTCTGGTCTGTTTCCAGGCGGCCATCCAGGTGATGGACCAAAAGTTGTGTGACAAGGTGAAACGTCTGAATGCTCTGCATCATCAGACTGAGAAGAGGAGGAAACATCTGGAAGAGCTGCAGATGCTCTACAAGCAAAATGAATTGGTGGAACAGGGAAAAACAGGGAAGGAAGAGGAGGCCTTGGAGGATGAACAGGTGAGGGGAACAAAATGCATACTCATCTCATCCACAGTCATCATGCCGTCACACTACATCCAAAGTCCATTTGTTATGTCATTTGTCCATGTATCACCCTGTGCTGGAAGGGACAGACTCCATGTCTCATAGCTCCCTCCTGTCTGTGTCACCCTGTGCTGGGAGGGACAGACTCCATGTCCCATAGCTCCCTCCTGTCTGTGTCACCCTGTACTGGGAGGGACAGACTCCATGTCCCATAGCTCCCTCCTGTCTGTGTCACCCTGTGCTGGGAGGGACAGACTCCATGTCCCATAGCTCCTCCTGTCTGTGTCACCCTGTGCTGGGAGGGACAGACTCCATGTCCCATAGCTCCCTCCTGGCTGTGTCACTGTGCTGGGAGGGATAGACTCCATGTCCCATAGCTCCCTCCTGTCTGTGTCACCCTGTGCTGGGAGGGACAGACTCCATGTCCCATAGCTTCCTCCTGTCTGTGTCACCCTGTGCTGGGAGGGACAGACTCCATGTCCCATAGCTCCCTCCTGTCTGTGTCACCCGTGCTGGGAGGGACAGACTCCATGTCCCATAGCTCCCTCCTGTCTGTGTCACCCTGTGCTGGGAGGGACAGACTCCATGTCCCATAGCTCCCTCCTGTCTGTGTCACCCTGTGCTGGGAGGGACAGACTCCATGTCCCATAGCTCCCTCCTGTCTGTGTCACCCTGTGCTGGGAGGGACAGACTCCATGTCCCATAGCTCCCTCCTGTCTGTGTCACCCTGTGCTGGGAGGGACAGACTGCATGTCCCATAGCTCCCTCCTGTCTGTGTCACCCTGTGCTGGGAGGGACAGACTCCATGTCCCATAGCTCCCTCCTGTATGTGTCACCCTGTGCTGGGAGGGACAGACTCCATGTCCCATAGCTTCCTCTTGTCTATGTCACCCTGTGCTGGGAGGGACAGACTCCATGTCCCATAGCTTCCTCTTGTCTATGTCACCCTGTGCTGGGAGGGACAGACTCCATGTCCCCTGGCTCCCTCCTGTCTGTGTCACCCTGTGCTGGGATGGACAGACTCCATGTTCCATAGCCTCCTCCTGTCTGCGTCACCCTGTGCTGGGAGGGACAGACTCCATGTCCCATAGCTTCCTCCTGTCTGTGTCACCCTGTGCTGGGAGGGGCAGACTACATGTCCCATAGCTCCCTCCTGTCTATGTCACCCTGTGCTGGGAGGGACAGACTCCATGTCCCCTAGCTTCCTCCTGTCTGTGTCACCCTGTGCTGGGATGGACAGACTCCATGTTCCATAGCTTCCTCCTGTCTGCGTCACCCTGTGCTGGGAGGGACAGACTCCATGTCCCATAGCTCCCTCCTGTCTGTGTCACCGTGTGCTGGGAGGCACAGACTCCATGTCCCATAGCTTCCTCCTGTCTATGTCACCCTGTGCTGGGAGGGACAGACTCCATGTCCCATAGCTCCCTCCTGTCTGTGCCAGCCTGTGCTGGGAGGGACAGACTCCATGTCCCATAGCTCCCTCCTGTCTGTGTCACCCTGTGCTGGGAGGGACAAACTCCATGTCCCATAGCTCCCTCCTGTCTGTGTCACCATGTGCTGGGAGGGACAGACTCCATGTCTCACAGTTCCCTCCTGCCTGTGTCACCCTGTGCTGGGAGGGACAGAATCCATGTTCCATAGCTCCCTCCTGTCTGTGTCACCCTGTACTGGGAGGGACAGACTCCATGTCCCATAGCTTCCTCCTGTCTGCATCACCCTGTGCTGGGAGGGACAGACTCCATGTCCCATAGCTCCCTCCTGTCTGTGTCACCCTGTGCTGGGAGGGACAGACTCCATGTCCCATAGCTCCCTCCTGTCTGTGTCACCCTGTGCTGGTAGAGACAGACTCCATGTCCCATAGCTTCCTCCTGTCTGTGTCACCCTGGGCTGGGAGGGACAGACTCCATGTCCCATAGTTCCCTCCTGTCTGTGTCACCGTGTGCTGGGAGGGACAGACTCCATGTCCCATAGCTCCCTCCTGTCTGTGTCACCCTGTGCTGGGAGGGACAGACTCCATGTCCCATAGCTTCCTCCTGTCTGCGTCACCCTGTGCTGGGAGGGACAGACTCCATGACCCATAGCTCCATCCTGTCTGTGTCATCATGTGCTGGGAGGGACAGACTCCATGTCCCATAGCTCCCTCTTGTCTGTGTCACCCTGTGCTGGGAGGGACAGACTCCCATATCCCATAGCTCCCTCCTGTCTGTGTCACACTGTGCTGGAAGGTGCAAAGTTCCTCTCGGTTAGCTCCCTCATGCTTGAATCACTCTGTGTTGGGAAGAAAAGGCCAGTGACTGTCAATATATATTTTTTTTATTAAATTTGTTTTTATTCCCCATGACATTATTTTTATTTTTGCCCCGGGACTTCTTTAGAAAGGGGTTGTAATCCAAATACTATTTCCCCAACTTGTACTGTTTGCAAGAGCCAATATGCAAATAAAATATATTCGAATAATCCAAATTCTATACAAATCTTCAATTTGTATTTCCTCTAATGCAAATACACAAATTCTGCCTTGGGAGGTTCTGGATCACAGTTTTCACACCACCGGAATAAACTACGTATTCTAAAAATCCTATCTGTTCCCTTACGGTTTACTTGTTTTATCCACAGAATGAAGCCACAGAACAGGAGGAAATTCCTCACCAGGTTAAATATTTTATATTCACAACCAGCACTGTTCCCCTCTGCAATGTTTAGAATTTCTCTCCTTTGGGCTTCACTTGCCTGTCAGTCATATGCTGCTTGTCTCCTTATTTTCCAATGCAAGGGTTGGTGGCTTTGGGTCATTTAGCTTAGAAGGTATTGGACCAGAGCAAACTAGGATTTTTGGTTTCTACACATCTTGGTGACCTCGGGCTAACTCCCCTTGCTTAAATGCTTCAGATGCTTTGTGTTTACTTGATCACACAGCTGTAAACTGCCATAATTTAACCCTTGTTTTACACATCTACAGTCCCTTCGAGTTCTGGAGAACCGTCTTGAGAAAGCCCAGTTGAAGTGTCAGGAATCGGAACATATTCATAATGTCTACCAGAAGCTCAAAGACCATCTGCAGGTGACACCATCTTAACCGGAAACTTGCTTCTTCTTACCTGTATATTTGTAGCGCTTTGTATATTAAGAGTGTTAGCTCTGCAGAACTACAGTCCTTTAAATATAGCCTCTCGTGTTCTTGTTTTCATATTCGTGACCCTTTCAGTATTAGCACTTTCACTTAAGCCATTAGTTGCTGGATTTACAGATATCTGAGTTCCTCTGTATGTTAGAATGTAATCTCTACGGGACACAAACCAAGTTTGATATATCTGTAATAGCTGCTTTTTTGTATTAAGAGAGTAAGGACTGCCAAACAACAATTATTCTTCTATTTGGGTCCTCCTCTCCCTAATGTACCTAAGTATATCAGATCACAAGCGCTGCCAATCAGGAATCACTTCTGGGGATTTGAATTGAATCTGTGCATTTCTGTATATTAGATTGTTAGCTGTGTGCTTTATTTTTTCTCTGTATTTTACCTGTGTCCCTTCCTGCATTAACTTGTGCGCCCATTTAGGTGTTGTATTCAAACTTGTCGCAATCAATTAGTGACAAGTCAGTAACGACAGGTAATTACTGGCAGACAAAACTTTTAATGTCTCCCATTGAGATTATTAGGAGGTAATAAATGCAAATTAGCACTTGGTTTCCATGCTTGAAGTTAAAGCTTACCAGCTGTCACAATCTAACTAAAAATTATGCCACCCTCATCTCGATGAAAAGAAGGAAAGGCCAAGTTAACCAACGCAATCTCTCTGTATAAATAAAAAAAACCATAAACATTTATTATCTAATAAAGAGCATCTAAAGTGTCACGCTATTCACCATAACTATTACAGTGCACTGTATTGTTTTTTGCTGCTGGGAATCCCCTTGTGCGTCCCACGGTGGGTTGTCAAACCGTTTAAAGTTGCTGTGGCAATGAATTGAAAAATGTTTATTGATGTATGTCCGATTTGCAAAATAGTAAAGCTACGTGGTGGTAGGTACCAGTGGAGTCAGACATGAATAGTGTGCAGAATGTTAAGCACAACTGTTCATCACGGAAACCTATATACAGGCATATATAATAAAAATATATATTTTCGCTGCAGGAGGAGAGTTTCACTTTTCAATCCCAACTTGATCTCCTGGAGGCCGAGATTCTAAAGCAGAGACAAGAGCTAAAAGAGCTTCAGGCAATGAACAAGGGCGCAGTGATGGCACGGGACACAGCTCGGGTATGTAACACATTTTGTTATACAGGGAAGTTGATGCAGCCAACCCCAGGTTGAGATGTTAGGAATGCCCACATGATTTTTTATTTTTTTTTGACAATCTTTATCCCACATGATTATTTATGTTTGTTATATCACATACAGAACAATGTGTTTTGCCTCTGCAGTCTGAACTTCTGCGTCAGGAGGAAGAGCTTCATCGGGAACGACGGGAGAGGGATCGCATCCTTCAGGAATACAAGAGGCAGGCGGAGGAGAGGCGCATGCATGCTGAACGGGCGGAGAGGAGGGTGAGTTATAGCTCATGCTCATGGTTCATTGGTATATGACATTGTTTAATCAACTAAATATAAACTTCTTCCTGTTACGAAACTCCTTGTTCCACCAATGAGAGACAATCTCCTTCACCTTGTTCCACCAATGAGAGCCAATCTCTTCGCTTTGTTCCACTAACAAGAGACAATCTAATTATTTCCATCTGATTATTCCAAACACTTTTTATAACTGGAAGACTTCACATCTTTTACTAGCGGACACCTGCAGCTATCTTCATCAAGCCTTCTTTCTCCTCCTAACCTGTTTGAGACTGGATTCGAAAACATTCTTTGTCCCATCTAAATGATTGAAATTACTGACAAGGTCACAGTTTTCGGATATTTTCTTCTTTCCTTTCTCCCACAGGCTCAACGGGTAATTCTGCAAGGGGACGATGCTCCAGTGGAGACTCAGTTGGCCTCAAATGGGCAAGAGGAAGAGAAAGTTATTCATACTTATCAGGAGGCCTTCCAGAGGATTAAGGATGCCACGGGGGTTACTGACACTCAGGTGAGAGGTCATGATGCTGGAACCTGTGAACCTAATGTGTAATATTTTTAAGCTTCAAAAACTGTTTGTGTGATGTCCCACACCGGATTCTCTCAGAATTTTGAGTTTGAAGATGTAGGTGCTTTTGATTGTTGCCTTATTTTTGTGGATCATATATACATATATGTACAGGGCTTAAAATTTCGACTCAACTGGGCTAAATATTCACCCGCAAGTGGAAATTTTGAGCACTGAAATATTTATATAAATGTGTATGTATGGATTCATCCTAGGTCCAACTATTTGTTGATGTCCTCTATTGAACAAGGATGAGCCTATGGCCAGATTACCAGGTTTTCACTGTTTATTTAACAGAACACTTCGCACAAAGCTTGCTGAAGTACTTTGTGTCTGGAGTCAGTCATATTTGTGCACTTTCATAATTGAAAAACCACAACATCTACCTGGCTGTCACTCAGAGCTAACAGGAAGTTTAGGAAGTATTTTCGATCTCCAGATCTAGCTGGAGCCACAAGCAGATACACTACAATCATGTTTACATGTTCCATGTCCCCACTTTCTGAATAGTTCATGTAGACAATCGACCTGATCCAGTAAATCAAGGTCATCTCAGAACTAATTAGTAGTTAAAATACTGGTCACTGGGTGATTTTCGATTGGATCTGTGAACCCACTATTTGAACTGAATCACTAAAACATTGGGGGGGAGACGTATCGAAATGTTCTGATAAGTGTAGTTTAGTTATTTAGCATGTTTTTATTTTTTAGATTGTTGTAAACATGACTTTTTTTCACAGAAATATCTATTTTAGAAAAGGCCATCGAATTTAGAGTGACAGAAAAAAGACATGTTAAACAGAACACTTTTCTAGCAAAACCAAGTGAAGACATATTGATAAATTTGTTGCATTGCCCCCAAAATGGCAGGAATTCAGAAATGAGCGTTAAGAAGCAACAGGTGGAAATCCTGACAGTTTTGTACTCATAACACTATAGTGTTCCTTTAAGCAGATTTGATAAAGTTTATAATTGGTGGAGAGCTGCTCTAATAAATTATCCCCAAAATGTACACCAAACAAAGGCCCAAAACTGTGTGTGATACTTTGATTAGTTTCCAGTTTTGAGGTAAGTGTGAAGGACAGGAAACACAATGGTAACGTTACTACTTTCATATTTCTTTCACTTGTAGGAGGTAGTAAGTCGCTTCATAGCACAGGGGGAAACCCACAGGCACCTGGAACAGCTAAAGAGTGAAAATGAAAAGACTCTAGTAAGGCTGAAAGATGAGAAGGAGAGGCTGCAGGACGCTTTCCAGGAACTCAAATACTCAGGAGAGGCCAAACTGTCCAGGTACGGTACTTTCTTTCCATATACACTGCATATAAAATGGAGCTCATAACAGGATGGCGGAGATGTGACAGATACCAACAATTGTTTTCTCTCCCATATATCAGTCTCCATATTTAGGGCATATTATTGTGTTTAAAACATAATTTCTTTCTTTGTAGCCTTTGTTTTGTCCATAGAGGGGCTAAAAGAATTCTACTAATTTCAAATCCTACAACCCAGCATGCTTTGTCACACTCTGCACGAGTCACTCAGGAGAAAGAAAAGTAGCCATTATTGAGGTTCCCATTAAAATGTTTGAATGTCTGCAGAATACCAAGACAGAATTATTTTTCCCTAATATTATTATTTTTCCCCTCTCCATTTTGTGATATGGTGGGAGAGGTGCTAGGTAGAGAGAATCTCTGTCTCCTTGAGAGGGACTCCTTGAATTAATAGCAACAGATGGAGAGGTCAGCTGCCTGCCTCAGTTTTGTGGGCATTACACTTTTATAACATCAACCTCTGGTCTGCCCTTGCTTCTCCCACAGTCTTCATTGATTTGCCCTGTGTGGGGACATTTCCTTAATCAGGGCAAACCTCCTGTGTGATGCCAACATGCTGGCTTCGTAGGTGAGTGATGTCAGTCACTGGCTAGGGAGTTACCATAGCAACCGCAGCACTTGCTCTCTGGTTGCTATGTGTGGAGAGCAGAATGATCGCCTGTGGGAGGTCTCTAATGCTCTCTTTATCAATAAACCTGGGAGACAAACCTGGGAGAAAGGTTTGTCTCCCAATCTATACATTCGCTAACAAAACTGCTAGCTCAATGTTTAGATTAAATTTTATGCTCTTTCAAAAGAGAATATGTTGTACATACCATGACAGTAACCTTTTAATGTATTCATAGGGGTTCTCCACATCTAAAACCCTTTGGTAATTTGAGATTCAGGGATATTTCCAGCAGGCCATATCAGCCTTGTATAATACATACACAAGGGGAAGGCACACATGCAAATGGTGGGCAGTTGTTGGCTGTCAAGGGTCTGGGGCAGTGACACTCTGTACAATAATATGTAGAAATGGGTAAGGCACAAAATTACCATCTGAAGGCAGTTTTATTTGGACAGAAAAGCAGTATTTGGTCAGTAACGAGAGCCTTTATCAAGCCATGTCACTTTCTACATGTATTGTTGTATGGTGTGTGGTCACCTCAGACAGTTTGACACCTGACAATTGTCCCCTCATTTGTACATGTGACAATTGTCAGGTGTCAAACTGTCTGCACTGTTTGCATTTTAATGGGCTGATACGGCTTAAAAGAAATGCTGCCTGGCCCTCTTCTACCTAATATCAGTATTTTGTATTTCCCCACTTAGGTGTCATAGTTTTATTGCTTAGATTGTCTCTTTTAAGGCCTTGAAAACTACACAAAATAAGTATTTCTTTGTTTTTATGTTCCACGTATGACTTCCTTACAATTCTGTAATCAGACCATAACCATGACCGTGTGTATTTCATACATTGATATTCTTTATTCTCCCTAATAGTGGACAACAAGTTTTAGACGAGCTCCAGATGCACCTACAGATGGAAGAGAAGAAACGTGACACATCCAAGGAAGATCTAGATAGAATGTCTAAGATCCTGAGCTCAGCAAAAGCAGGAGTGGAGCATCTAGCAAACAAAGTGCAGCACATCAAGGTGGTAAGTAGAGCAAAGAGGCGCTCAGGAGCCGGGTTACTGTAATAAGATGTTACAGGGTAATAAGGCGCTCGGGAGCCGGGTTACTGTAATAAGATGTTGCAGGGTAATAAGGCACTCAGGAACCGGGTTACTGTAATAAGATGTTACTGGGTAATAAGGCACTCAGGAGCCGGGTTACTGTAATAAGATGTTACGGGGTAATAAGGCACTCAGGAGCCGGGTTACTGTAATAAGATGTTACAGGGTTAATAAGGCACTTAGGAGCCGGGTTACTGTAATAAGATGTTACAGGGTAATAAGGCACTCAGGAGCCGGGTTACGGTAATAAGATGTTACAGGGTAATAAGGCACTCAGGAGCCGGGTTACTGTAATAAGATGTTACAGGGTAATAAGACACTCAGGAGCCGGGTTATTGTAATAAGATGTTACAGGGTAATAAGGCACTCAGGAGCAGGGTTACTGTAATAAGATGTTACAGGGTAATAAGGCACTCAGGAGCAGGGTTACTGTAATACGATGTTACATGGTAATAAGGCACTCAGGAGCCAGGTTACTGTAATAAGATGTTACAGGGTAATAAGGCACTCAGGAGCCAGGTTACTGTAATAAGATGTTACAGGGTAATAAGGCACTCAGGAGCCGGGTTACTGTAATAAGATGTTACAGGGTAATAAGGCACTCAGGAGCCGGGTTACTGTAATAAGATGTTACAGGGTAATAAGGCACTCAGGAGCCGGGTTACTGTAATAAGATGTTACAGGGTAATAAGGCACTCGGGAGACAGGTTACTGTAATAAGATGTTAGAGGGTAATAAGGCACTCAGGAGCTGGGTTACTGTAATAAGATGTTACAGGGTAATAAGGCGCTCAAGGAGCCGGGTTACTGTAATAAGATGTTACAGGGTAATAAGGCATTCAGCAGTTGGGGGCTGTTACATGGGTTGCGTTATTGATTGGTGTGTTTCTCTGCAGCCAAGAAGTCACTATCCTGCTCCTGATCTGTCACCACTATCAGATGAGTATGTTCTAGATCTTTTGTCCATCACTGAAGAAAAGCTGCAGAAATTGTTGGAGGAGTTGGATGGTCAGGATCTTGGAGAAGTTGTGAAACAGATGGAGGAAGAGGAGGTTAGTAAAAGTGGTAAAAGGTCTTTGTGATATTTTTTTATTACATGTATACTGAAGGATAACTGGTGGAGATCGTTTTCATCTGCAATATAAGAAAGGGTTTTGACTTGGTCATCAGATAACAGGCAATAGAATAGACTTCTCCACCTCCATGATGAATAGATTTAGTAACTATGTCTCTCTTTATGTTTGAACAATGAAAACCTCCAACTTTCAAATCTAATTATACCATTTTATTTTGCAATTTATATTTTTATTGAAGTATCAGATGAACACTACATGCTATGATAATGCAATAGGTATGCATACTATTTTTTCCCATTCTTTTTTTAAGCTCGAACAGTAGGTATATCAAAATAGAATTGACAATAGATAACAATACAAAAAAAAGTAACGATAAATTACACATCAACCAAGACTGTATAGACCAAATTAACCCCTTAAGGACACATGACATGTGTGACATGTCATGATTCCCTTTTATTCCAGAAGTTTGGTCCTGTACACTATAGTTTCCAGAACAGCTGTAGCTTAAAGGGACACTATAGTCACCTGAACAACTTTAGCTTAATGAAGCAGTTTTGGTGTATAGAACATGCCCCTGCAGCCTCACTGCTCAATCCTCTGCCATTTAGGAGTTAAATCCCTTTGTCACACCTCCCTGCATGTGACTTGCACAGCCTTCCATAAACACTTCCTGTAAAGAGAGCCCTATTTAGGCTTTCTTTATTGCAAGTTCTATTTAATTAAGATTTTCTTATCCCCTGCTATGTTAATAGCTTGCTAGACCCTGCAAGATCCTCCTGTATGTGATTAAAGTTCAATTTAGAGATTGAGATACAATTATTTAAGGTAAATTACATCTGTTTGAAAGTGAAACCAGTTTTTCTTTTCATGCAGGCTCTGTCAATCATAGCCAGGGGAGGTGTGGCTAGGGCTGCATAAACAGAAACAAAGTGATTTAACTCCTAAATGACAGTGAATTGAGCAGCGAAATTGCAGGGGAATGATCGATACACTAAAACTGCTTAATTAAGCTAAAGTAATTTAGGTGACTATAGTGTCCCTTTAATAGCTAAATGGGTTTAGCACTGTAGGGTCAGGAATACATGTTTTGTTCTTGACCCTATACTGATCCTTTAATATAACAAAACACTATAACAAAAATCATGGTGCGAAAGGTACTACCACCCTGCAAATTTTGAGTGGAAGCATGGGAGAGATGGGACCAATACACAGAATCGAACAATACCCTACACTCAATTTACAAAGCCAACCTCAATGTCAATTGAAGGCAAAACTTCAGAGGACCGACTCCAACAGCTGTGTTTATCCCACCCAAACACAAATGTACAAGGTAATTCTTGGAAAGGCAAAGATGAAACTAGTATATATTATACATTTCTATCAATAGCAACCTGGTACCAACCAACCAACCAGATACACAAACCGGACCCTAGACAAAGGCCTAGTACCCTAGATCGGATATTTTTTGCCCCATATCCAGGTAAAATGTAAACTTTTAAAACTTTAAAAAAAAAATTTCATGTTTGTACAGTCGCACAACTTACACCAATAAACCTAACCTCTGGTCTGGAGTTACAACTCTAGTAAGCATCTCAACCATGAGCCTAAACCATTATATTGTACTCAGTACCTGGGAAGTTCAGGGACTTCTGAAAGTACAATTCATATTTTTAGCTCAGATGATGCATAACACCATGTAGTAACTTATAAGCACCCCTAATAAATATGGGTAGGAAAACTAAAAAGCTAAAACCCAAGAGACGAGGTATGAATATAGGAGACCTTCTCCACCAAGCACATGGTGCATATGGGCCCAAGATGGCCGCCGACCTGGAAGATTCTCGGACAACTCGGATGAGTTGTCCCCAGAAGAAGAGGGAGGCAGACAGATGCTGACATCACATCCTCAAGTCATACCCAAGTCCAGAGACTCAAGACCCATGACGGCAGAAATGCTCCAGAACATGCTGGGGGCTCTCCAGAGGTCAATCAATGCAGATGTTGCCCTGCTCCTCACCAACATCAAGGGCCTAGTTGGCCGCTTAGGAACAGTGAAAGCCACCTCCGAGCAGCACACTAGAACCATTGCTCAGCTCCAGCTGGACATCCAAAAGCTTACCAAGCGACAATCGGCCTCTGACCAATGCTTTGCCACGCTGGAAGACTTGAGACGCCGCAATAACTTGAATGTCCGGGGAATTCCGGAAGACTTTCTCAATGCAGAGCTCCCGCATCTCCTACGGAGACTCCTGGCACAACTAATAGAGCCTGAACAGGTCAGAAATTTAAACCTCAACCAAATCTTAAGGGGCCCGAAACCCTGGAAGGCGCCTAAATCATCCCAAAGAATGCAACACCAGAAGCATATGCAGCAGTAACTACATGAAGCTGAGGGATTGCGGCTTGAGTCTTACTCCACGATTGCATGGGACTTACACTAATTGCGAAGTTGGTTATATTTTTCTTCCTGAACCCTTCTCTTTAATTTCCTGCTGGTCAACCAGCCCAAAACACAGGTCAGATACACTTATGCTCAACCTGGCCATAAGCCAGGTTGTCCCATCCCTCCCCCCCACCTCTGGCACCATGGACCCCTGAATCCGATTACTACAGAGTTCTAGAGGTGTAAATCAGTACAGGCTCGAGGAAGATCCCCAACAACGCCATCCAGATAATGTGTTCCTGCTCTCCTTATACTTGCATGTAATCAGTCAGCTCAGCCATATTGGGCCATTTGATCTCCTCCAAGGGGTTGGACCCATAGAAGGCCAGCTGCATCCTCATCTCCGAGTCTGCATTGCTGGATAGGCCAAAGTCCGTGATAACCTCCTCCCAGATCAGTTGCATTAGCTCTTCTGATGGATTGGCTCAGAACAAAGCCAATCACTCTGGGACTCTTCTCTGGATTTCCTCCTCTGACAAGGACACTGCATGAAGAAAAGATAAGAAAAGAAACAATAGAAGATAAGAGAAGGAAAAGTAGGGTTGTCGCGGAAGGAGAATAGAGTGGCACCCAGACAGCCCCGCACGCATACACATGCTCCTCAGAATGCACGTCTGTCCCTCCTAAAACGCCAGTTAGCCGTTGGCGGTGAACAAGGTCTATGTCTCTTTTTGTTACCTAACTGTCTCTAAAGAAGGTCTCTCAAGGCCTTGGTGCATACTACATTTATAAACACAGTAAAACATTGGTAAACTTGTTAGGTGTATATCTTTTATTAGGGCTAACAGATACTGTTTATTACATGTAATTATCTTCCAGTAGGAGAGGCCATTCTAGCAAGGCTAGGTCAGAGTTTTATCTGACAGTTATTCTACATTTCATCAATAAAAACAAAGAAAGTAATAACAGAAGCGGGATAGGCCGTAGATGACCTTGATGTGGCCGTAGATTGACTGCCCCCATGGCAGAAGGGATAGATCATATCCATGTTCCAGTCTGTTTTGTAAGGGTTCTTGCCATGCTCTGGAACTGACATGTTGAGTAATGAGAGTCCCAGCATACAGGGAGTGCAGAATTATTAGGCAAGTTGTATTTTTGAGGATTAATTTTATTATCGAACAACAACCATGTTCTCAATGAACCCAAAAAACTCATTAATATCAAAGCTGAATATTTTTGGAAGTAGTTTTTAGTTTGTTTTTAGTTTTAGCTATGTTAGGGGGATATCTGTGTGTGCAGGTGACTATTACTGTGCATAATTATTAGGCAACTTAACAAAAAACAAATATATACCCATTTCAATTATTTATTATTACCAGTGAAACCAATATAACATCTCAACATTCACAAATATACATTTCCGACATTCAAAAACAAAACAAAAACAAATCAGTGACCAATATAGCCACCTTTCTTTGCAAGGACACTCAAAAGCCTGCCATCCATGGATTCTGTCAGTGTTTTTGATCTGTTCACCATCAACATTGCGTGCAGCAGCAACCACAGCCTCCCAGACACTGTTCAGAGAGGTGTACTGTTTTCCCTCCTTGTAAATCTCACATTTTGATGATGGACCACAGGTTCTCAATGGGGTTCAGATCAGGTGAACAAGGAGGCCATGTCATTAGATTTTCTTCTTTTATACCCTTTCTTGCCAGCCACGCTGTGGAGTACTTGGACGCGTGTGATGGAGCATTGTCCTGCATGAAAATCATGTTTCTTGAAGGATGCAGACTTCTTCCTGTACCACTGCTTGAAGAAGGTGTCTTCCAGGAACTGGCAGTAGGGCTGGGAGTTGAGCTTGACTCCATCCTCAACCCGAAAAGGCCCCACAAGCTCATCTTTGATGATACCAGCCCAAACCAGTACTCCACCTCCACCTTACTGGCGTCTGAGTCGGACTGGAGCTCTCTGCCCTTTACCAATCAGCCACGGGCCCATCCATCTGGCCCATCAAGACTCACTCTCATTTCATCAGTCCATAAAACCTTAGAAAAATCAGTCTTGAGATATTTCTTGGCCCAGTCTTGGCGTTTCAGCTTGTGTGTCTTGTTCAGTGGTGGTCGTCTTTCAGCCTTTCTTACCTTGGCCATGTCTCTGAGTATTGCACACCTTGTGCTTTTGGGCACTCCAGTGATGTTGCAGCTCTAAAATATGGGCAAACTGGTGGCAAGTGGCATCGTGGCAGCTGCACGCTTGACTTTTCTCAGTTCATGGGCAGTTATTTTGCGCCTTGGTTTTTCCACACGCATCTTGCGACCCTGTTGACTATTTTGAATGAAACGCTTGATTGTTCGATGATCACGCTTCAGAAGCTTTGCAATTTTAAGAGTGCTGCATCCCTCTGCAAGATATCTCACTATTTTTGACTTTTCTGAGCCTGTCAAGTCCTTCTTTTGACCCATTTTGCCAAAGGAAAGGAAGTTGCCTAATAATTATGCACACCTGATATAGGGTGTTGATGTCATTAGACCACACCCCTTCTCATTACAGAGATGCACATCACCTAATATGCTTAATTGGTAGTAGGCTTTCGAGCCTATACAGCTTGGAGTAAGACAACATGCATAAAGAGGATGATGTGGTCAAAATACTCATTTGCCTAATAATTCTGCACTCCCTGTAGAGACAAAGGAATTGGCTTTTGAAACATTGGGAAGTAGTTTTCCTTCATGTTGTAAACTCAGCCCATGTCCTGGACCCTGATGATAGGGGATAGTCTTGTCATGCAAAAGCTTGGTAACGGGTCCCAGGGATCGTCTCCAAATGATAGTAAAATGGGGAAAGTCTCCATAAAAAGCACAAACATGTCCCTCAAAGGCATGGTTCAGAAAGGATGTAGGAACATCCATTACTGTAACCACATGCAGAACCGAACCAGAAGGTCCCTGGGGACATAGTTGGTGCTCTGTCAATTTTTGCCACGCTAAAGTGGGAGTCCACTGCTATGGCCTTAGACTTAGATGAGGACAGTAGGGCAGTCTATATTTTTCTAATCATATGATATGTAGCTGCCTAATGGTTTTCCCAATTTGAGGTTCCCCACAGACAGCTGCCGAGGTTGGAAGAAAATCAAGGTCATCCATAGCACTGACTTCTGAAGAGGTTGGAGACGGCTCCCTCATGGCGCCATTTTAACCTAGTTGGTTTACGGCAACGATCGAGGCCTTCTTCTCGATGTGCCGCGTAAGGGTTGGTGAGACTACCGCCACTTAGCCCAGTTGAGCTGCTGACATTCTCTTGGTCTTTTGCTTTACGTGGGCTCCGAGGAAGTTGGAGATGGCACCATCTTAGACATATGTGGACATGGGACCTGGTGGAGCAACTCCCTTATACTGATAGATTTAGAGTGAATGTTGTTCTTTGCTTTCTTAGAGTGTTGTCCCAATGTTGCCCCAAATAATGAATGCCAAAATCGCCTTAAAAGTGAAGGTTCTGGAAGTTCATTTGATTAGGAAGTCAGTTTTTCTCAGAGCAACTGCACAAAACATCTGCTCTGTTCGAGCACTGACTCTGCTCCTCCTTTTATAGCACTTTTAATTGTTGATCTGGGCAAGACATGATGGGCCATTAATGGGGTACATGACATCAGGGCAGGATTTCCTATAAGTCACGCAAGACATTTTCCTCTGTTGTCCAATATTAGGCATTGCCTAGTCGATACGCCTCGGAGCAAATAGGATGTAAATCCAGCCATGGACATAATGCTCTGGACAATACATAGCTGAAATATAAAACAAAAACATGGTTACAGGTTAAATTTATTTAGGAATAACAAGTAAAGTGATAATACACAGTTAAGGTGTTTACACTACAAGTTACTCATCTATGTTAATATCATTCTCTCTAGTTTCAAGCCAGCATTGAGGGCAAGCTCCCTGCATACAACGTGCGCATCTCTTTGCCAGCTCCAGCCAAGCAGGATATATACGGTAAGAAAGCCAGGCACATATATAATGGTCACAGGGACATAGAGAGTGATGCTGTGGGGGTCAAATACTGAATGCAGGATATAACACATATTATTCCTGAAACCGCTATAGTTGATACAGGGCATACGCAGTCTGCCACCTCTAGGGTTAGTACAGGGTATACACAGTCTGATATCTCTAGGGTTAGTACAGGGTATACACAGTTTGATATCTCTAGGGTTAGTACAGGGTATACACAGTCTGATATCTCTAGGGTTAGTACAGGGTATACACAGTCTGATATCTCTAGGGTTAGTACAGGGTATACACAGTCTGATATCTCTAGGGTTAGTATAGGGTATACACAGTCTGATATCGCTAGGGTTAGTACAATGTATACACAGTCTGATATCTCTAGGGTTAGTACAGGGTATACACAGTCGGATATCTCTAGGGTTAGTACAGGGTATACACAGTCTGATATCTCTAGGGTTAGTACAGTGTATACACAGTCTGATATCTCTAGGGTTAGTATAGGGTATACACAGTCTGATATCTCTAGGGTTAGTACAGGGTATACACAGTCGGATATCTCTAGGGTTAGTACAGGGTATACACAGTCGCATATCTCTAGGGTTAGTATAGGGTATACACAGTCGGATATCTCTAGGGTTAGTACAGGGTATACACAGTCGGATATCTCTAGGGTTAGTACAGGGTATACACAGTCTGATATCTCTAGGGTTAGTATAGGGTATACACAGTCGGATATCTCTAGGGTTAGTATAGGGTATACACAGTCTGATATCTCTAGGGTTAGTACAGGGTATACACAGTCTGATATCTCTAGGGTTAGTACAGGGTATACACAGTCTGATATCTATAGGGTTAGTACAGGGTATACACAGTCTGATATCTCTAGGGTTAGTACAGGGTATACACAGTCTGATATCTCTAGGGTTAGTACAGGGTATACACAGTCGGATATCTCTAGGGTTAGTACAGGGTATACACAGTCTGATATCTCTAGGGTTGGTATAGGGTATACACAGTCTGATATCTCTAGGGTTAGTACAGGGTATACACAGTCTGATATCTCTAGGGTTAGTACAGGGTATACACAGTCTGATATCTATAGGGTTAGTACAGGGTATACACAGTCTGATATCTCTAGGGTTAGAACAGGGTATACACAGTCGGATATCTCTAGGGTTAGTATAGGGTATACACAGTCTGATATCTCTAGGGTTAGTACAGGGTATACACAGTCTGATATCTCTAGGGTTAGTACAGGGTATACACAGTCTGATATCTCTAGGGTTAGTATAGGGTATACACAGTCTGATATCTCTAGGGTTAGTACAGTGTATACACAGTCTGATATCTCTAGGGTTAGTACAGGGTATACACAGTCGGATATCTCTAGGGTTAGTACAGGGTATACACAGTCTGATATCTCTAGGGTTAGTACAGGGTATACACAGTCTGATATCTCTAGGGTTAGTACAGGGTATACACAGTCTGATATCTCTAGGGTTAGTACATGGTATACACAGTCTGATATCTCTAGGGTTAGTACAGGGAATACACAGGCTGCTATCTCTAGGGTTAGTACAGGGTATACACAGTTTGATATCTCTAGGGTTAGTACAGGGTATACACAGTCTGATATCTCTAGGGTTAGTACAGGGTATACACAGTCTGATATCTCTAGGGTTAGTATAGGGTATACACAGTCTGATATCTCTAGGGTTAGTATAGGGTATACACAGTCGGATATCTCTAGGGTTAGTATAGGGTATACACAGTCGGATATCTCTAGGGTTAGTATAGGGTATACACAGTCTGATATCTCTAGGGTTAGTAGAGGGTATACACAGTCTGATATCTCTAGGGTTAGTAGAGGGTATACACAGTCTGATATCTCTAGGGTTAGTATAGGGTATACACAGTCTGATATCTCTAGGGTTAGTACAGGGTATACACAGTCTGATATCTCTAGGGTTAGTACAGGGTATACACAGTCTGATATCTCTAGGGTTAGTACAGGGTATACACAGTCTGATATCTGTAGGGTTGGTATAGGGTATACACAGTCTGATACCTCTAGGGTTGGTACAAGGTATACACAGTCTTATATCGCTAGGGTTGACACAGGGTATACACAGAACTCTACAGTTTATACAGGGTATACACAGTCTGATATCTCTAGGGTTAGTATAGGGTATACACAGTCTGATATCTCTAGGGTTAGTACAGGGTATACACAATTTGCCACCTCTATGGTTGGTACAGGGTATAAGCAGTCTGCCACCTCTATGGTTAGTACAGGGTATACACAGTCTGCCACCTCTATGGTTGGTACAGGGTATACACAATTTGCCACCTCTATGGTTGGTACAGGGTATAAGCAGTCTGCCACCTCTATGGTTGGTACAGGGTATACACGGTCTGGCACCCTTAGGGTTGGTAGATGGTATACACAAACCGCTATGTTTGGTACAGGGCATACATTCTTCTTATGCCAACATTAAATTCTTTGTTTATCCACCTTGTAACAGATGATGAAGACAGTGGTGATGATGAAGGGGATGTTGTGACTCGAGCAGCATTAAAGAGGCAGTCACAGCAAATCGTAGAATCAAAGACCAAACGGCGAACCCGGCCTAAGAAGAAACGAGGAAAGCAGTAAAGGAAAAGGAAAGCAGATCCTACAAACACAGTTTCCCTGACATTCTGCTACCAACAACATCCATCATCATATCACTCAATCTTAGCAATTCCAATCCTTCTCAGTCCTTTTCCAACAACGTAATCCTGTTCTCTTTATCCACTTCTACCTCCAATTCTCTTCTACAGGTCTTCTTTACGGTGGTTTCATTCTTGCAGAACGCAGTGCTTTCCTACAAGACTTTGCCCAAATATCCATTCTTTTAAAAATGTCTTAAACAACTACTATCCTACTAACTGTGTAACTCTTCTCTTCCTACCTATTTACTACATCTTGCCACATTGTGTCCTCCTACGAAATGTGCATGGTCTGCTGACGTTAACTTTTCATTGTCTATGTAGACAGGTTTATCAAGATTCAGACTGAAGACACGACCATCTTTCTTCCCTTTGCATATCTTTCATATTTCCTTTTTCATAAATATACTCCCTTTAATTACATTTTACACTCTCTTAACCCATTGTGATAATCTGTTTTACATTTGCCCAAAATTATTTGTCAGAATTTACAGATTTGTAGTAAATAATATTTTATTGAAGAAGACACATCACATTTCAAGATTTAAGCAACAATATAAGGCATTTACTTTTTTTTTTTTTTTTGAATTCTTTATTTTTGGTCTGACGAAGAGGTCAACACAGAAATATGCAGGTGTACATATGCAAGTGACAGCGCAGTGTCGTACATTTTTACAGAATGAAAGTTGCATTGGTTATTTTAAACACTTTACCGACACTTTATATCCTGCGGACGTCCCCGTCCGATATTTTCGGTTATGTTGGCAAGCACAATTAACTATATACAATGGTGGTAGTGTGGAGGGGTAGGCGTAGGGAGTAGAGCAGCAGTCCCAGACCTCTCAGGGCCCGCGACTGCTCCCCCGACTTCCCCCATTGTCTGCAGAGCATAAGCGTACTGAAGCCTGACTCCTCTTTCACCAGCTTGCGAGTCTGGAGTGCCTGCTTGTAATAAGTAGGTAGGGGTGAGAGATAGGAAAGTATAGACAAGTAAATGCGTTTAGGTGTCGTCTTAATATGGTTTCCCGAGGGACCAGTAGCAGAGGTCCCCGGGTTCCCCGGGTAGCACTCCGTGTGGTGTGTGTGTCCGTGCCCCTGTCCCATAGTGGCGCCGCTTCCGCCAGTCCAGGCGCTGGTGTAGTATTTAGCATTGGGTATGTCCCAATTATTGCCATTTTGCGGAGCTCCCGCATGCCGCCCTACGCCCCGATTCAGGATTTAACTGTCGTATTGCTCCCACAGGTCCCAGACCTTCTGAAACTTAGTCATAGTGTAAGGCATTTACTTTTTAAAAAAGCATAGTGGTCAATACCAGGGTAAAGTGCATATCAGCCCATCTTCATTAGTACAATAGAGCCACCACCAATTACACGCTGAAGTAGATTTCGGCACAAAATGTCTCATGAGAAATATGAAAGTCCCAGTGTTCAGTGTGTGCTTGCAGGAATAGCAACCGTTAAAAAATATGGAAAAGTATTTTAGAGAGACACGGAAAGAGATATAAGTGAGGAGAAAAATAATTAGGTAGAAAGCAAAAAAAGATAAATGGCTGATTCTGAAACACTTCCGATATTTGAACAACATTCAGTGATAATATTATATGGGCAATATCTGCTCCACCTGGGCACCGTAGGGCCTGCAATACCATGGTACAGACCAAAAAGCAGACAAATAAATGACATATATAACAGTTGTGCGTCTTTCGGACACATTGTCTAGCGGTGGGTCTGATGTCCCATTTCCAGATACACACAAACCAACACAGTAAATTACTGCCTATCAGAAAGTCCTTCTCTGACAAGCAACCCCGATTGGCTAACAGATAGATTAGAGGTAGTGAGGGACAAGCACTACTGACAGGTATACTGTATAGGTGGGTACTGGTTCCCAGGGTCCCCTTCTGTGAACCCTAAAAGTACACAAAATAAACAATAATGGAGCTGCAAAACCTAAGGTCTCAGTGAAGATGTTTTGACCAAATCACACGTTCTTCATCAAGCTTGACCATGTGGGCAGCTCCACTCTGTTGGAATAAGCTCCTTCACTGAGTCCATTATTCTTAATTTTGTGGCTAACAGATAGGGCTGTCTATTGCGCTATCCCATAAACCACGCAATATTAGGAAGATCGCATTCAAAATATGCAGCGCATTTTCACCTCTAAAAATGACAACTACAATAAACTTCACAGGTTAGAATCCCTCCATGGTTTTCTCGTTTTATATTCACACACATCTTCCTGATGTGCTGCATGGAACATGCTTCTTTCTTGGCCTTCCCAAATCCTTGCTTTTATACTCCATAAATTATTCTGTTTACAGGTTTGTTTGGTTTTTTTTGCTCACTTTCATTTTCTTAGCTTTTAGCTCCCCGTACTTATTTCACCCTCCCCCTTTCCACTCTAGCTATCATCTACGTAAATCTCACAAAGTGCAAGGGCAAAGCAGGGGCTACGGGATCAGCATCTGACAGTGTGTGATGTTATTGGGGTGAAAGATGCTGTGGGAATAAAAAGTTCTGACGTCATCGATGAAGCGGGTTTATGCTGACATATGATGGCCTTTCTGTTTTGAGTGATAAATAATAAATAGAGATTATTCACCAAACTTCTTTTCTCATTTTTATAAAGCAAAATGTCTTAAGTGCCATGTAACATCTTATTACCGTAACCCTGCTCCAGAGTGCCTTATTACCTCTGTAACGTCTTCTTACAGTAACCCGGCTCCTGAGTGCCTTATTACCCTGTAACATCTTATTACAGTAACCCGGCTCCTGAGCGCCTTATTACCCTGTAACATCTTATTACAGTAACCCGGCTCCTGAGTGCCTTATTCAGTCTGAGTGCCTTATTCAGTCTTCTTAAAGTAACCCGGCTCCTGAGTGCCTTATTACCCTGTAACATCTTATTACAGTAACCTGGATACTGAGTGCCTTATTACCCTGTAACATCTTATTACAGTAACCCAGCTCCTGAGTGCCTTATTACTCTGTAACATCTTATTACAGTAACCCGGCTCCTGAGTGTGTTATTGCCCTGTAACATCATATTACAGTAACCCGGCTCCTAAATGTCTTATTACCCTGTAACATCTTATTACAGTAACCCGGCTCCTGAGTGTTATTACCCCCTGTAACATCTTATTACAGTAACCCGGCTCCTGAGTGCCTTATTACCTCTGAAACGTCTTATTACAGTAACCCGGTTCCTGAGTGACTTATTACCCCCTGTAACATCTTATTACAGTAACCCGGCTCCTGAGTGCCTTATTACCCCGTAACATCTTATTACAGTAACCCGGCTCCTGAGTGCCTTATTACCCCGTAACATCTTATTACAGTAACCTGCCTCCTGAGTGCCTTTATTACCCCCTATAACATTTTATTACAGTAACTCGGCTCCTGAACGCCTTATTACCCCGTAACATCTTATTACAGTAACCCGGCTCCTGAGTGCCTTATTACCCTGTAACATCTTATTACAGTAACCCGGCTCCTGAGTGCCTTCCAACCCTGTAACATGTTATTACAGTAACCTGGATACTGAGTGCCTTAGTACCCCGTAACATCTTATTACTGTAACCCTGTTCCTGAGTGCCTTATTACCCCGTAACATCTTATTACAGTAACCCGGCTCCTGAGTGCCTTATTACCCTGTAACATCTTATTACAGTAACCCGGCTCCTGAGTGCCTTATTACCCTGTAATATCTTATTACAGTAACCCGGCTCCTGAGTGCCTTATTACCCCGTAACATCTTATTACAGTAACCCGGCTCCTGAGTGACTTATTACCCCCTGTAACATCTTATTACAGTAACCCGGCTCCTGAGTGCCTTATTACCTCTGAAACGTCTTATTACAGTAACCCGGTTCCTGAGTGACTTATTACCCCCTGTAACATCTTATTACAGTAACCCGGCTCCTGAGTGCCTTATTACCCTGTAATATCTTATTACAGTAACCTGCCCCTTGGAATCCCCGCCTTATTACCCCAACATCTTATTACAGTAACCCGCTCCTGAGTGGCCTTTATTACCCTGTAACATCTTATTACAGTAACCCGGCTCCTGAGTGCCTTATTACCCTGTAACATCTTATTACAGTAACCCGGCTCCTGAGTGCCTTATTACCCTGTAACATCTTATTACAGTAACCCGGCTCCTGAGTGCATTATTACCCTGTAACATCTTATTACAGTAACTTGGTTTCTCATTGCCTTATTACCCCATAACATCTTATTACAGTAACCAGGTTTCCAAGTGCCTTATTACACCCTGTAACATCTTATTACAGTAACCCGGCTCCTGAGTGCCTTATTACCCTGTAACATCTTATTACAGTAACCCGGCTCCTGAGTGCCTTATTACCCTGTAACATCATATTACAGTAACCCGGCACCCGAGCGCATTATTACCCTGTAACATCTTATTACAGTAACCCGGCTCCTGAGTGCCTTATTACCCTGTAACATCTTATTACGGTAACCCGGCTCCTGAGTGCCTTATTACCCCATAACAAGAAACCCGGCTCCTGAGGGCCTTATTACCCCTTGTAACATCTTATTACAGTAACCCGGCTCCTGAGTGCCTTATTACCCTGTAATATCTTATTACAGTAACCCGGCTCCTGAGTGCCTTATTACCCCGTAACATCTTATTACAGTAACCCGGCTCCTGAGTGACTTATTACCCCCTGTAACATCTTATTACAGTAACCCGGCTCCTGAGTGCCTTATTACCGTGTAACATCTTATTACAGTAACCCGGCTCCTGAGTGCCTTATTACCCCCTGTAACATCTTATTACAGTAACCTGGCTCCTGAGTGCCTTATTACCCCGTAACATCTTATTACAGTATCCAATCCCTGCTTGTGTTATTGATTCAGTTTATGTGACATTGAAAAACAGCAAACACTGTCTTTGTTTTGTGTTTCTGGGAAAGCATAGAAGGGTCAGAGGAAGTGACTGTCCTCCACACACCACCCTCTCCTGAGTCTGCGGAATAGTAGTTCAGAGAGGGCAGGATATGAAGGAAGGATTCCTGGTGCAGTGAGAGGAATAATAAAAGTCCGGGAGAAGCAGATTTTGGAGGTATGATACAGTGTATTTATTATAATCCCATCCACCCCCCTATTTTATCTCCAGGTTAATTGCTGATGGTGAGGTAAACTGGGATATATTTTTACACTGATGTTTATTAATTATACCCTATAAGGCTAGTAATGGGAGACCCCCTTATAATGCAGAGATTGACTTAGAAATATCAAAAGGGCAAAGTTAGGAGAGAAATTTAGGAACCCACATTGTGCCCGCAGATGGGACCCCTGGCATATATATCTTGCCTGTTATGAAACAACACACTGATTTTACATAATTTGTCTGTGGGTTAGATTTATAAACATCCCTAACACTCTACAAATTCTTTTACTTGGTGAGCAATTACTGCTTCCACTGGAATGCTATGTCAGGTATCAACTACTATTGAGGTAAGGCATTATTACATCACGTTACCCTGCCATCTTATAAGCATTTGGGCTCATTCTGCCTGTTTGTGAAATCAGTCCTTCAAACATTCTGCGTTCGTTGTTCGTAGAGAAAAGGATGGAAAATTGTAGGCAAAACAGCGAAACATTTATTTTTTATTTTTTAAAGTCACTGTTTTATTGAGGCAATATAGCGGTAAACAGCAGTCAAAAAGGAGTCTGAGCAAGTGCACACATGAGCAGTAATGCAGTACAAGTGCAATAGTACAAATATGATCTTAACAGTATTTGAATACATGTGAAGAAACTTAACATCTTCTGCCTCTTTTATATTTTAAGTAAAAGGTTAGAGAGTATTAATATGCAACACAGGCCTTTCTGCCATGTCAAAGCTAAAAACATATACAATATTTGCTAACAGGGTAAGGTAGTACATGGTGGCTGACACTAAATAGAAGTGTTGCCTATTAGGCTAGATTTTAATGAGAAGGTGGCCAGTGAAGCTGGACTTTCTAGCAAACAACTACACTACACAGGTATAAGGTGAAGTTAAAGAAAAAGTAAGTCCCTGTATTAATAAAGAAATGAAGCTAGTGATAAGGGCATGAGATAGAGTGACAAATCAGCAGGTATCAAGAGAACATGCGAGGATAGCGAGTAGCTCCATGCGAGACAGCAAGTATCACCCGATGCCCAAGCTTGGGAGTGTATGGGGATAGCCGGTAAGAACAGGTTGGCAGTCGTGAAGAATAGTGACCCTCCAGCCCCAGGCCGTCACGAAGGCATGCATCACAGAACCACAGACTTGGGTACTCATAAACGAGGCCAAGTCTCTCTGTATTGGGATCCAGCTATTTCCAAAGCTCCTGTTGGACTGTCGCCGTCAGTGGTGGTGGACCTTTAGCCTCCATGGTCGACACGCCAGGGTTGTCGTTCTGCTGGCCTTCAGCCTAGGCAGGCTTAAGGTAGAAGACAAGGATGCTTGTAAGGAGGTAGTGCCCGGAGGGGACCTACTCTTCTCTGGCCTCTCTCCACTGCGCCGTCCCTCCTGGTCTTGATTGGGTGCTACTATTATGCATGCAGCCAATTTTGCCCAGAAGTCTTCAAAATGCTCATCCAAGCACTTTAACAATTGCCCAATAGTGATGTGTTGGGACTCCTCACGCTGTGTCAGATTATGTGCAGCGTTGGAAAGTGTGTCTGCCATCTTGAATCTGCAGTGAACGGTACCTGTGCAGTATCAATTGCCTGAGTTCGTCAGAAGTATGAGGAGTCAGCCCATGGGGACCGGGATAACACCCTCCTGTCTAAAGGGTGGCAGGGAGGGCAGCTTTATTTAGTTGCTGTGTCGAGCTGCTTGGGCCAGCATGAGAAAACTGGCCGCATTTCCCCAGCTCTGTTGCCTGAAGGCCGCAATTTGCCGCCTTGGTTCCCGATGGCTACAAGCCTCAATTCTAGTATCGCTCGATTTGTTACGGTGTCCCCAGTCTGGGGAGCACCTCAGATTAAAGTTTTCAGCTCTGCAACCCGGGATATCACCGCTAAACTGCTCAGTTTTGCAAGAGCTACCCCATTGTACAGCGCCGCAGAATTTGTTGGTGCTTCAAAAATAATAACAATATTCATTGAGATTTTTTTTTTCTGTTTGGTTTTATTGCTGTAAATGTGCTAACAAACTACAACAAACTGCTTACTGAACAATCCTGGAGTCTTCAGATTATACCTCAGCCTCAGGATAAATGGGCAAATTGTGAGGATAAATAGTCAGGTATGTGATAGAACAGGTTGTATATACATCAGGATGAGACATTTCTAATCACGAATTACTAGAATGACAGGACAAATAGTTATTCCCATCTGTGCTGCTTGGACTATTGAGGAAGCATTAGCCTAAGCAGCAATGGGCAGCTGTGATTGGCCGAGAGTGTCAGCTGACTGCATTCAGCCTATCACAGTGTTTCTGCAGGTATGAATGGGTACGGATACAAGGAAGTGTGTTTCTCTGCCTTAGAGAAACCCAAGACAGGGGTGTCCTGATGTGGTAATTAAAGGGACAGTATAGGCACCCAGACTACATCAGCTCATTGAAGTGGCTTGGGTGCAGTGTCTCAGGTCCGTTAACCCTGCAATTGTAATTATTGCAGTTTTTAATAAACTGCAATAATTGCCTTGGAGGGTTAACTGCACCTCTAGATGCTTTCTACCAGGCAGCCACTACAGGGACTTCCGTGTTGTTAAGTTACTTTAGTTGCCTAACTGATGCTGGATGTCCTCGCGCTGTGCATGAGGACATCCAGTGTCATGCCGTGCATGCGCATTATGTCACCTCCTGCTGGTTGGCGTTGGCAGTGGAGGAACAGAGGCGGAGCCTGAACCAGCGCAGGCGGATATCGGTGCTGGAATCAGGTAAGTGACAAAAGATTTTTTTTAACCTCTTCTGCACCATGTTGGGGAGGCGGAACGAAGGTGGGGGACACTATAGAGAGCTATAGTGCTAGGAAAACAACGTTGTTTTCCTGACACTGTGGTTTCCCTTTAAATGTGATAAATGTTTGAACATTAAGGTTAAGGTTTTCATTGAGCTGTTGGATTTAAACCTTTTGGCCTCCACAGTTGCTGAGTCACTAAATAAACTGTTTGTGATGATCCATGAAAGGATTAATGAAGAGTCTCAGGGTCAGCTCATTGAGAAAGTTCCTCATTACTGGTATTATAAATATACAGTTATGCAACCCTTTGTATGTATATAAATGTGTGTGTGTGTGTGAGTAGATATTGCATTGCGTGTTATGTTATACATACAGTGTAATCAGTGTGTGATGTATTGTTACGAAATAATTTCTCCTCAGATATTTACAATGTTTGGGGATCCTGAGCTACGGGCCAATTTTTCCTTAGAACTGGATATGAGCTGGGGCGTAGTACTAAGAGCATATCGCAGCCTGACACCTGAAGGAAAAGAGGATAATGGGAACAAGGTCAGTAACTTTCATCTAGGCCCTGAGTGCCTTATTACCCTGTAACATCTTATTACAGTAACCCGGCTCCCGAGTGCCTTATTACCCTGTAACATCTTATTACAGTAACCCGGCTCCCGAGCGCCTTATTACCCTGTAACATCTTATTACAGTAACCCGGCTCCCGAGTGCCTTATTACCCTGTAACATCTTATTACAGTAACCCGGCTCCCGAGTGCCTTATTACCCTGTAACATCTTATTACAGTAACCCGGCTCCTGAGTGCCTTATTACCCTGTAACATCTTATTACAGTAACCCGGCTCCCGAGTGCCTTATTACCCTGTAACATCAATACAGTAACCCGGCTCCTGAAAGCCTTATTACTACTTGCGCATCTTATTACAGTAACCCCGATAAAGTGCCTTGTATTCTGTAACATCTTATTACAGTAACCCGACAGAGTGCCTTATTACCCTGTAACATCTTATTACAGTAACCCGGCTCCTGGTACTTTTCTTGCCCCTGGCCATCTTAACCCAAATAGCGGCTCCTGGCGCCTTATTACCCTGTAACATTTTATTACAGTAACCGGCTCCTGAGTGTATTACCCTGTAACATCTTATTACAGTACTTGGCTCCTGAGTGCCTTATTACCCGTAACATCTTATACAGAAACCCGGCTCTAAGCGCCAATACCCTGTAACATTTTATTCTGGTAACCTGGCTCCTGAGCGCCTTATTACCCTGTAACATCTTATTACGGTAACCCGGCTCTTGAGCGCCTTATTACCCTGTAACATCTTATTACAGTAACCCGGCTCCTGAGTGCCTTATTACCCTGTAAATTCTTATTACGGTAACCCGGCTCCTGAGTGCCTTATTACACTGTAACATCTTATTACAGGAACCCAGCTCCTGAGTGCCTTGTTACCCTGTAACATCATATTACAGTAACCCGGCTCCTGAGTGCCTTATTACCCTGTAACATATTATTACAGTAACCCGGCTCCTGAGTGACTTATTACCCTGTAACATCTTATTACAGTAGCCCAGCTCCTGAGTGCCTTATTACCCTGTAACATCTTATTACAGTAACCCAGACCCTGAGTGCCTTATTACCCTGTAACATATTATTACAGTAACCCGGCTCCTGAGTGACTTATTACCCTGTAACGTCTTATTACAGTAGCCCAGCTCCTGAGTGCCTTATTACCCTGTAACATCTTATTACAGTAACCCGGCTCCTGAGTGACTTATTACCCTGTAACGTCTTATTACAGTAACCTGAGTGCCTTATTACCCTGTAACATCTTATTACAATAACCCGGCTCCTGAGTGCCTTATTACCCTGTAACATCTTATTACAGTAACCCGGCTCCTGAGCGTCTTATTGCCCTGTAACACAAGCATGTCAAACTCGCGGGCCGCATGCGGCCCACAAGGACCATCTTTGCGGCCCGGCGAGCTGCGAGTACATGCCTAATGTTCCAAGCAGGGTAGGCACCTACTTTCCCCACATTGCAGGTGCCTACTCTGCTATCATTTACCCGGCCGGGGAGGAAGGGACGGTTGAAGCAGCGAGGGAGCTCAGTGTTCCTGCTCCTCACTACTCCCTCGCGTGCTCCGACTGAAGTGAAGCCAGGCGCCGGAATATGACGTCATATTCCGGCATTGGCATCACTAAACTGCGCGTGGGAGCAGTGAAGATCAGGAAGGACCCAAGGGAGATGCTCCAAAAGGTAAGGAGCAATAAAGTATGTGTGTGTAAGTGTGTGAGTGTGTGTCTGTCAGAAAGTATATGTGTGCGTCTGTCTGTCAGTCAGTCAGTGTGTGTGTGTCTGTCTGTCAGTAAGTATGTGTTTGTCAGTGAGTATGTGTGTGTGTGTCTGTCAGAATGTGTGTGTGTGTGTCTGTCAGTGAGTATGTGTGTCTGTCTGTGAGTATATGTGTGTGTGTCTGTCTGTGAGTATGTGTGTGCGTCAGTGTCTGTATGTGTGTGTGTGTCTGTCAGCAAGTATGTGTGTGTCTGTCAGCAACTATGTGTGTGTCTGTCAGTGAGTATGTATGTGTGTGTGTCTGTCAGTGTGTGTGTGTGTCTGTCTGTCTGTCAGTGAGTATGTGTGTGTCTGTCAGTGAGTATGTGTTTGTCTGTGTGTGTGTCTGTCTGTCAGTGTTTCTGTCTGTTAGTATGTGTGTGTGTGTGTCTGTCTGTGAGTATGTGTGTGTGTGTCAGTGTCTGTCAGCAAGTATGTGTGTGTCTGTCAGCAAGTATGTGTGTGTCTGTCAGTGAGTATGTGTGTGTCTGTCAGTGTCTGTTTGTGTCTGTCTGTCAGTGAGTATGTGTTTGTCTGTGTGTGTGTCTGTCTGTCAGTGTTTCTGTCTGTTAGTATGTGTGTGTGTCTGTCTGTCTGTCTGTGAGTATGTGTGTGTGTGTCAGTGTCTGTCAGCAAGTATGTGTGTGCCTGTCAGTGAGTATGTGTGTGTATCTGTCAGTGTGTCTTTCTGTGAGTATGTGTGTGTGTCTGTCAGCAAGTATGTGTGTGTCTGTCAGTGAGTATGTGTGTATTTCTGTCAGTTTGTCTGTATGTGTGTTTCTGTCAGTGTGTGTGTCTGTGAGTATGTGTGTGTGTGTGTGTCTGTCAGTGAGTGAGTGTGTGTGTGCTGCCCACATAAACTTAAACCTTGTTTATGTGGCCCGTGACACACTTTGGGTTTGACATGCTTGCTGTTACATCTTATTGCAGTAACCTGGCTCCTGAGCGCCTTATTACCCTGTAACATCTTATTACAGTAACCCGGCTCCTGAGTGCCTTATTACCCCGTAACATCTTATTACAGTAACCCGGCTCCTGAGTGCCTTATTACCCCGTAACATCTTATTACAGTAGCCCGGCTCCTGAGTGCCTTATTACCCCGTAACATATTATTACAGTAACCCGGCTCCTGAGTGCCTTATTACCCTGTAACATCTTATTACGGTAACCTGGCTCCTGAGTGTCTTATTACCCCGTGTAACATCTTATGACAGTAACCTGGCTCCTGAGTGCCTTATTACCCTGTAACGTCTTATTACACTAACCTGGCTCCTGAGTGCCTTATTACCCTGTAACATCTTATTACAGGAGCCCGGCTCCTCAGTGCCTTATTACACTGTAACATCTTATTACAGTAACCTGGCTCCTGAGTGTCTTATTACGGTAACCCGGCTCCTGAGTGCCTTATAACCCTATAACATCTTATTACAGTAACCAGGCTCCTGAGCGCCTTATTACCCTGTAACACAAGCATGTCAAACTCGCGGGCCGCATGCGGCCCACAAGGACCATCTTTGCAGCCCGGCGAGCCGCGAGTACATGCCTAATGTTCCAAGCAGGGTAGGCACCTACTTTCCCCACATTGCAGGTGCCTACTCTGCTATCATTTATCCGGCCGGGGAGGAAGGGACGGTGGAAGCAGCGAGGGAGCTCAGTGTTCCTGCTCCTCACTGCTCGCTCACGTGCCCCGACTGAAGTGAAGCCAGGCGCCGGAATATGACATCATATTACGGCATTGGCATCACTAAACTGCGTGTGGGAGAGGTGAAGATCAGGAAGGACCCAAGGGAGATGCTCCAAAAGGTAAGGAGCAATAAAGAAAAGTATGTGTGTGTAAGTGTGTGAGTGTGTGTCTGTCAGCAAGTATGTGTGTGTGTCTGTCAGCAAGTATGTGTGTGTCTGTCTGTCAGTCAGTCAGTGAGTGTTTGTGTGTGTCTGTCAGCGAGTATGTGTGTGTCTGTCAGTGAGTATGTGTGTGTGTGTGCCTGTCAGTATGTGTGTGTGTGTGTCTGTCAGTGAGTATGTGTGTGTCTGTCTGTGAGTATATGTGTGTGTCTGTCTGTGAGTATGTGTGTGTGTCAGTGTCTGTATGTGTGTGTGTGTCTGTCAGCAAGTATGTGTGTGTCTGTCAGTGAGTATGTGTGTGTGTGTGTCTGTCAGTATGTGTGTGTCTGTCAGTGTGTGTGTGAGTCTGTCAGTGAGTATGTGTGTGTCTGTGTGTGTGTGTGTCTGTGTGAGTCTGTCAGTGTGTCTGTCTTTTAGCATGTGTGTGTGTGTCTGTCTGTCTGTGAGTATGTGTGTTTGTGTCAGTGTCTGTCAGCAAGTATGTGTGTATCTGTCAGTGAGTATGTGTGTGTATCTGTCAGTGTGTCTGTCTGTGAGTATGTGTGTGTCTGTCAGCAAGTATGTGTGTGTCTATCAGTGAGTATGTGTGTGTGTCTGTATTTGTGTTTCTGTCAGTGTGTGTGTCTGTGAGTATGTGTGTGTGTGTGTCTGTCAGTGAGTGAGTGTATGTGTGCTGCCCACATAAACCTAAACCTTGTTTATGTGGCCGTGACACACTTTGAGTTTGACATACTTGCTGTAACATCTTATTACAGTAACCGGGCTCCTGAGTGCCTTATTACCCTGTAACATCTTATTACAGTAACCTGGCTCCTGAGCGCCTTATTACCCTGTAACATTTTATTACAGTAACCCGGCTCCTGAGTGCCTTATTACCCTGTAACATCTTATTACAGTAACCCGGCTCCTGAGTGCCTTATTACACTGTAACATCTTATTACAGTAACCCGACTCCTGAGTGCCTTATTACCCTGTAACATCTTATTACAGTAACCCGGCTCCTGAGTGCCTTATTACAATGTAACATCTTATTACAGTAACCCAGCTCCTGAGTGCCTTATCACCCTGTAACATCTTATTACAGTAACCTGGCTCCTGAGTGCCTTATTACCGTGTAACATCTTATTACAGTAACCTGGCTCCTGAGTGCCTTATTACCCTGTAACATCGTATTACAGTAACCAGGCTCCTGAGTGCCTTATTACCCTGTAACATCGTATTACAGTAACCAGGCTCCTGAGTGCCTTATTACCCTGTAACATCTTATCACAGTAACCCGGCTCCTGAGCGCCTTATTACCCCGTGTTAAGACACCTCTAGTGTCTTTAAGCTAAACCGCCGTTTAGTAGATCTTCCCCGGCTGCAGTACAGTCTCCGTTCGCTTACTCTGTAACACACGAATCAAATGCAGGGGAAGCGGGAATCTCCCGATCGAGATCTGTGAACGGCTCCAAACTCCCGAACGGCAATACACGAACTGCTGGTAACCGTCGAACAGCAATATTCCCCAAGCGGCTTTCGTTCCATCCAGCAGTCTCTAAACGTGAAGAAGAAATCCCCCCAATAACGAGACAGAAGCTCCGCATTGAGGGTCAAACAGGATCTGGCTTTACTGTGGGCTACCTGCCCGTATTTATGCAGGTCTCCCACCTGGTGGACACTCCCCTAGGGGACCAAATGGAAGACTTAAATTACAGACAGATATGGGGACATTCCAGACACACAGTCACAGATTTTACCCACAGTGCATTATGATTCCCTCCCCTCTGCCCTGGAGTTAATTCCCAAGTAACTCAATTAACTCCAGGACAAAGCCAGTCGCCATCTTAGACATAAAATAATAAAAGACATAAAAATATATAATTTCATAAAAACCGAACATTTCCCATTCGTATTACATGTCCCCAGATAGCCTGGATCTGAGTGCATATTATTAGCGAATAGCGCTCAGATCCCACACACATAGTTCAATCGCCACGGAGTCAAAGTTCTTATAGTCTTTCAGTATACGAATGACTCCATGGGAAGGCTATCTGGGTTAAGTCTTTTCGTATGCTCTCAATCTCCCGAACGGCCGGTGTTCGCATGCTTTCGTGGAGGCAGCCAGGCGTTCCGTTGTTTCAGCGGTGTTCGGCAGAAAAAGTGTCCGTTTTCAGTTCCATAGAAATAGAGCCAAACACCGCTGGGCGTTCGCTTGATTTAAAATGGCCGCTGCCTCGTGGTCGACATACGAACGACGACCACCCTGAATTCGGTTTAATTGAGAAGTGTCTGCGGTTAACCACAACGTTCTAATTGGGATCACTTCGTTAACCAGCAGCACACTCCTCACTTGGGTGGCCGTTCGTTCGGCGGTTTGTTCGGGAAAAAGAGTCATTCGAATGGCTGGGCTATAGAAACCAGCCATTCATACGAACGGGGGACAAACAGACGAATGCAGTAAAAATCCAAGCCGACAGATGGTTCTGTCACACCCTGTAACATCTTATTACAGTAACCTGGCTCCTGAGTGCCTTATTACCCCGTAACATCTTATTACAGTAACCCAGCTCCTGAGTGACTTATTACACTATAACATCTTATTACAGTAACCCGGCTCCTGAGCGCCTTCTTACCCCGTAACATCTTATTACAGTAACCCGGCTCCTGAGCGCCTTATTACCCTGTAGCATCGTATTACAGTAACCCGGCTCCTGAGTGCCTTATTACCCTGTAACATCTTATTACAGTAACTCAGCCCCTGAGTGCCTTATTACCCTGTAACATCTTATTACAGTAACCTGGCTCCTGAGTGCCTTATTACTCTGTAACATCTTATTACAGTAACCCAGCTCCTGAGTGCCTTATTACCCCGTAGCATCTTATTACAGTAACCCGGCTCCTGAGTGCCTTATTACCCTGTAACATCTTATTACAGTAACCGGGCTCCTGAGTGCCTTATTACCCCATAACATCTTATTACAGTAACCTGGCTCCTGAGTGCCTTATTACCCTGTAACATCTTAGTACAGTAACCCAGCTCCTGAGCGCCTTATTACCCTGTAACATCTTATTACAGTAACCTGGCTCCTGAGTGCCTTATTACCCCATAACATCTTATTACAGTAACCTGGCTCCTGAGTGCCTTATTATCCTGTAACATCTTATTACAGTAACCTGGCTCCTGAGTGCCTTATTACCCTGTAACATCTTATTACAGTAACCCAGCTCCTGGGTGCCTTATTACCCTGTAACATCTTATTACAGTAACCCGGCTCCTGAGTGCCTTATTACCCTGTAACATCTTATTACAGTAACCCGGCCCCTGAGTGCCTTATTACCCTGTAACATCTTATTACAGTAACCGGCTCCTGAGTGCCTTATTACCCTGTAACATCTTATTACAGTAACCCGGCTCCTGAGTGCCTTATTACCCTGTAACATCTTATTACAGTAACCCGGCTCCTGAGTGCCTTATTACCCTGTAACATCTTATTACAGTAACCCGGCTCCTGCGTGCCTTATTACCCTGTAACATCTTATTACAGTAACCCAGCTCCTGAGTGCGTTATAACCCTGTAACATCTTATTACAGTAACCCGGCTCCTGAGTGCCTTATTACCCTGTAACATCTTATTACAGTAACCCGGCTCCTGAGTGCCTTATTACCCTGTAACATCTTATTACAGTAACCCTGAGTGCCTTATTACCCTGTAACATCTTATTACAGTAACCTGGCTGCTGAGTGCCTTATTACCCTGTAACATCTTATTACAGTAACCCGGCTCCTGAGTGCCTTATTACCCTGTAACATCTTATTACAGTAATCCTGAGTGCCTTATTACCCTGTAACATCTTATTACAGTAACTTGGCTCCTGAGTGCCTTATTACCCTGTAACATCTTATTACAGTAACCTGGCTCCTGAGTGCCTTATTACCCTGTAACATCTTATTACAGTAACCCGGCTCCTGAGCGCCTTATTACCCTGTAACATCTTATTACAGTAACCCGGCTCCTGAGCGCCTTATTACCCTGTAACATGTTATTACAGTAACCCGGCTCCTGAGCGCCTTATTACCCTGTAACGTCTTATTACAGTAACCCGGCTCCTGAGCGCCTTATTACCCTGTAACATCTTATTACAGTAACCCGGCTCCTGAGCGCCTTATTACCCTGTAACATCTTATTACAGTAACCCTGCTCCTGAGTGCCTTATTACCCTGTAACATCTTATTACAGTAACACAGCTCCTGAGTGCCTTATTACCCTGTAACATCTTATTACAGTAACACAGCTCCTGAGTGCCTTATTACCCCTGTAACATCTTATTACAGTAACCCGGCTCCTGAGTGCTCTATTACCCTGTGATATAATTTATAGATATAGTCCTCCTTATGTGAGCCTTATTATCATTAACGATATAGAGCTATGTAGTAACTTGAGGGGATCATTACATCCATAGTGTGACTCAGACGCTCTTTCAGATTTTTCTCTGTTTTGGAAACAAACCCCTCTGGTTTTTGTGTATTGTGAAAATAACAAAGTCAGCACAGAGCCTGACTCCCAGCACAGTTTGTTCCTATCACAGTGAGTTTCTCTGTAGATGTGATTATTCTCAGAGTGAGAGACCGCTCGGCTTTCTGGGTAATCCTTAATATCAATAGAAGGGTCTTCCTTCCACTTGACTCTCGTCTAGACTCTATAAATCAGGGTTGTCTTCTGACTCTCCTGATTTCTCTTCCACCCTGTGGCCATTTCCCACCAGAACCAGCTAACCTTACAATGACCTTTCTTATACCAGCTAATTTCTCTCCTCCTTCCACTTCCATTATACATTCTCTCTATTATCAATCTTTTGAAGTCCACGTCACGTCTATCTCCCTGTGGAAATAATGCACACACCCTTCATGCCACTTCCCCAATCTTGTTTCGCTCCTCTTTCTTTGTTTTCCTAACTTTTTTGTTGATATCCTTTTTTTCCAGTCCCCTCATCTTGCTTATTTACTAAAAGTTTATTTTTCTATGGTGGTTTACCATTTCCCTCCTCCCTACTTCCCAGGGCTCACCACCCCTCCCCTCCTCCCTCTTCCACAATCCTCCTCTCCCTCTCTGTGCTGGGTTGGTATTTAATCCCTTGATGATATCAGGCAAGGCTGAGGATTTCAAAAGAAAACTTTCCACAACAGCTTAACAGAGAGGAAAGGGGACGTCAAGGACAACTCTTAGAAAAGGAAAATAAAAGGGTCTGGTGGGAACAGCCACCGAGGGTAGTAGATGCATGTTTGCAGGGCAGTCATGACAGAGAAGATGTGATAGTGCCTTAGGTAATGAACGGAGAAAGTATCTGAGATTGAAGAAGACAATGAGTGAAACAGAGAGAAAAACCGAGATTGTGCAAGAGGGAAGCAAGAGGCAGGCTTTTTCGCAGAAGACTGGAGTTTGCAAAGAACAAGAAGGAGGCGGGAGCTGATAAGAGAGGTGTAGAATAGTTTTAGAAGATCACAGTGTGCTGTAAAGTTGACTATCAATAAATGAAGCTATCAGTAACATCATCGAGAAAGTATCATAGAGAGGACGCCTGTGACCTGGGACAGGTGGAGGGAATGTCTACCTGCAAATGACTGACACAGGAACCAATGTCACCATAGAGACCAAGTATTAGTCCAAGGTTGTTAGAATGTAACTCAATTTAATCCCAGAATTTCTACCAGATTCCGGTTAATTGCTACGGGGCTTCGCATATCAAAAGGTTATACGGGATTACAGTGCTTCTTAGTACATTTACTGGATTTAAAGTGCAGTGTTTCAAGACTATCTCTGGATTTGTAGACAAATATTTCAACATATATTTTTTTCTGGATTCATAGAACAAGATTAGCAGTGGATTCTCAATCACCATTCCAAAATTATCCTTGGATTTATAGACTGCCACCCCAGCAATAACCCACTAATCACACATTAAAAGGCAATCTGAGGATCTATAGACTGCCATATCAGGATTATCACAAAATTTAGACTGGATTACCCCAGTGTGTGGGGTAATATAACAGTGTAGCAGAGAAGAATTTTAGGTATTGAAGATATTATATATGATCAAAAGTTTTAAAAAAATGCAATTTATTTAGCATCACTAGTGGATTATCCTGGGATTTTATCGAATGCCAGTCCAGGATTATTTCTGCAATTTTAAATGACTATTGATGGATTTAGTCCAGGATTATATCAGGATTTATAGACCGTCAAACCGGAATTATCTCACTATTTCTAGACTGTCAATGCAGGGTTAATCGAACTATTTAAAGATTACCTTTCAAGGATTATTCCAGCAGTTTGGTGGATCCGTTGGCGGACGTTCCTGAATGAAATCAGGTTTCTCAGTCTGATAGTCTGAGATTATCCACGGATATACAGGATTATCACAGGAATTACAGACTGTTAGTGACGGATTACCACAATATTTACAAACTAGCAGTCCAGGATCCATTTAGAATAGAAAGACTCTTCTAGGCATTTCTTATCCATTTGATCTGGTGACCCTGGATTATTCTACAACAAAAACTTCACAGTGTCACGAAGGATTATGTTTGGAACGCGGATTAGACTATTTCCTACAGCTTCAATGAGACAGTCTTTATCCTCTTTGCAATTTTTCATCTACCAATAACTCTCCATTTTTTTGGTTTATCAGTCCGTTTTTGTTCTTCGCAACTTTCTTCCTATTTAACCTACTGGTCTGTCTTCTCCTCTTCTCTCTTTCTTTCTCCACTTTCTCTCTCTCTTTCTCTCAAAGTTCGGATTATGTTGGCAGAGCTGGTGTTACTTTGTTTTGCTTCGTGAGACGTGGTCCAGTGGGACTCTGACATACACAGACAGATGTCAGACGAGGAGCAATCCCCAGAACCCAAACCCTCTCGGGCCATGGGCAAGGAAATTACTATGGTAATCTCTGTCTCTGTCTTTCTCTCCCCTTGGGAGTACGTGCATGGTAAAGAGGTATTTGTTATTATTCCCTAGAACATATGCATATAAGAAGATCTCTGTGTAACGACTGCACTTACTGTACCTCCTTAAAATAATACAGGGTATCACTACTGCATTTACTGTACCTCCTTGTTATACACAGGGTATCACTACTGCACTTACTGTACCTCCTTATTATACTCAGGGTATCACTACTGCACTTACTGTACCTCCTTATTATACTCAGGGTATCACTACTGCACTTACTGTACCTCCTTATAATACACAGAGTATCAATACTGCACTTACTGTACCTCCTTATTATACTCAGGGTATCACTACTGCACTTACTGTACCTCCTTATTATACTCAGGGTATCACTACTGCACTTACTGTACCTCCTTATTATACTCAGGGTATCACTACTGCACTTACTGTACCTCCTTATAATACACAGAGTATCAATACTGCACTTACTGTACCTCCTTATTATACTCAGGGTATCACTACTGCACTTACTGTACCTCCTTATAATACACAGAGTATCAATACTGCACTTACCGTACTTCCTTATAATACACAGGGTATCACTACTTCACGTACCATACCTCCTTATAATACACAGGGTATCACTACTGCACTTACTGTACCTTCTTATAATACACAGGGTATCACTACTGCACTTACTGTACCTTCTTATAATAATTCAGGGGATCACTGCTGCACTTACCGTACCTCCTTATAATAACACAGGGTATCACTACTGCACTTACCGTACCTCCTTATAATACACAGAGTATCACTACTGCATTTACTGTACCTCCTTATAATACAGAGTATCACTACTGCACTTACCGTACCTCCTTATAATACACAGAGTATCACTACTACACTTACCGTACCTCCTTATAATACACAGAGTATCACTACTACACTTACTCTACCTCCTTATAATAACACAGGGTATCACTACTGCACTTACCGTACCTCCTTATAATACACAGAGTATCACTACTGCATTTACTGTACCTCCTTATAATACACAGAGTATCACTACTGCACTTACCGTACCTCCTTATAATACACAGAGTATCACTACTACACTTACTCTACCTCCTTATAATAACACAGGGTATCACTACTGCACTTACCGTACCTCCTTATAATACACAGAGTATCACTACTGCATTTACTGTACCTCCTTATAATACACAGAGTATCACTACTGCACTTACCGTACCTCCTTATAATACACAGAGTATCACTACTACACTTACTCTACCTCCTTATAATAACACAGGGTATCACTACTGCATTTACTGTACCTCCTTATAATAAAACAGGGTATCAGTACTGCACTTACTGTACCTCCTTATAATACACAGAGTATCACTACTGCATTTACTGTACCTCCTTATAATACACAGAGTATCACTACTACACTTACTCTACCTCCTTATAATAACAAAGGGTATCACTACTGCACTTACTGTATCCTCTTAATATACAGTTTAACATCTGTCCTTACTGTGTATAACCTACCGAATAGTGGTGAATTAAACATTTAAATTGCTAAATTCAGGGTAAAATACCCCAGATGTGACCATAGCTGAGTTGTAGTCCTTTTACAAGTCAACTAAATTCACTATAATTCACTCTTTAGTGAATAAACCCCAACAGTGTGAAATGTCTTAACGTTTATGTACTTGAGCCATGTCTAGTTAGATATAAAAACATGTCCTGGTTAGTATCTAACCTTCCGGGGTAAATGTTACACATGGGCTGCTTGCATAATACCTGCCTATGACCTCAGCTGAACCCTACTGATGCTTTAACATGCTTCTTGTGTACGTTATCAAATCGCTATTTATATAAGAAGATCCGAGTAGGATGTCAAACATAATAAGAGGTGTCGGGGGTTATGGACAAAGTGAAATAGGGGAGGTTTCAGAGATGAAAGATTTAGAGGGGATGACAGGGATTTGGGGCCAGGACAGAGGGCAAGCGTCAGGGTTCTTGGACCTAAGGATGGAGAAAGGGTGTTGGGACCTGGTCCTTGAGAAAGAGGAATGCTGCATTGGGTTTTAAGATAGAGAGATGGGGTTGCAGATAATTCGGGTCTATGGATGGATGATCGTTGTTAGCGAATGTTTTTTTCTAGAATTTTATTAGGTTTATCAAGATATGGAAGAGAAGCCTGTGTGGGTTCTGGATCTATGTCGGAATGACTTTTCCAGACGCGGGGGATGGTCGGAATATTTTGGGGTTTTCAATGGACATATGAAGAAGAGTATTTTTTGAATCCAGATCTGATAGAGGCGTGTTAGGAGTTATGAAATTAGGGATGGAGCAGAATAGGGTGTATATTACTCTAAGAAAGAAGGAACAGGGATTAGGTCACATTTGAAGGGAGTCAATAAAATGAGTGTTTGTGGATGGTATGATCCATGTGGAAAGTGACCCATTTGCCAGTATTAGCTGATTTGTCCCCCTCCGACCCACTCTCCTTGTCATTCTGCAGGGGTTTATATTAAGTGTCTTTAGAAATGTACCTGTGATTAATTGGACATTTCTCCTGTAAGAACTGTTCTTGTACAGGAGTCTGCAGTGACTAACGAAAACCCCTCTAGTTTATTGCAGTTTATATTAAGGATTGAAACATTTTTCTAAGAATGTTGTGTTTTAAATGTTGGTAGTTGTTTGACGTAAAAAATATTGGGATGTTATTGACAGGTGTCATAATTCTCTTGTAAATTAAGTTTCTAAACTTAGTGTCAGAATACTTTGGGTTAGAGGGCTTAGATTTGATTTTAGGGTGAGGAGTACACGCCTTTAAGATGCTGTGGACTGCAAATGCCATCATTCTCAGCCACAGTTAGTGTTAGAACCCCAATCCTTTAATGCTATACTGCCATAACTTTAATATTAAACCCCTGTATCCACTGAACCCATGCTGCAGTATGTTGAATGCGCCACTGTTATATATAGTTCCTAGAATGACTGGAGCTCTTAAAAATCACTGGGAGAGCATTGTACAGCGCTGCAGAATTTGTTGGCGCTTTGTAAATAATAATGATAATGCCGCTAAATTGCCAAAGATCAACTAAAAAGTGACTAGGTCTAACTTTTATTAAATGCTGAAATCATTGTCCTGTATGATGTATTTGTTTTTTTAAATGTGTCCCCAGATAAAATATAAAAGTGATTTCCCCATAGTAATCTGTTTTACGGCTCCCTGAAGACGGCCTTTGGCAGGGGTGGCATGTTTTGGTAATATGAGGGCTGGTGTCAGCATTAGCAGGGAGGCCAGGATCTCATGCTGGTAGGGGGAGGGGAGCTGGTTAAACCGGACCAGTCGCTTTGCATGGAACCTGGTGGTTTAACCTTGTTGTGACTTGGCGTGTGTCCCTTGGGACAGAGTGTGGGCACAAAAGAGCCTTCCAGCTTACTGCGTTTATACCACTACACCTGTGTAATAATCTATATGAAATCTTTCTCTTTAGTACATAGGCTGTTTAGCGTAACACATGATTTGGATAGGTTTCTGCCCCAGGTCAGGGAAAAAATGCTTGTATGCATTAGGAAGACATGTTATTTGACCCTTTGTGTGCCAGAACAGTTTGACTGCCATTCTAGTTCTTCTTTGGTTAAAATGAGTGTCAGATCTACAAAGAGACTAATATTATAAATGGAGTTTAAAATGTGGGTTTGCCGAGAGACAGAGACACACACACAAACACACACACTACAATAAGCCAATACAGTTAAGGTGTAGTAAAAGGTGATTTAAAACCCCTTCCACCCACAGCCGGTGCAAGACTATTTTGCGCTCTAGGCAAGACCATCTACTTGCGCCCCCCTAAAAAAACAAAAATTGCCAACTTTGTGTGCCTTTTTACATGTCTCTTTCTCACCCAACATCTCTTTGTGTGTCTCTTTTTCCCCTTCCTTAGCCCCTCTGTGTGTCTCTTTCTCCCCCTAGCCCCTTTGTGTGTCTCTTTCTCTTTTCAGCCCTTCTGTGCATCTCTTTGTCCTCCCGAGCCCCTCTGTGTTTCTCTTTGTCGTCGTCCAAGCCGCACTGTGTCTCTTTGTCCTTCTAGCATCTCTCTGTGTCTCTTTATTATCCAACATCTCTTTCTCCCCTAGCCCCCCCTGACCTTTTCTGTGTCTCTATTCACCCCCAGCCCTTCTGTGTCTTTCTTTGTCCCCCAGCCCTTTTGTGTCTCTCTTGGCCCACCCTAGCACTTGTGTCCTTTCCCCCCAGCCCCCTGTCTTTTCTCTCCCTCACAGCCCTCTGTGTGCCTCCCCCAGCTTTCTGTGTGCCTCTTTGTTCCCTCTAGTCCTCTGTGTGCCTTCCCCCAGCACTCTGTGTGCCTTTTCATGTGCCTCATTAACCTCCCCCGGCACCTCCCCCCACCCCCGACCGAGACGAGGGACACACTGAGACTAGGAACACAGTGAGACCAGGAACACAGTGAGACCATGCACACACTGAGACTAGGAACACACTGATACCAGGAACACACTGAGACCAGGAACACACTAAGAACAAAAACACACTGAGACCAGGAGCACAGTGAGACCAGAAACACACTGAGACCAGGAACACACTGAGACAATGAATGCACTGAGACCAGGAACACAGGGAGACCAGGAACACACTGAGACAAGCAACACACTGAGACCAGGAACACACTGAGACCAGGAACGCACTGAGACCAGGAACGCACTGAGACCAGGAACACAGTGAGACCAGGAACACACTGAGACCAGGAACACACTGAGACCAGGGACACAGTGAGACCAGGAACACACTGAGACAAGGAACACACTGAGACCAGGAACACACTGAGACCAGGAACACAGTGAGACCAGGAATACAGTGAGACCAGGAACACACTGAGATAAGAAACACACTGAGACCCTAAGTTGGAGTAAGACCATAGTCTTTGTTTAAAGGCATTTTAAAACACATTGTAACAACACACTGATATAGTAAACTGTAACTTTATTTCAAAACATCTATGACACAAATGAACCCAACATTGAAAATCCAGGCAAACTGCCCAGACAGGCTCCTAAACAGCCAGTATAAACAAATTACGATTAACACCCCCCATTTATTTAAAGTAACAGTGTTGTGTTACAAATACAAATCTGTACTCCTAACACTATAATGTCCCTCTGCCATCCCCCTCCCTCGCACCCCCCTCCCCGGTAAATAAAGGGTTAAAAATAATTTATTTACTTACCTTATCCCAGCACCGATGTCCCTCGGCTCTGGGTCGAAGCTCCGCCCCTCCTCCATCCCGCGACGAGCGGGGTCCAATGCGCATGTGCGGAAAATGCTGCACACGCATTAGACCTCCCCATTGAATCAATTCTCTGGAACTGCAATGTTTAATACTACAGCACTAGGTGCAAAAGGGACAAAGCACACAGACTACTTCAATGAGCAGAGGTGGTCTGGGTGCTTACAGGTTCCCTTTAAGCGGTTAAAAACCCTTTAGCTACTTACTCAATTCCAGGCCTTCCCCATGGGATAGCATTGAATCAGTGCTTTTCAATGAGGGATTTTAAGAAGCTGGATGTCCCAATGCAAAGTGTGAGGATGTCCAGCGTTGTTTCAGGGAGGTAAATTGGTAGACAGCCACTAGCGGTAATCTTAGGACTGCAATGTAAGCATTGCCGTTGCTCTAAAACTCCTGTGTTTTACATTGCATGGTTAAAGGGACAGGGATACTGCACCCAGACCACTTTAATTATATGAAGTGGTCTGGGTGCATTTAGTGTCCATTTAAAAAGATAAATATAAAGCCTCCTTTTTGCCATTTAAAGACTATGACAAATTCAAATAAAGATGTGAACAGGTACCAAGGAAGGAAACACAATCTGAGGGGGCTAGGGGGGAACTGCACCTACTTTTGACGGTCCGTTTCGTAGCCAAAGGCTAAACTCCAATCTACAAAGTGCCTGCTTATATAAATTCTTCTGGCTGCAGTAATTATGTGCACAAAACTTGCAGTGAGGCCCTACAGGCCAATAAAATTAAGCTGCTACAGTGTAAGCTGCAATGCTCAGCTCACAGAGCACAAGGCCCTAAACCCTGGCACTCACTCACAGCTACTGAAGGAGGCAGTGGAACTATTATCCCCTCAGTTCCTTCCAAACACATATAGACTTAGTGTCCCTTGTCTGGTTAATGTAACGCTTTATCACTGTCAGTTAGCTTGGCTAAGGACAATGAGAGTAGCTGGCTGGATTTTCAACATCAACTAGGTGAATTAGAGGGCGGCCTTGCAGCATACAGCACTTCTTCTAACAATATATTTAGTTATTTTAATTTACTACTTTGATTGAAAGTACACCAACATATGCCACAGCGCAGTACTAGTAACACCGGGGAACACAACTGACTGGAATCAGGTGGAGAGATTTATAGAAAGGGCAGGGACTATCCAAAAGTCAAATCCAAAAGTCTTGCAAGTAGGAACATGCTTTGAGCTACAGTGTCATTCATTAACTGAGATACATTGTAATTTATTAACCCTGTATGTGGAGCTCTTCACAAAGTATTGCGCTTAAACATTTCATCGGCTCTTTATGGGCTGCCTGCCCTGTAGACTGAGCTCTGGGCATGAAAAATGGTAAATATATATATATAAACATATATACGAAATGTCACGAAGGGGTGAGGCATTGTTATTATCACATAAAGCGCAGGCATGCAAAGGGTTAAGAAACCTGATGGAAAAGGTTCATAGGAAAATCACGTTAACACACGCAAACACACAGCACTAGTAACAGAACACCAATATATACATAGAGCCATAACTAGTGTAACACCAATATATCCATATACACACACAAGTAAACCCAGCCCTCTTCTTTTATGACATTGCTTATTGGCACACATGCATGTAAATGGAAAGAAGGAACATAAATGAAAATCATACATGTATGTAACACTGTTAACACCAGGATACTTTATTCACCCAAGACAGTACTGAAGTCACTTCGATATAAGCCCTATCTTCATAATGTGTGGCAACAAATATTCACATGTATCTTGATATAAATATCAAGGAGTGAAATATAAATATCAGATCCACACTGAGCTCAGTGATCGTACACACAGCACAAGATTGTGGTTGGCTGGCAGGGTGACTGCTTGCTGTGGCTAGCTGGCTGATGTGGCTGGCTGGCTGCTGTGGCAGGGTGACTGGCTGATGTGGCTGGGTAACAGCCTGCTCTGGCTGGCTGGCTGCCTGCTGTAGCTGGCTGATGTGGCTGACTGCCTGCTGTGGTTGGCTGGCTGCTGTGGCAGGGTGACTGGCTGATGTGACAGGGTGACTGCCTGCTGTGGCTGGCTGGCTGCTGTGTCTGATGTGGCAGGGTGACTGCCTGCTGTGGCTGGCTGGCTGCTGTTGCTGATGTGGCAGGGTGACTGCCTGCTGTGGCTGGCTGCCTGCTGTGGCTGGCTGATGTGGCAGGGTGACTGCCTGCTGTGGCTGGCTGCCTGCTGTGGCAGGGTGGCTGGTTGATGTGGCTGGCTGGTTGCTGTGGCAGGTTGACTGCCTGCTATGGCTGGCTGCTGTGGCAGGGTGACTGCCTGCTATGGCTAGCTGCTGTGGCAGGGTGACTGCCTGCTATGGCTGGCTGCTGTGGCAGGGTGACTGCCTGCTGTGGCTGGCTGGCTGCTGTGGCAGGGTGACTGCCTGCTATGGCTAGCTGCTGTGGCAGGGTGACTGCCTGCTATGGCTGGCTGCTGTGGCAGGGTGACTGCCTGCAATGGCTATGGCTGCTGTGGCAGGGTGACTGCCTTCTGTGGCTGGCCTGCACTGCTGCTGTGGCAGGGTGACTGCCTGCTACTGTGAGCCTGCTGTAGGCAGGGTGACTGCCTGCTGTGGCTGGCTGGCTGCTGTGGCAGGGTGACTGCCTGCTATGGCTGGCTGCTGTGGCAGGGTGACTGCCTGCTATGGCTGGCTGCTGTGGCAGGGTGACTGCCTGATGTGGCTGGCTGATGTGGCTGGCAGGGTGGCTGATGTGGCTGCTCCAGCTTCGATGGCCAAATAATGTCCATGCTTATTTGCTGCCTGCAGAGTTCTCAGTTGTATTAACTTCAAGGCAAACTTTAAGACATAATGTGACATTTACAATGATGATGGAATCATAGATTGTAATCTTATTTTCTTCCCAGAATCCATTGCAGGAATGGGGTGAGGAGATTGAAGATGGGGCCATTTATGGCGTGACACTGAGGAGAGTGAGGACAGAAACACCACCTGAAGACAACCTGGTACGAGATGGACCTCTGTATCTCAAAGTAGGAGTGACCATTATACATGACATTAGGCCGCTGCCTAGGGCCCAGCTGTTAAAGAGGCCCAGTTGCATGAAATTGCTATCCTAACGATGACATATGGCTTAAGATACCACCCTACAGTTATGACAAAATAACAAAATAACACACATTTCCAATCACAAGCTACAATTCACTTAATGTTAACCTAGGCCAGACACTCTGTATCTGGTATTTTTCACTCAGACAGGTAACAACAGATAGCAGATAGTGTGTTCTATCCCATGAAGGTGGTTTCTGCGTAACTACTCAGAATTTACTATTATCTCCACATTTAATACAAAAGGTCAGACAGGATTATTTACTAAAGTGTGAATTGTTGGGATTTCAAAGTAAATTTTAAAATTAAGGCCGAAGTAGCTGAAACGGTAGCATAGATCACTTGGAGAATGTTTCTAGTATGGCTACTGCAGCCTTAACTGAAGTGTGTAACAATACTTTATTAGTAAGAACATATATTATGGCAGCATACTTTTTTTTATATGTTTCTGCTGTTAAAATTTTAATTTGACATTTTTTGTAGTTCTTTTTATCTTTCCCTCTTTCTCTCTCTCATGATAACCTATGTAGACCCCGATGTTTAATTTGCCTTAATTTCCTCATTTTCTGTGTATATGTTCACCCACATCTCTCCCAACCTGTAACCTGTCACATTCCTGTCTTTTGTCACCATAGCCGTCTGTCATACCCTACTACTCACGATATATCTTTCTAAAGAACGTCTTGGCTACTGTAAACAATGCCAACCGCCCCTTCTCCTTGCGATATAATAAATCATTGTTATCATTGTGTTTTTCTATAACTGTATCAAATCCCACAGCCTTAGATACGTTGAATAAAAGGAACTAAGCAAACATAGTTTAATTGGAAAAAACAAACCAACAGGCATATTTTAAATGGCTCATTTAACATCAATAGAGAAAGGGATAGGCAATGCATGTGGTGGAGAATATGATATATAGATGACCTTGTATAAATTATAAAGACACATTAAATATATAAGGTTAGGCTCCCGACCAAGGATTTAATATCCAACATACCTTCATCAACAATAATTACAAACTAAGCAATATATCAGTACTTTACAAGGGGTGTTGAGGAAGAACTGATACTTGGATGGATGGAAATCTTGAGATTTTAAAGACTCATTCCAACTCCTGTTAACCACTTTCTTATCTTCTACATCCTTCTTTTTCCTCCATTCTTCGTGATAACCTCACGTCTCCACTCATCCTATCTCCCTTTCTTCACAATTGCGTGACATCTTCAGAACCATCTTCTTACTCTTCTTGGTCCATTTTGAGTTCCTCCACTATTGCCTACTCTCCACCTTTTTTTCCTCTTTATCCTGTGTTATTTCCCCGTAATTTCTTCCCCATATAACCCACTCCCCGTTATCCCTAGGCTGTCCCTTCTTGCCCTGGTTATGTTCATTATAAGACCTGTAAAGTTCGAAGTCTACGTGCTGGAACTCTTCAGAAGCTGGTAGAGAACCTCCTGGTAGAATATCAAGGAACTGATACTGCCTACGTACCTACCTTCCTGAGCACATATCGTTCCTTTACAAACCCCCAGAAGGTGCTGGAGCTGTTGTTGGACAGGTGAGGGAAAACATATTTTGTTGTGCATACAACTGGATTTACATCCAGTATTTGCTCTTCCCAGACCCCCAAATGGAGATCAAAATCTTCCTATCCCCATAACTACCTCCTCTTGCTAATGACAATGCAACTATTCTTAGATTATCCAACCATTTCACTTGAGGCCCTTGAATAGTAAACTTTAACTCATGGAATTAGGTTTTTTTTTAAAAATGAAATAAAAAAGTAAACCTTAGAGCCTGATATTAAAACAAAATAAAATGAAATTGAACCATGAAATTAAAATTGTGTGTACCCCCAGCAAGACGGCTAAGAGGTAGGATTAATGAGGCCTTACTGGACTGAGGGTATTTAAATGCCCATCAGTCATATGGTTGCCACTCCTCTTCATTATTATTGCCATTTTTCTTAAGGTTGAAACCTTTTGGGATATAAGGTGATTTTGGGTAGATAGTCAACAGTATCTGATAACTTCAAGTGTACATTTGTTGGACCAACTACTGGCAAGGCACCTTTATACAGACGCATTAAAATTCCTGCTATAAACAATAAATTACCTGGTGGCCGTTTACAAAGAGTTATCCTGGATGGACGGATAGATCCCACCTCAGAGCTGTCCAGATGATAAACTGAGGTTGTTTTTCTCTACAGACGCTTAGAAAAAGTGGGCAATGAAGAAACTCTTCCTCCTGGAAGCCCAGTTCCAGATGTCCTGCGTGTACAGAGGTCAGTGTGAAAATTGAGAGGTCACAGTGCATTAATAGAATACCCATGTGTTCATTGAGAATATGACCTATAATTTCTGGAGTTATGATTATTGACAGTGGTGTATGGAAATCCCTCTGTTATAAGGTAACATACTAGCCATGGCTCCTGGGCAGGTAGGTATAGTGTTAGTGTGGGAAGATATAGGTGTGAATTAAAACTGGATCGCAGTCTGGTAATACTGGACCTGTAGGTCTATCAAATATAACGAGAGAAAGAATTGTGATGTCAGTATGTTCAGGACATTGTTTTATGCAATAATGTAATTAGTAGGAGTCAACATGATTTTGTAATTAATTATGCCTCTCCTTAAAACATCCGCAACCCCAGTTTATAAATGGATTGGTAATGTATTTTACATTCTAAGCTTTGTTTTCATGTTCAAAACTTTCCAGGCAATTACTGCTAAACTACTACTGATATCACAGGTCTGGGGATCAAACTGTGCCAGCCAGAAGAATTGTCTATCCATGTATTTCCTATGTGGCTGAGTTAATAAATAGATCCCCGTAGCTAGGTTTTTATGATAATATCATACTGTATAATCAGCCATTAAGAGCTGAATTAAGATTGCCCAGGGGCCCAGGCAGCATTCTAGATCATGGTCTCCTCTTAGAGCCCCATGCTCTGTTTCAGTGAGTATTGTGTATATGGGAGGAGGGAGGGAGACTGCGTGTTGTGTCTGTGTGTGAAAGCGTGTGTAGTGGCTGAGGGTTGTGTGTGAAAGCATGTGTAGTGGCTGAGGGTTGTGTGTGAGAGTGTGTAGTGGCTGAGGGTTAGTGTGTGAGAGTGTGTAGTGGCTGAATGTTGTGTGTATGGGCGGTGGGGATACCGAGTGTTGTGTGTGTAGTGGCTGACTGTTGTGTGTAGTGGCTGAGTGTTGTGTGTAGTGGCTGAATGTTGTGTGTGTGATAGTGTGTGAGGGCTGGATCTTTGCATTCGCAAAACGTGTGTGCTGAGGGTTGTGTGTGAAAGCGTGTGTAGTGGCTGAGGGTTAGTGTGTGAGAGTGTGTAGTGGCTGAGGGTTAGTGTGTGAGAGTGTGTAGTGGCTGAATGTTGTGTGCATGGGCGGTGGGGATACCGAGTGTTGTGTGTGTAGTGATTGAGTGTTGTGTGTAGTGGCTGAGTGTTGTGTGTAGTGGCTGAATGTTGTGTGTGTGATAGTGTGTGGTGGCTGAGGGGTGTGTGTGCAGTGGCTGAATGTTGTGTGTATGGGCGGTGGGGACACTAAGTGTTGTGTGTGTAGTGACTGTGTGTTGTGTGTAGTTGCTGAGTGTTGTGTGTAGTGACTGAGTGTTGTGTGTAGTGGCTGAATGTTGTGTGTAGTGGCTGAGTGTTGTGTGTAGTGGCTGAATGTTGTGTGTGTGATAGTGTGTAGTGGCTGAGGGGTGTGTGTGCAGTGGCTGAATGTTGTGTGTATGGGCGGTGGGGACACTAAGTGTTGTGTGTGTAGTGACTGTGTGTTGTGTGTAGTTGCTGAGTGTTGTGTGTAGTGGCTGAGTGTTGTGTGCAGTGGCTGAATGTTGTGTGTGTGATAGTGTGTGGTGGCTGAGGGGTGTGTGTGCAGTGGCTGAATGTTGTGTGTATGGGCGGTGGGGACACTAAGTGTTGTGTGTGTAGTGACTGTGTGTTGTGTGTAGTTGCTGAGTGTTGTGTGTAGTGACTGAGTGTTGTGTGTAGTGGCTGAATGTTGTGTGTAGTGGCTGAATGTTGTGTGTGTGATAGTGTGTAGTGGCTGAGGGGTGTGTGTGCAGTGGCTGAATGTTGTGTGTACAGGCAGTGGGGACACTAAGTGTTGTGTGTGTAGTGACTGTGTGTTGTGTGTAGTTGCTGAGTGTTGTGTGTAGTGACTGAGTGTTGTGTGTGAGAGTGTATAGTGGCTGAGCGTTGTGTGTGTAGTGGCTGAATGTTGTGTGTGAGTATGTAGTGGCTGAATGTTGTGTGTATGGGCGGTGGGGATACTGAGTGTTGTGGTGTGTAGTGACTGTGTTGTGTGTAGTTGCTGAGTGTTGTGTGTAGTGGCTGAGTGTTGTGTGTAGTTGCTGAGTGTTGTGTGTAGTGGCTGAGTGTTGAGTGTAGTTGTTGAGTGTTGTGTGTAGTGGCTGAGTGTTGTGTGTGAGAGTGTGTAGTGGCTGAGGGTTGTGTGTGTAGTGGCTGAATGTTGTGTGTGAGTGTGTAATGGCGGAGGGTTGTGTGTGTAGTGACTGAGTGTTTTGTGTGGAGAAAACTGAGAGCTGTATATGGGATGTGGGGGGGTGTCCTTGGTTAATAGGAAGGTGACTGAGTAAATTTGTGGTCGGCAAATAATTGCAAATGAATCATATTTTTAATGGTTAAGCTTCATGTGAACTTTGTTGAATCTGATTGCTTAGTAGGGGATATGTTTGTTTCAATCTTCATTATATTGAAATGGTTAGTAGTGGATTAGTTTGTTTGATTAAATTAGACCGGTAGGTAAGGGGATCTCTTTCATCCCCTCTTTATTGACTTCATCATTCATTTATTTTTGTGTTGTGATTGTCTTCATTTAATAAAAATGCTTCATACAACAATAATTATGTCAAGTCCTTAGTGAGCAATCCTTGGTAATCGTCTGATCAAATCCTAATACTAAGTTTCAGAATTTGTGTTTGGGTTGTTTGTTGTTGTTTTTTTGTTTTTTTTACTCTTAAATCCTAAAATGTTTAGATAACTCCTAATTAGACGAACGCACCACAATAGACCCATTCTCTTATGCTTCATTTCAGGGTTATCCGGGGCATTCTCCAGACCTGGTTAGAGACACATCCTCAAGATTTTCTAGATACCCCTCAATGCCTACATCTCATCTCGTCCTACCTAACCCATGATAGCCGTGAGACCTCAAATCACCTTCTTCACCTGGTACAAAGTTTGGAAGAAGAAGGAAAACAAGACGTGACTCTGCAAGGTAAGATTCATTTCTTCCAGGAACCTGTGGGTAACACAGCACTCCTGTGATAACTGATTTTTCCGTAAATTTAGAATGGAGACTCTCCACGCAGCCTTCAGAACACAACAAGGAGAGCGCAGATGCCTCAGGAAACATCCCTGAATTATTGTCCTATCCTTCCCAGGAAGTGGCCGAACAACTTACCCTGATTGATGTAGTAAGTGTGTGCATGCAATTCATGTATTTGTCATTCATTCTTATTATTTCCTACTTGATTATTTAAAGGGAAGCTACAGTCTCCAAAATAACTTTAATGAAGCAGTTTTAGTATATAGGCCATGCCCTTGCAGTCTCTTTGCTCAGTTATCTGCCATTTATGAGTTAAATCACTTTGTTTCTGTTTATGCAGCCCTAGCCACACCTACCCTGGCTGTGACTGACACAGCCTGCATGAAAACAGAATGGATTCACTTTCAATCGCATGTTAACTTATTTATCTCCTGCTCTGTAAATTGAACTTTAATCCCACACAAGGAGCTCCTGCAGGGTCTAGCAATCTATTAACAGAGTAGGAGATAAGAAATTCTAAAGTTAAAAGAATTAGCAATAAAGGAAGTATAAACATTAGGTGACTCTTTACAGGAAGTGTTTTGGAAGGCTCTGCAAGTCACATGCACGGAGGTGTGACTAGGGCTGTATAAACGTTGTGATTTAACTCCCAAATGGCATCAAATTGAGCTGTGAAACTGCAGGGGCATTATCTATTCAGCAAAACTGCTTCATTAATCTAAATTTGTTTGGTGACTATAGCATCCCTTTAATTTACATCACACACATCATATGAATTCTGTATACTGAGGAAAACACTTTTCAGAACCTAGCTATTACATTTTCCCAGATGTCAGCAAAGATTCAAGAAAACCTGCTCTGCTTCACTGATCTTTGAGTAACATGTTTTGAATCACTGTGTTCTTTTTTTGCCGTTAAAAAGTTAGGAGCTAGCTTTCAGGATAATGTGTGACTTGCTGCCTCATTGCTTACTCCAGGCCTCGCAGTACTTTCTGGATACTTGTTGAGTTAATTGAGTAAACCAGTAACTTTGGAGAATTGCCAAAATAGAGAAATGCTTCTTGAATATTTTCCCATCTCAGCTGTTTTGCCATACATTTTGCATACGTTTGGCAATACTCCATATTTCCAAGTTTAGAGTATAAACTCCCTACATGCATATTAACTTGTGGCCATTCTATAGGCATATTCTCTTAACATTGTCACCTTCGTTCTTTGTCAAACGTTTTGCGCTGTCCACAGAATGCAAAGATCCAGCCCTCCAAACAGTCTCGATTTTGGTGGCACAGTCCTGATTTCCTATCAAGTTCACCTGATAATATGAGTCATTCTTAAAAGCACCGAGTTTTCTTGATAGTTTTTTACACAATTGTGTTCAAATTCCCCAGGATACGAGCTTCCTAAGTAGGGGTTTAGTAGATAAAACTCCCAAAAGTTATGTATTTAATTCTGTTTATAATACAGTCTGTATCTTAGAAGTTTCTAATTTATTTATGTGCATTATATAATATGCTTCCTATAACAAATAGCTCTGTTTAAAGAGACAGTATTATTTTCACCTCAGTCTAAAAAAAGTACACATTATTTAAAATATATTTGGTGAAGGAACTACAATCGATTAGTGTTTGTATTTATTGCTCAATGAAGTCTTAATTTTGAGGTAGTCAAGTTCATTTTAAACGTCCAATATTATCTGTTAAATAATCATCCGATTTAAAAAAATCAACAGACTGTCACAATCTGCCCAGTTTACCTAACTAACTTACACTAACACTAAGAGACAGAGTGTATTTGCCTAGAAAGCTACCAAACATCCCCAACCTTTAACTGCTGATCCAAGCGGCTGTCTTTATTCCAAATAAACAGATATAAAGCAATTTTTTTCAAATCTAACTAACACTGGCGGGCTTCTTTAAAGATTATCTGAAAGATGATGTGTAGATACTAAATATAGGATTTGGGGAGGTCCAAGCTTGTGTCATTGGTTTACAATTCCTATCATCCCTAATCTGTAGAAATTATTTCTCAAGATGCCATTAAGCTATATTTCCCATGACTATATTCTATCTATAGAGCACTATTTTTTATCCACCCATGGGTTGGCCAGGAATCATGGGATCTGTAGTTTAACCCCTTAAGGACCAAACTTCTGGAATAAAATGGAATCATGGGATCTGTAGTTTAAACAAAGGTTTAGGGCTGTTTTGGTTTCCTTTATATTGTTGCGTTTTTTGATCCAGGGAGAAATCTTATTTTGAAGTCACGAAGGATTGTTTTACCATTTTGTGGGAAAAATTGGGATTGTTGTCTACTATTCAATCAACAGTAAAATAAAAGAGAGATGTGTTAAACACTGACTGTCCTCTTCAGCCATTGTTACTGCGTATATTAGGAATTAGAGTTACCGTATATTAATTACCGGGATATAGTGTAACTACCTGAAACCCGCTCTCGCATGTAACTTTTACTCTCTTTTGCAGGACTTATTTCAGAGGCTCCAAACGTGTCACTGTCTCGGCAGTATTTGGTCACAACGTGACAAGAAGGAAAACAGACACGTGGCCCCCAGTGTTAGGGCCACTGTGGCTCAGTTTAATGCAGTGACAGCGTGTGTAACAGCATCTGTGCTAAATGATATTCAGCTGAGACCACAGCAGAGAGCGAAGGTGCTAGAGAAATGGATTGGCATAGCACAGGTGTGATTTCATTATTGTTATCATTATTTCATCACAGAGTGACACAGACAGGAGGGAGCTATGGGATATGGAGTCTGTCCCTCCCAGCACAGGGTGACACAGACAGGAGGGAGCTATGGGACATGGAGTCTGTCCCTACCAGCACAGAGTGACACAGACAGGAGGGAGCTATGGGATATGGAGTCTGTCCCTCCCAGCACAGGGTGACACAGACAGGAGGGAGCAATGGGATATGGAGTCTGTCCCTCCCAGTACAGGGTGACACAGACAGGAGGGAGCTATGGGACATGGAGTCTGTCACTCCCAGCACAGGGTGACACAGACAGGAGGTAGCTATGGGACATGGAGTCTGTCACTACCAGCACAGAGTGACACAGACAGGAGGGAGCTATGGGACATGGAGTCTGTCCCTCTCAGCACAGGGTCACACAGACAGGAGGGAGCAATGGGATATGGAGTCTGTCCCTCCCAGCACAGGGTGACACAGACAGGAGGGAGCTATGGGACATGGAGTCTGTCACTCCCAGCACAGGGTGACACAGACAGGAGGTAGCTATGGGACATGGAGTCTGTCACTACCAGCACAGGGTGACACAGACAGGAGGGAGCTACATTATATGGAATTTGTTGTTTTCCCTACAGGTACAGAATATGGATATTAGAAATTAATTGTCATTGTCTTTCTTTTTCAGCACTGCCGGTTCCTGCGCAATTTCTCTTCTCTTAGAGCTATTTTGTCAGCTCTGCAGTCAAACTCCATCTACAGACTGAAGAGAACATGGGCGTCAGTGAGCAGGTACAGTGTGCGCATGGTTCCCTCCACAGACACACTGCTCACCAGACAGCAAACACCGGCAGACAGGAACTGCTACAAAGCTAGATTCTCATTGTCTCATGTTTTTAATCTAGGGATAATCTGATGGTCTTCCACAAATTATCCGCCATTTTCTCTGATGAAAATAACCACGAAATGAGTCGGGAGATTTTAAACAAGGTAATTACTATGCATGGTTTAAAATACATTGATATATAATAATACTGAGTATCTATACACTGATAATGAGCACACTGCGCTGCATAATGATCCTGAGTATCTATACACTGATAATGAACACGCTGCGCTGTAAAATAATACTGAGTATCTATACACTGCTAATGAACATGCTGCACTGTATAATGACACTAAGTATCTATACATTGATAATGAACACACTGCGCTGTATAATGATACTGAGTATCTATACACTGATAGTGAACACACTGCGCTGTATAATAACACTGAGTATCTATACACTGATAGTGAACACACTGCGCTGTATAATAATACTGAGTATCTATACACTATTAATGAACACACTGCGCTGTATAATAATACTGAGTATCTATACACTGATAATGAACGCACTGCACTGTATAATAACACTGAGTATCTATACACTGATAATGAACATGCTGCGCTGTATAATAATACTGAGTATCTATACACTGATAATGAACACACTGCGCTGTATAATGACACTAAGTATCTATACATTGATAATGAACACACTGCGCTGTATAATAATACTGAGTATCTATACACTGATAATGAACACACTGCGCTGTATAATAATACTGAGTATCAATACACTGATAATGAACACACTGCGCTGTATAATGATACTGAATATCTATACACTGATAATGAACACACTGCACTGTATAATAATACTGAGTATCTATACACTGATAATGAACACACTGCGCTGTATAATAACACTGAGTATCTATACACTGATAATGAACATGCTGCACTGTATAATGACACTAAGTATCTATATACTGATAATGAACACACTGCGCTGTATAATAATACTGAGTATCTATACACTGATAATGAACATACTGCGCTGTATAATAATACTGAGTATCTATACACTGATAGTGAACACACTGCACTGTATAATAATACTGAGTATCTACACACTGATAATGAACACACTGCGCTGTATAATAATACTGAGTATCTATACAGTGATAATGAACACACTGCACTGTATAATAATACTGAGTATCTATACACTGATAGTGAACACACTGCACTGTATAATAATACTGAGTATCTATACACTATTAATGAACACACTGCGCTGTATAATAATACTGAGTATCTATACACTGATAATGAACACACTGCACTGTATAATAATACTGAGTATCTATACACTGATAATGAACACACTGCACTGTATAATAATACTGAGTATCTATACACTATTAATGAACACACTGCGCTGTATAATAATACTGAGTATCTATACATTGATAATGAACACACTGCGCTGTATAATGATACTGAGTATCTATACACTGATAGTGAACACACTGCGCTGTATAATAACACTGAGTATCTATACACTGATAGTGAACACACTGCGCTGTATAATAATACTGAGTATCTATACACTATTAATGAACACACTGCGCTGTATAATAATACTGAGTATCTATACACTGATAGTGAACACACTGCACTGTATAATAATACTGAGTATCTATACACTATAATGAACACACTGCGCTGTATAATAATACTGAGTATCTATACACTGATAATGAACACACTGCACTGTATAATAATACTGAGTATCTATACACTGATAATGAACACACTGCGCTGTATAATAATACTGAGTATCTATACACTGATAGTGAACACACTGCGCTGTATAATAATACTGAGTATCTATACACTGATAATGAACACACTGCACTGTATAATAACACTGAGTATCTATACACTGATAATGAACATGCTGCGCTGTATAATAATACTGAGTATCTATACACTGATAATGAACACACTGCGCTGTATAATGACACTAAGTATCTATACATTGATAATGAACACACTGCGCTGTATAATAATACTGAGTATCTATACACTGATAATGAACACACTGCGCTGTATAATAATACTGAGTATCAATACACTGATAATGAACACACTGCGCTGTATAATGATACTGAATATCTATACACTGATAATGAACACACTGCACTGTATAATAATACTGAGTATCTATACACTGATAATGAACACACTGCGCTGTATAATAACACTGAGTATCTATACACTGATAATGAACATGCTGCACTGTATAATGACACTAAGTATCTATATACTGATAATGAACACACTGCGCTGTATAATAATACTGAGTATCTATACACTGATAATGAACATACTGCGCTGTATAATAATACTGAGTATCTATACACTGATAGTGAACACACTGCACTGTATAATAATACTGAGTATCTATACACTGATAATGAACACACTGCACTGTATAATAATACTGAGTATCTATACACTGATAATGAACACACTGCACTGTATAATAATACTGAGTATCTATACACTGATAATGAACACACTGTATAATAATACTGAGTATCTATACATTGATAGTGAACAAACTGCGCTGTATACTAATACTGAGTATCTATACACTATTAATGAACACACTGCACTGTATAATAATACTGAGTATCTATAAGCTGATAATGAACACACTGCGCTGTATAATAATACTGAGTATCTATACACTGATAATGAACACACTGCGCTGTACAATAATACTGAGTATCTATACACTGATAATGGACACACTGCACTGTATAAAAATACTGAGTATCGATACACTGATAATGAACACGTTGCACTGTATAATAATACTGAGTATCTATACAGTGATAATGAACACACTGCGCTGTATAATAATACTGAGTATCTATACACTGATAATGAACACGTTGCACTGTATAATAATACTGAGAATCTATACAGTGATAATGAACACACTGCGCTGTATAATAATGCTGAATATCTATACACTGATAATGAACACACTGCACTGTATAATTATACTGAGTATCTATACAGTGATAATGAACACACTGCACTGTATAATGATACTGAGTGTCTATACACTGATAATGAACACACTGCGCTGTATAATAATACTGAGTATCTATACACTGATAATGAACACACTGCGCTGTATAATAATACTGAGTATCTATACACTGATAATGAACACACAGTATAATAATACTGAGTATCTATACACTGATAATGAACACACTGCTCTGTATAATGATACTGAGTATCTATACACTGATAATGAACACAGTGCGCTGTATAATAATACTGAGTATCTATACACTGATAATGAACACACTGCTCTGTATAATAATACTGAGTATCTATACACTGATAATGAACACTCTGCGCTGTATAATAATACTGAGTATCTATACACTGATAATAAACACACTGCACTGTATAATAATACTGAGTATCTATAATGAACACACTGCGCTGTATAATAATACTGAGTATCTATACACTGATAATGAACACACTGCGCTGTATAATAATACTGAGTATCTATACACTGATAATGAACACACTGCGCTGTATAATAATACTGAGTACCTATACACTGATAATGAACACACTGCGCTGTATAATGATCATGAGTATCTAAACACTGATAATGAACACGTTGCACGGTATAAAGTAATAATTACAATAAGCTCATTATATAATAAGTGTTTTTTTACATGCTAGTGGTAATGTGCTAATTATCTTTACAATTTCAGGATGAGATTCCACTCCGTAGAACACACAGTGCGCGCAATGAGCCACGCCCACTCCGGCGCTCAGCGTCCCAGGTCCACTCTTCGGTAAGATTAAAAAAAGGAAAAAGATATTCTCCACAGTAATAATTCCCTTATTTTTAAAATTGATATATTTACTTTATTTTTACAGTTAGATCCCATTAATTATAGACTCATTTTATTATGTGATCTTGTTTCAAAGAGCTGTCACTTTTTCCTGCTGCAGAGACCGACGCAGGGAACGGTGCCATACCTGGGGACATTCCTCACAGACCTCATCATGCTGGACACAGCGTTACCAGACTTTGTAGAGGTGAGATTGTATTATTCTCTGGGTACCCATTCCACTGTCTACCACACTCAGCCCATTGATGCCAGTTGAACACATGTTATCCATATCCCAACCAGCTTGTTCGATACTTCACCTCCATTCCAAAAATAACACAACGCCAGTTGTGCTCAGTATTACTTGTTCCTATGATAATACCTGGGATGTAAATCAGCTCTGGTCTCCTCACATTTTTGTAAATATTTTATTATATCTTTTCTTGTGACAATACTGAAGAAATGACACTCCGCTACAATGTAAAGTAGTAAGTGTACAGCCTGTATAACAGTGTAAATCTGCTGTCCCCTCAAAATAACACAGTGAAAATGTCCAATTTGGGCTCAAAGTGTCAATATTTTGTGTGGCCACCATTATTTTCCAGCACTGCCTTAACCCTCATGGGCATGGAGTTCACCAGAGCTTCACAGGTTGCCATTGGAGTCCTCTTCCACTCCTCCATGACGACATCATGTAGCTGGTGGATGTTAGAGACCTTGTACTCCGCCACCTTCCATGTGAGGATGCCCCACAGATGTTCAATAGGGTTTAGGTCTGGAGACATCCTTGGCCAATCCATCACCCTTACCTTCAGCTTCTTTAGCAAGGCAGTGGTCGTCTTGGAGGTGTGTTTGGGGTCGTTATCGTGTTGGAATACTGCCCTGCGGCCCAGTCTCCGAAGGGAGGGGATCATGCTCTGCTTCAGTATGTCACAGTACATGTTGGCATTCATGGTTCCCTCAATGAACTGTAGCTCCCCAGTGCCAGCAGCACTCATGCAGGCCCAGACCATGACACTCCCACTACCATGCTTGACTGTAGGCAAGACACACTTGTGTTTGTACTCCTCACCTGGTTCTCGACAGAAACGCTTGACACCATCTGAAAGTTTATCTTGGTCTCATCGGACCACAGGACATGGTTCCTGTAATCCATGTCCTTAGTCTGCTTGTCTTCAGCAAACTGTTTGCGGATTTACTTGTGCATCATCATTAGAAGAGGCTTCCTTCTGGGACAACGGCCATGCAGACAAATTTAATGCAGTGTGCGGCGTATGGTTTAAGCACTGACAGGCTGACCACCAACCCCTTCAACCTCTGCAACAATGCTGGCAGCACTCATACGTCTATTTCCCAAAGACAGCCTCTGGATATGACGCTGAGCACGTGCACTCAACTCCTTTGGTCGACCATGGCGAGGCCTGTTCTGAGTGGAGCCTGTCCTGTGGAACCACTGTATGGTCATGCCCACTGTGCTGTAGCTCAGTTTCAGGGTCTTAGCAATCTTCTTATAGCCTAGGCCAGGGGTCAGCAACCTATGGCACTCAGTGTTCCTTTGCCTGGCACTCAAGGCTGCCAGAGACAAACATGATCTGGCCTATCAGGAGTCCCAGTGGTACTTAAGATATCTGCTAGTGCAAATTGAGCAGTGATTGTAGGTGATGAGGGACAATCCTTTGTTTATGCATTGCAGCACTTAGAGTCAGTTATCTTCGATCACTTCCTGTGAATGGGGATCACCACTGTAGGGGTGTACTCACTTTTGTTGCCAACGGTTTAGACCAGTGGTAGTCAACCTTTTTCTACCTACCGCCCACTAATGCATCTTTCTTGATGGAAAAATTTCCTTACCGCCCACCAGTTTTCGCGCAAGTGCGGAATATTTTTTAGAAAGGAGGGTGTTTTAAAAAAAAAAAAAAAATGTACGTGCATTTATCTTTTTATTTCTACATAATGCATGTTTATAATATTTTTAACATTATAAATTTTAATTGGAAAACAATAAAGTAAATTGAAATTACCTTTACTAGTGATTAATGAGATCCTTGAGGTTGATGCTACGAGACTAAATATTTGATATCTGGTTCGATTTTCGTAAGGAACAAACGAAGGTCTCCTCTTTCGGTGATATTCAGACGACTTCTCTGTTTGCGCATAATAGGTTTTCTCATCTGTGCGTCAGCTCATCTCATCTCCCTCCTCAATTCCCCTCCCCACCTTTTTTATCCCTTTTTTCTATTTTGTAACCTTCCTTATAGCAATGCCCAGTAGGAAGGCTTAGCTCGGTAGCCCACTTACTATAGCCCACTATAACAGACAGACACACATACATACACACACACATAAAAAGACACATACATACAAACAGACAGGCACACATACAGACACACACAGGCAGGCACACCTAGACAGGCACACATACAGACACACACACAGACAGGCGCACATACATACATACATACATACAGAAAAACAGACAGGCACACATACAGACACACACACACACACACAAGACACATACATGCAGACAGGCACACATACATACAGACACACACACACACATACATACACACACATACATACAAACAGACAGGTACACATACATACAGACACACACATACATACAAACAGACAGGTACACATACATACAAACAGTAAGGTACACATACATACAAACACACATACATACAAACAGACAGGTACACATACACACATACAGACAGACACAAGACACAAACACATACATATAGATAGACACACACACACAAGACATACATACATACATACATAGACACACACAAGACATACATACAAAGACACATACACACAAACAAACACACACAAAATATTTTTGTCACCCTCCTGTTTCCTACCTTTAAGGTGCAGGAGGGTGACTTTCCCTGGGGTCCAGAGGTGGCTCAGGTGCATGGGAGTCAGAGTTCCCACTCTGACTCCCTGGTCTTCCTCCTGCACGGCTCTCAGTTTTAGCTGGGAGGAGTGACGTGCAGTCAATTCCTCCCAGCGTGTGATGTAATAATAGGGGGCCCGGTCGCGCTGTTAAAGCGCCCAGCGCCGACCGGGCCCCCTCTCAATCTACATCCATCGGGTGGCCCTGACAGCGGGCTGGGGCCGAAAATGGTGACGGCGGTACCCGGTAGAACGGGTACCGCTGGCTCGCACCCGCCCTCCCTCTCTGAAATCCCTACCGCCCACCTGGAATCCTGAAACGCCCACTAGTGGGTGGTAGGGACCAGGTTGACGACCCATGGTTTAGACATTAATGGCTGTGTGTTGAGTTATTTTGATGGGACAGCAGATTTACACTGTTATACAGTCTGTACACTTACTACTTTACATTGTAGCAGAGTGTCATTTCTTCAGTTTTGTCACATGAAAAGATATAATAAAATATTTACAAACATGTGAGGGGTGTACTCACTTTTGTGAGATACTGTATGTGATCCCAGAAGGGTCTCATTTGCTGAATCTGTGTGAATACACCTGCTACCTTTGACTATCTAATTTTAAGCCTTTGTTTGGATCCCTCAGATTCCTCTGGATGTTTCATTTTGCACCCAGTGACACTAGAATATTGTCCTTAGAGTTGTATAGGGATAATAAATACATTATGCTGTACAGTATATTGTGTAAAATATTTTCTTTCTATATTCTCTTTCTATGTACATCTAAACCTCTTGACAATTTACAGGGTGGGCTCATTAACTTCGAAAAGAGGCGTAAGGTAAGTTATCACATGCTACTAATAATACCTGTATAATAAACACTCCTAGTGTACACAATTACAGTGATTCTAACACCATTATATCCATACATGCACATGTACTCAGCACTAGATACAGTCAAAGGTATACCTGCAAACAATCACACAAAAATACACAAACTAGCACTATTACAAACACACAGAAATACATTCAGACACAGGCAGAAAGATGTGCAGAAATTCAAATTCGCAAGCAACAGGCTGATACACAAGCTGTCAGAAACAAACAGTATCTACAAAGATGCACAAGCATGCACACAGTTACACATACTCACAAACACATAGAGACCCACAAACACAGATTTTCATGCATCCTCCTGTATCTTGCCCCATGTCTCTAGGAGCACGATGTTCTGGCTAAGATCCAGAAGTTGCAGCTGACATGCCGACACTATGTCCTGACACGAAAGCCAGAATTTATCCAGTCATTTTACGCTCACCGACAGTTGACGGAGGACCAAAGGTGTGACGATCATTTCACTGGGAAACAATTATATTGAGAGTCTTATGGATACTCTTATTCCTGCTATAATACGGCTTCTGTCATGGATATATTACCATTATAAATACATTTCTATAATTTTTGTAGGGTTATTATAATGGGGCTGTATATAATGAAAAACAAAGTTAATAATTCGGTTGTAATAATGAGATGTAGTTTTAAATTTGTTATTACCATACTCATAAATTGTAATGGTACCAGCATTTTGGGGGTGATTTTGGTTATTAACAAAACATAAATATAAGTTTTTCCTTGATATATCTTCCAGTTACAGGATCTCTCGTACCATTGAGCCCCCTGCTGATTCCTGTCCAAATTCCCCCCGAATCCGCAGGAAACTGACAAAACGTTTCAGCTCGTAAGTACACTGTCTGCTTATTGCTTACTGGGGTTTATTCATTATATTGGTGGAGAATTGACAAAAATAGCCAAACTAGAAAGAATAGCTAAGTTGAAGAGTTTTTTTGATTTTGGCTATTTTGCCTATAATTTGCCATGTCCACATTACTGAATAATCCATTATTGCATAGAGAATACATTATGCAGTGCTGTCAATCAATCCTTCCTCTTAAAGGAACACTATTGTGTCAGGAATACAAACATGTATTTCTGACACTATAGTGCTGTTGCGACTGTTTTGGTCCCCCTCAGCTCGCTCTGAAAAAGTGATTTTACTCAACTTCTGTCCCACGTCTTGCCTTGGCTGGCTTCACCTCCCTTGCTGAGATCATCAAACTTGATGATCTCAGCCAATCCAATGCTTTCCCATAGGAAAGCATAGGGACGCTATTGCGCATGTACGGCAAAATGCAGTTCTGCGCCAATAAGAATCTCCTCCTAGAGATGCATTTAATCATGGATAGAGAAGTTGGGGTGTAGGTTGTTTGTCCTGAGGGAAAATAGTTTGGTTCGCTAAGAACATTTTGGTTTGGAAGAGTATTGGTAGGTAGGTCCGAACCTGCTGTGTGTAGGGTGTATCTCGGTATGCCCCTACATGGAAGAACGCTGGAAACCATGCCCTCGGTGGTAATGGTTATGTTTATATGTTAATTATATGTTAAAATGTGGTTTTACTTATTGTGTTGTGGGTCATTGTCGGGCGTAGTATTGTTAAAGGAGTTGGGGGGATATGTTATGTTAATATGTGACAATGACCTTAAATTATTTTAACTTATTTATATATATTAATAATGCTGTGATAATTTTCCCAAATAATGGTGTCCAAGTATTTGTGTTTTTTTGGGGGGGGTTTATCACGCATATGCCAGAAAGGCGACTATGCATATGTGATGTTAATGTTGTATTGCTTTTATATATCACAGTCATTTTTGTTGTATATTTAGTTTTTTTTCACTTGTTTGTTTTTTATGTAGCTCAGCTAGACCTTTGTATAAATGTATGGCTGGTTAATTATAACATTCTCTTTCTATCTTTCTCTCAGTTTGTTGCTAGGCTCTGAAGTATTTGGTCCTAAGTTAAACGGCGAGCGTGTGTCTCCTTCAGGATCCTGTAGCAGCTGTGAGATTGATGAAGGACTGATTGCTGCTCTAATCCCAGCTGAATCTGCCTCAAGCCAGGTAATTAGGCTTTTCAATTCACACCTGTTAAACGGTATTACAATATACAATAAGGCACTAGAGATCGGCTTTACGGTAATATGATATTACAGGGATAATAAGGCACTCAGAAACCGGGTTACTGTAATAAGATGTTACAGGGTAATAAGGCGCTCAGGAGCCGAGCTACTGTAATAAGATGTTACAGGGTAATAAGGCACTCAGGAGCCAGGTTACTGTAATAAGATGTTACAGGGTAATAAGGCACTCAGGAGCCGGGTTACTGTAATGAGATGTTACGGGGTAATAAGGCACTCAGGGTCTGGGTTACTGTAATAAGATGATACAGGGTAATAAGGCACTCAGGAGCCGGGTTACTGTAATAAGATGTTACAGGGTAATAAGGCACTCAGGAGCCAGGTTACTGTAATAAGATGTTACAGGGTAATAAGGCACTCAGGAGCCGAGCTACTGTAATAAGATGTTACAGGGTAATAAGGCACTCAGGAGCCAGGTTACTGTAATAAGATGATACAGGGTAATAAGGCACTCAGGAGCCGGGTTACTGTAATAAGATGTTACAGGGTAATAAGGCGCTCAGGAGCCAGGTTACTGTAATAAGATGTTACAGGGTAATAAGGCACTCAGGAGCCAGGTTACTGTAATAAGATGATACAGGGTAATAAGGCACTCAGGAGCCGGGTTACTGTAATAAGATGTTACAGGGTAATAAGGCACTCAGGAGCCGGGTTACTGTAATAAGATGTTACTGGGTAATAAGGCGCTCAGGAGCCGGGTTACTGTAATAAGATGTTACAGGGTGATAAGGCACTCAGGAGCCAGGTTACTGTAATAAGATGTTACAGGGTGATAAGGCACTCAGGAGCCGGGTTACTGTAATAAGATGTTACGGGGTAATAAGGCACTCAGGAGCTGGGTTACTGTAATAAGATGTTAGAGGAGTATCGCACTCAGGAGCCGGTTACTGTAATAAGATGTTAGAGGAGTATCGCACTCAGGAGCCGGTTACTGTAATAAGATGTTAGAGGAGTATCGCACTCAGGAGCCGGTTACTGTAATAAGATGTTAGAGGAGTATCGCACTCAGGAGCCTGTTACTGTAATAAGATGTTAGAGGAGTATCGCATTCAGGAGCCGGGTTATTTTAACAAGCTATGTCCTTTTTTTGTTACAGAATTTCACAGAACCTCTCACCCCACCAGCCACTCCAATCCGTGATGATTTATCTCGCCCTGTCTCTTCTCCTCGTTCTCCTGTTTCCCCATCCTGCGCGCTCCCTGTTTATAACCAGCAGATTGCTGATCTCTGTATTATTCGTGTCAGTATGGAAAACACACATGGCAACCTTTATAAGAGTATATTGGTGAGTGCTGTATGTGGTCTGCAGTCCTGCTCTATTCACATTAATATCTACAGTTTGGAATTTAGCCTCTGGGACGAGGCTCCTAGTACCTTCTATTGTTTTTTTTCTGAGTTTGTTCGATGTATTATGCTGTTTATTATCTTTTTTTCAATGTATGATTCAGATTCAGAATTTATTTTTACTATAAATTTGATAACAAAATATAGATCCTTAAATAAAAAGGCCTTTTTGTTTTGCCTCCAATCTTGCTTGTTCGCTGATTTAGCGGCAAACAGTTTATTCAGAAGTGTTCAAATAAGTGAGATTTTCAAACCAGCAGCTTTACTAAGCGTTGTTGGGTCGCTGTGCCCATGTGTGTTTGCAAAGCATTGTGGGTTGTTCGCCAGCTCTCCCTGAGTATTGCAGTAAATTCTAATTATTTGTCTTTGTGGATTTTATAGATCCCTAAAACTGTTTCATTCTCTCACACAGCTCACTAGCCAGGACAAATCCCGTGTTGTAATACAGCGAGCTCTACACAAGCACAATATAGAATCGTGTCAACCGGACGATTTCCAGCTAGTACAGATATTATCCGAGGGGAAAGGTAAGGCGCTGTATGTCTATATGGAAAAGGAAAGAGTGTTTGAGCTTATTGTGGCTAACACGGGCAATCTGGATATGTGGGGCCCACACTGCCCAATTTAAAGAGACTGCATGCAAGAAAAAGAGACTAGTGCAATAGCTGTGTATGAAAAAGCAAATAACTACACTAATAATCACTGGATACAGGTGATAATTGATGGTACTGCAAATATCTGTGGACTACATTACCCATGATGCTTCAGCAGAACTCTCTGCGAAGTCTCTCAGGCCCCCATCCCAATCGCATAACTCTCGGTTATTGACTTATGTGTGACTTGTCAGAAATTGTAAGTGAATTGAAAGAGGATTTTAAGAATGCATTCCAATATAGCCAAACTGAAAACATTAATGGCTTGCAGATTTTTTTCCAATTGCGTATGTTTGCCGACAGTTCACACGTTAAAGAATAATTGTGTGAGTTGTGGAGTAGTAATACCCAATAATAATTTTTTTACATTTTTTTTATCTGCAGAACTGACCATCCCGGACTCAGCTAACGTGTACTACGCTATGAATACATCAGCAAATTTTGACTTTGTTCTCAGACGCAGAGTGAAAGAAAGCTGATTTTGGAGCCAATGCCTATCCACCATGCTGTCTCACATTCCTTTTTATCCAGAACTTCTAACATTCCTTCGTATTATTTAACTCTTTTCTCCCTGGGCCCTATCGATAACCCCATGCACCCCCACCGCTCTCCTCACGTACTGATTTAGAACATGCACCCCAAATAACTTTACCACTATCTGGGAGTAAGTATAACAATCAAACTTTATATAATCCAGATTTATTCAAATACAAGCATCCAGGTGCCTAACAGGGCCAATGGCTGTCAATGAGGGATTTGTAGTTCAATAAGAGAATATGTATTTGTCGTATTTTAGTGTATTTATTTAGCAGACTCGTTTTCAGATAGATTTTTATCGTTTTAGGGATTCATTTAATAAACGTAACTGCAGAGCTCTGAAAAGGGAATTGCAATACTTCAGCTAAAGTAGCTACTCGGAAAATATGGAGTTGGAGAATTTATTTTGCACAACAATTTTAGCTAATATTTTTCAATGCTATCCATTCGCCAGTGATTGGTGTATACATCTCTTAAGCTATAGTTTCATACAGTTCCTTTGACAAAATGGCAAACTAAAAGCTACCTGTGTCCTAATTGGCTTATTCACAAGCATTCCAAAATGGCGCCATGCTACATCTTGATCATTGCCACATAAAGGGAAGCACAGCCAGCACTGTCTATACTAAAATCTGCGGAGCTTCAGATTGATACAAAACACTTCTAGCAGTGTGATTAAAGGACCACTCTAGACACCCAGACCACTTCAGCTTAATGAAGTGGTCTGGGTGCCTGGTCCAGCTAGGGTTAACCCATTTTTTAATAAACATAGCAGTTTCAGAGAAACTGCTATGTTTATTAATGGGTTAAGCCTTCCCCCTATTCCCTCTAGTGGCTGTCTCATTGACAGCCACTAGAGCGCTTTGCTTCTCACTGTGATTTTCACAGTGAGAGCACGCAAGCGTCCATAGGAAAGCATTATGAAATGCTTTCCTATGTGACCGGCTGAATGCGCGCGCAGCTCTTGCCGCGCGTGCGCATTCAGCCGGAACGGAGGAGGAGAGGAGGAGAGCTCTCCGCCCAGCGCTGGAAAAAGGTAAGTTTTAACCCCTTTCCCCTTTCCAGAGCCGGGCGGGAGGGGGTCCCTGAGGGTGGGGGCACCCTCAGGGCACTATAGTGCCAGGAAAACGAGTATGTTTTCCTGGCACTATAGTGGTCCTTTAATACAGAAATGAATAGTTTGTGAGGGCAGTAGCACTGATAACAGCCAATAGTGTCACATAGCTGAGTAAAATGGACACTTTTTATTGGATATTAAATCCAATATAAATCACACCCGTTAGCTTGAATTGTTCAATTAAGTTTTTAATTTACAACAATTCACTGTTTAGTGAATAAACCTTAGTAAAAAGTTCAAAGTCAAAAAGTATTTTTAACCGACTGATATACTTTAGTGATGTTTAGTGATATTTTTCCTGGCCTCGTGACAGGCATAGTTAAACTAACTAACCACGAAATACATACTTACTTTATTGTAGTAAACACCCAGCATGTTAGTTCAGATATAAACATTTTGTATTCGTTTTAATTTTTACATATTTATAATTTTAATTCAGTTGTTTCTTGCATGACAATCATATTACAAGGTCCTACAACAGCCGCTGCTAAGTGTAGCTTTTTAAACTATTAACAGCTTAGGCTGCTCCAAAACAGTGCCTGGAAAGGAGACTACTGTCTAAGTTTGAACTTCACAGGCATTCTAAAAAAAATCTTTGTCCAGGATTTTATTTCATTCTTTTATAGTACGTTAGGAGAATGTGTAAGAAAAGCCATGAGACATAGAGGATAGCCATGCCTTTGCATATTTATTTTTAACACAATAAAAATACTTTTTTTTTTTTGCTTTTATTTCGGTAATTGGAGCAAAAGTAAAAATAAATAAATAAGTAAAGTAAAATAGATAAATAAAATACTTAAGTTAGTCTAGGAATATAAAGCCCACTATTTTCAGTTACAGAACTTTGCTGCCAAATTAAATACATTGCAAAACTTGGGCAAAAATAGTCAGTTTGGAAAAATCTCCAACTCATCTGTAGTCACGGCAATATTTCAAATGTGCAAATAGGGACACTTTAATTTTAGGGGTGTGAATAGTGGTGTGCCCAGGGGTGGGGCTGTTCTGAGAAATGTTAGGGTACTCACTAATAATTTATGCAACTAAAATGCATTTTAGAACAAGAACAGTGTATCTTATTTACACAGACTGATTTCTAAACACATTTATTGTAGTTTAAAGACACATTACTGGGAGTATTATTGCTGTGGAGCTCTGTTATACACACAGACACATTACTGGGAGTATTATTGCTGTGGAGCTCTGTTATACACTCAGACACATGACATTTGCACAGTCGTTATTCGGCATGTGCTACTTTACCCTTAAATAAGACTCGGACACCATTAATTCTGTTGGAGTACAAAGTCCACAGCTTTATTAATTAATTATAATAAATAACATAATTTAGGGTCATTGTCCTACTAAACATTATATTACTATACCCCCACACAGTCCCCCTGACAATGACCCTACCAATTGAACAATAAATAACAATCAAATAACATATAACTTGAAACACACGGCCTACCAAAGAGGCCCCATATCATCCGGTTAACTGTAGGGGTATACCTCGGACACCCCTACACCCCCAGGTTCGTAGCCACCGAAGAGCTAGAACCAACCAATCCTTAACTCCATCCGGCCTAAACCTTGGCCTGTCCAGTTCAAATTCCACGCCAAATTCCAATATTTACAACGCCCTGTTCCGCCGCTGTGACCAAACGGAACTGCAAAACTAAGGGAGGGTGGGAGGGACAAACTACAGGTAAGAGGGGCCCCGGTTAAAATGGCCCCTATTCTAACATGGCTTCCTTTTATACTCCCACTCCCCACCCCCAGACTCCATTCCTAAACCCGGCCCACAACCTAAGCCCATGCCCCCTCCCTGGCTCTGTCAAGGCCCACTCCCCCTACTGCGTTGCTCCATGGGCTTCATGACATTTGCACAGTCGTTATTCGGCATGTGCTACTTTACCCTTAAATAAGACTCAGACACCGTTAATTCTGTTGGAGTACAAAGTCCACAGCTTTATTAATTAATTATAATAAATAACATAATTTAGGGTCATTGTCCTACTAAACATTATATTACTATACCCCCACACAGTCCCCCTGACAATGACCCTACCAATTGAACAATAAATAACAATCAAATAACATATAACTTGAAACACACGGCCTACCAAAGAGGCCCCATATCATCCGGTTAACTGTAGGGGTATACCTCGGACACCCCTACACCCCCAGGTTCGTAGCCACCGAAGAGCTAGAACCAACCAATCCTTAACTCCATCCGGCCTAAACCTTGGCCTGTCCAGTTCAAATTCCACGCCAAATTCCAATATTTACAACGCCCTGTTCCGCCACAGCACATGGCTTGACCTCCTTAAGCACATGTGCGACCCCCACTACACAAAAACAGGGCCCGTGCTACTCCGTCTTGAAAACCCAGGTTTAGTAAATCATTCCCCACTTCCGATAAGTGTATGCCGTCCCTCCTATAATAACCCGGCAACATACCCTCTAACTCCCTGTGCCGCACCACTACGCCCCCTGAGCGTCTAATAAAAAACGCCATAATCTTGTTGACCTTACCCCTAGATCGGGCTATTGCAGCTGGGTCCCTGGCGTGCTTCCACGTAAAACGAGGCACCATCTCAGACCAAACCACAACCACGCCAGGGACCAGCTCCCTCAGCCGATCCATGTCCCTCTTCATCTTCCGAACCAGCTCTCTTTGGGGGATCAAACCCAAGTCATTCCCCCCTCCGTGAACCAATACCACATCTGGGACCGCCCCCCCAGCCAACTTCCTAAATAATGTGCTGCAGAGACCCTGCCAACTAGCGCCCCGCAAACCAAGCCAAGATAACTCCACTCGCTCCAAAGGAAAGCCCAGCTGCGATCCACATCTTCTAACTGCGGCTCTCTTCTGTGCCCAGTACACATACGAGTGTCCCGTCAACCAAACTTTAAAACCTGAAAAGAAACAAAATTAGTTGCAAAACAAGACAACTCCCCCGTGCACCACGTTCCTACGCCACGCATACTCACACCAGCCTGTCAGGCCTCACATACGTACGGAACCGCATGGATTCCCACCTCCCGATCCGTTTGATCCGCTCGTCCCCCAAGCCCAAACGTGCTGCCTCAGTTGCCGCGCCTATGCGGAACGAGTGTGTCCCAAATTGCTTGGGCTCTAGGCCCAGTCTCTGTAAACCCAAGCGAAAAACCCGTAGAAACTGGAAACGAGACAAAGCCGTGCCATCGGCATGCAGGAAAAAACACCCGGTTATCTCAGGGCGGACTTCCAAGTACCGCGCGCCGCAAGCCACCGGGCATGCCCTTGAACCTGGTAACTCATACAACACTACCGAGCACCCTTTGCCGAACACGTCCGTTTTCGAACGGCGCAGCCTGATCTGCACCCTGTCGTTGCATACGTCCACGTCCCCGAGCAGCAAACCGCCAACCCCCCTCTTATTGGCGCTAACCAGTTCCCCAATCCGAAAAGCTCCAAAAAACGCCCATACAAATGCTCCCGAAAATAGCGCCACCTCAAAAGGAGAATGACATACCCCATCCAACGTCTCCAATAACCCCTGTAACACCGAAAACGACACTGGTCTTCTCGTGTCTCCAAACTTCTTACCCTTCCGGAAACCACGTATCGCCTGTCGTATCACGAAATTCTTTGTGAGATCGTCCCACCCATTGAACTTGAACGAAAAGGCCATGGCAGACATGTACCTGTCCACCATGGCCGGTGAAGCCTGTCTCGAGAACAAGCGACACAGCATCCAAAGAAGCACATCCACCCTCTGACCTTCCGAAAAAACGCCTCCTACCTGTTGTACTGCCTCCTCCCATTCCTTCCACACCTTAACGTAAGACGACCAAGTGCTCGGCGCTAACGAATTCCTTATATACTCCCTAAGCATGACGTCCCGAGCTGCCACATCTCGTCTGGGCAAGCCTGCCCTCTCTCCTGAGCTTCCGGCGCCGCTTCCCGGAATCGTTCCCACTGAAAACGAGAAAGCGCATCAGCCACTACGTTACACAACCCAGGGATGTGCTTAGCCCTAAATACCAAGTTGAAGGACATGCAGAGAAGTACAAACCGTCGCAACAAACATAAAACCGGGGGGGATGATGCAGACAAGCTGTTGATCGCCTGCACCACCGCCATATTATCTGAATGGAACACAATGTGCCTGTTCGCTAACACCGGCCCCCATAACCCCACCGCTACGACGACCGGAAATAATTCCAAAAACGCCAAATTTCTTATCAGCGGGCTTTCTTTCCACGCTGCAGGCCACGCCTCTGCACACCAATCACCCGCCAGATATGCCCCAAAACCGACGCTGCCCGAAGCGTCTGTATAGAGCCCAACCTCTTCCGCCGCCACCGATTCCCGAAAAAACACCGTCCCATTAAAATCCTGTAAGAACCGGTCCCACACCCTTAAGTCCGCTTTCATATCTGCCGAGACCCTGATGTAGTGTGACGGCATACGCACCCCGCTTGTTGCACGCGACAGCCGCCTACAAAAAACCCTCCCCATGGGAATAACCCGGCACGCGAAGTTAAGGCTCCCCACTAATGACTGAAGCCCCCGCAGTGTCACTTTCTTAGCCCTCCCTACAGTGGCTACCCGCTCCTTCAGACTCTCCAATTTGTCTAAAGGTAACCGACATTCCCCCCTTTCGGAATCGATTTCCAAACCCAAAAAACTAAGGCATGTCGTGGGCCCCACCGTCTTGTCTCCCGCCAAGGGAACCCCGAAAGAGTGTGCGACCCATTGGAACACTTCCAGTACGTGCCTACATCGGTCCGATTCTCGCGGGCCAACGCAGAGGAAATCGTCAAGATAGTGCACCACCGCGCCCCCGGCTGATTCCTTCCGTACCACCCATTCCAAAAAGGTACTAAATTTTTCAAAATAGGCACACGAAATGGAACAACCCATTGGCAAACACAGGTCCACAAAATAATCCCCATCGAGACAGCACCCGAGCAAATGATGACATTTCGGGTGTATAGGAAGCAGCCGGAAGGCAGCCTCCACATCTACTTTCGCCATCAGCGCCCTACGCCCCATTCTCCGGACCAACTCGACAGCCTTGTCGAATGACGTATAGGAGACGGAGCTGAGGGCCGCGTCAATGTCATCATTTACCGATGCCCCTTTCGGGTACGATAAATGATGAATCAACCTGAACTTACCCGCCTCCTTCTTGGGAACCACACCGAGCGGGGATATTCGTAGATCGGCCAATGGTGGCTCCAAGAACGGGCCCGCCATACTCCCCAGCTGTACTTCCTTGCTCAACTTATCCTGCGCTACCCCTGGGTGCTCCCGAACTGACTTAAGATTACCACACAAAGTGCCTGGACCCCTAACCACAAAGGGGATAACGAAGCCTTCCCTAAATCCCCTCCACAAAAATACTGCATTACACTATTAGCGTACTGCCTTAGCCAAGGCAACATCACGTCTATTTTCACCGGTGACGCCCCCAGCTGCAGCTGCGGGAGGTGCTGCCCCTGCGGACCCTCCTCCAACCCCAAGCTTACCTTTCTTGAAGCATCGGCTAGCGCCATGAGCCCCCCCACAGCCGGAACACTCATGTCGGAACCTGCAGGTATTGTCCCTCGTTGTACATCCAGCAGAAGCCTTTCTTTTGCCCAGCCGACACAGCGCCCCCTGCGGCTGTGCCGGCTGTCCCAAGAAAGGGCGCCGCCTTTTGCGCCATCATGAGGCGCATCCATAACGGCAGATCCATTTGATCCCACCGCATGCTCGAATTCACCGCTAGCCGTTGACGGAACTGCTCGTCATACCTCCACCACGCCAAGCCTCCGTAGGTTCTATAAGCATCCCCTATCCCATCCAAGTAGCAAAAAAGTTCCGAGCAACGACCCGGGTTCTTTTCCCCGATAACGCTTGCCAAAATACAGAAGGCCCTCAGCCAATTCCCAAAAGTTTTTGGTATCTTGCGATACCTCCGCCTTTTTTCCTCCTCCTCTTTCTTGGCGTCCTTCTTATCCTCCTCTTTCAAGTCCAAGAATTCCTCGAGGGGGAGAAGGGAAAAGATCTCTACAAACTCCCCTTTCCAAATTTTGTCTTTTACATCCGCTTTTAAATGGCATCCCAGGGAACCCGCGAATGAAACGTGCACGTTTTGCCGCGCCGCATCCGGGATATCACTACCCCCTTCCGCGTGCTCTCCCCCCACCGTCGGCCAGTCCCGACGACCCCGTCGTGTCGCCAGCCTCACCTTCATGCGACCCCGTCGGAAGCGCCCCCGCGCGCTCAACCACCTTGTCCCGACCACTGTCCCGCGACCATACCTGCCCGAATTCCTGAGGTGACCCTCCCTTCCCCGACCAAGACTCTAAAAATGTTTTTAAATCACTTAACAATTGTACAGAGTGTCGTGTGTGTGTGGACTCACCGTTCAAGCCCCTGGCCGCAGCTGGCCGCAGGGGCGCTGTCCTTCCGTCCACCGTTAAAGGTACCGGAGTGTCCTGTTGCCGCCGACTCCCATCCGCCTGGTCCCGCCTCGAGACAGTAGAGGTATTGCTCCGTGACCTGTAGGGAGAAGAAATCCTGGGTAGTCTGTTCAGCGTAGGGTCTACCCGCCCTTCCTCCCCACGTTCCCGCCAACCATCTCGTGTAACGCTCCGCCTCGCCTGCTGCCTCAGCCTGCAATCTGCTCCCCTCGACTGTGCCTGGAATCTCCTCTCCGACGAACCAGATGTGCTACGCTGACGCCTCCTCATTCTGTCCCTGGAAGTGGACCTCCCACGGTCTTCCCCGCAACAGGACCCAGCTGCGCCGCCTCCGCTCCGCGCCGGTGACCCATCACCGCTCCCTTGACTCCCTGCTCTGCTCCTCGTGCTGCTGCGCCTGGCACCCGCATAGCGCCGTTCTGCTCTCCGCTCACTCCTTGCGTCCTCCCTGTCCAAATGCTGCCCCTGAGAGCAGCCGGAAGGGCCCTCCCGTCTGTTGCCATCACTCCTATCACCTCCAGCCTGAAGTGCTCTCTGCCCGTCTCCTGCCACCGCTCCGCCTGACCTCCCTCCTGCCACTGATCCTGGTTCTTTGCCCTGGCTGATCGCCTTGCACCCTGATCCAGCCGTCCCCCCTGCCAGCAGGCCTTCCCTACCATCCTCCCTCCTGGCCCCCGCCCGGGCCATTCCTGCGCTGTCCCTGTCGTCCCAGCCTCCCCCAGACACGTGGGGGGCTGTCCGTGCCACCAATCCTCTGTCAACACCAATCCCCTGCCCCACAGCAGTGCCAACAGTGGCTGACTCACCGGGACGTTCAGGCTCCACACTACCGTTCCCGTGACCGTCCTCCGACCTGACCGCCGAGCCGGCCGCCTCCTGGAAAGCTGCAGCTCCCTCACTCCTGCCAGCCGCAGACCCGCGCGGCGTGCGCCTTACGGCCGCCGGGTGCTTTACGGCCGTCCTTGCCTGACCGCTGCTGCGCCCGCCGGACCGAGCCGTGCGCCTACCCGGCTCCTGGAACGGGACCTCTCCCGCCCCCGTGGACACTCCTGCTCCCGCTGATGGACTTCGTCGGCGTCTCGCCGCGGGCCCAGTGCCCGGGCTCAAACGCTGCGGCGGTCTCGTCCTCCGAGCCGGTCGGCGAGCTGGTACCGCAGAGGAAGGCCCGGCCGCCCCCAGCTGTTGATGCAGCCACTCGAGTCCTCTGTCCTTCACCGCCGCCCGAACACCCTCCAGGATCTCTTCTAACGACGCCATGGACCTGCAGAACGACAAAAAACAAGGAACCTCTCTGACCTGCAACAAACTACAGGTAAGAGGGGCCCCGGTTAAAATGGCCCCTATTCTAACATGGCTTCCTTTTATACTCCCACTCCCCACCCCCAGACTCCATTCCTAAACCCGGCCCACAACCTAAGCCCATGCCCCCTCCCTGGCTCTGTCAAGGCCCACTCCCCCTACTGCGTTGCTCCATGGGCTTCATTACTGGGAGTATTATTGCCGGGGAGCTCTGTTATACACACAGACACATTACTGGGAGTATTATTGCTGTGGAGCTCTGTTATACACTCTGACACATTACTGGGAGTATTATTGCTGTGGAGCTCTGTTATACACACAGACACATTACTGGGAGTATTATTGCTGTGAAGCTCTGTTATACACTCAGACACATTACTGGGAGTGTTATTGCTGTGGAGCTGTGTTATACTCTCAGACACACTGACATTAGGATAGAAAAGAGGGACCGGGGGATTTTGGCATTAATAGGGACACTTGGGAGGTATACAGCTATTTTTAGCGTGAATTTTGCAATTTGCTTTTCAGTTCCCTGCAATATGAAATTTAATGAATGCATCCCTAAGTATTTTTAAAGTTTTCTTCTGTCATTGAAATAAAATTTCGAAAACCTTTAGTTTCACTTTAACCTTAAACTAGCACAAAAGTACCTTTAAAAAGTGCCTTTTAAACTTACGTATGGGTAAAAACTTGCACAATATAATTATATCCATACAACTTGCGCTGTGTTCTCTTTTCTTCAACTTATAAGTATCTCTATCGCTAATTTATGAGGAATATTTAGCTGGGGGCGAGTGATAAGCGCTGGTGCCTTTTTAGAAACAGAAGCAATGGGGGTTATGTGTAAATGTATTTTTTCCTTTACTATTTGCACAAGTTTTGTGTGCCACCTCCATTTTCATAGAGATATAACGGTTGTATACATTTGTTAATTTTGTTATGTAACCTTTATTCATTGGTGACTTTGATCTCCCTCTTCAGTAACATGCAAAAAAAATGGTCTTTCTGGCACTCTCTATTCATCAATTTTTTCCCAGATGATTTTACTATTGCATTTCAATAACATAATAAGACAAATTAGTAATATTACTAGGGAAAAAAGGCACATTTGAGATTTGAAGTATTTTTTATTCATTATAAAAAAAAAAGTTAGACTGTGAAATGTGCTTACTTGCTAAGATAATCATAATTTCTGAGAATGGCGGTAATATTTACTGGGAAAAAAATGTACATTGATAGTCAAACATTTGTGAACAAAAACCAATGGATTAGAGAAATAAAGCGATGGAGGAGGCACAGTAAGGAATATTTTGGCGAAGGGAATAAATAGGCATACATAGAAAAAAAGGTCCTAAAACAACATAATACAATTGAGCGTAACACGGTTTATACACAAACAATGTTTCGCCTCCTCTATGCAATGTGTCTCTGGTTGTGCAATCAGAACTGGATTGTGATGTCAGCTGCTAAATCTTAAAATACGTTTAAAAGCAAACAGAGCTCACGTGAAAAATATTTAACAGGAACTTTAGGAAATTTACAATGTTTTACTTAATGATTTAATTTCTAGAAAAGTGACAGGTCTCATTTAATGAGAATAAATAGTATTCTATGGTTTATGGCCTCTCCGCACTAGTATTATAATCATACCTAATTTATAAGAAATACAGTATGCCGTGTAGTATTTGAGAATACCACGTTTCTTGTGACCCTGTACATAGACTAACGTAGGATGTTTTCTCTATAAAAGGCTAGAGTAGAATTCTAGTAGTATAATTAGATCATTATTTTTGCACAGTTAACAAAAGTCACACTAAACATGTGCTAGATGTTTGTGGCAGAGCCACGTTTTGTGGTCACGTATCATTTCTTCATGCTGATGGTCAGCACATTAAAATTGGGGTCCAAAATGTATGTAGCAATCATGTGCTGCAAGAGGAGAAACGCTTAAAGGGACACTGTAGTCACTATAAGCATTTCATCTCTTTGAACTGGTTATAGTGCCTGGAGTATAGGTCCCTCCATTCAGTGTTGCACCATGTTCGTGCAGTATGCCACAAGATAAGAGTCCCTGGCCACCCACAGTCCGGCCCCTTCAGTATCTGTAGCTAAGGCAGAGATTACACACTTCCTTGTTGTCATACCCATTCATACCGTCAGTTGGAACTCTGACAGGCTAAAAGCAGTCAGCTGACACCCTCAGCCAATCACAGCTGCCCATTGCTGCTCAGGCTAATACTTCCTTATTAGCCAAAGCAGCACAGAGGGGATGGATTGCATGGGACTCTTGTTTAGCATTAAAACATTAAAACTTTAAAAACTGTTTAATGCTGATAGAAATGATGGGACCAGAGGACTCCAGACACTATAACCAGTTTAATGAGAGTAAGCAGATACAGTGCCTATGGTGTCCCTTTAACTAATCAAGGCAGTTTCATTGAAATTCCGTCTAGATCAGGCTTCTTGAACTCTGTCATCCTCTGGCCAGTTACTGTTTTCAAAGAATTCCGGGGGGAGCCAACGTTCCACATAGTGCAGGGTAGCCCTGTTCCTGTAGTGATCATCAGCATGAACAATGTATGTGCCTCTAGATGAATATGGTGGAACTGATAACCTTGCAAAAGACAAAACTTGCCTCTGCTAATGGCAGACAAACCTGTGCCAATGATCTGTGCTAATGACAGGTCCACCCATGCTAATGACAGATCTGTGAGCCTGCGCTAATGACAGACACACCCAATCTAAAGACAGTTCTATGTGCCTGTGATTATGACAGATACACCCATGCTAATGACAGATCTATGTGACTGTGATTATGGCTTAGAAATCACGACACCTTGCACTATTAGACTAAATCTTCAATTTTGCGAACCATTTGACTACCCTTGCTCTGTCTCTTAGGTCAGGAGAAATCGAGGTGGAGAAAGTGTGAAATACTTTCACTACTTATGATATTTTATAGGATTGACCAAGGACTGCGCTAGAAATAAACGGGCAGATTTTCATTCAACATGGGGAGCTTGGAGACATTATAACGGAAGCTAAGATATGCGTTTTATATAGATATGTATAGCATTAATGTGCCCATTTTGTGCCACTACGATGGTCCAGTAATGCCACTAATTGAAATAAACACTGGGCTGTTGGTTTGTTGCTCACATTTTAGTTTAAATAAAGTTTTTTGTTGTCTTAGTAAATGTAACCCAGAGTCCTGTGCTAGACTGGTGTATGGTTTGTTAAACAGAGATAAGAAACTTTTGGCGCTAAAGTTTATAACTCCCACTATGCTTAACTGCACGTTCAGTGCGAAACGCGTCTTGAGTTATGTGGTTGAAGTGAGGGGAGGTTTTGCATTGATTAGCCATGTGGCTAAACTAACACATTGCTAGTATATCCACTTCCAATGCTTGTTTTTAATAGCTTTTTGATTTATTTTTATGTTTGATCTGTGAAAATAAATATATTTTTATTGAAATCGAACCCACGACACCTGATCTTTTTTCTGCTATCGGGACGTTAATGCGAGATTGTTCTGAACGAATTGTGAGCCATTTGGGCTGTACCTGACAGCTACGGTTGTACACACTGAGCGATGCCACTACGATAATATTCAAGCTTTACACTTACCTATCTGGGTCCACTAGGAGGTGCTCCAGCTGTATCGAAGAATCCCAGAGGAAACAAGTCCGGTGTTTGTATACAGAGAGTATTGGTCATTGTATGCTATCAATGGAGCCGATCTTGGGCTCTATATCCTACAAGGTCTTAGCTGTAATACTTCAATCAAACTTGCCCTTTCCCCCTTGGTTTTCCAGATTATCCATAGAAATTGACATTCATACCATTTTTTAAAAAAATGTTCAGGTTATAGGTCTCTATATTTTTGTGTATAATTTATTATACAGTATCATATTGTTCTGCATTATTATTGTCGTGTTTTATTTGTCATGTACACATTTATTATATGGATATCATCTGATAAGTATACATTTTGAGCGCACCTCATTCTATATAATCACTGTATTTAAAAAAAAATAAATTTTTTTTTCATTTCTGACTTGTGAGATGTACATATCAATTTAAAAAGTTATTGTGGGTGGCCATTTTTCTTATACAAGGTACATAGTATATTTTGTGCTTTTATATCAAGCACACAAAATCATATGATTTTCATTGTACTGTAAGAGGTCACCAGAGAACAAACCCATTATATTGGGACAGGGAACAACGTTCAGGACTGTCCTTCGAATCTAGGACTGTGCAGGGGTATGAGGTTGAGTGTCCAGGTCACCATGTTTATCCAGAGCACTTACCTTCTGTAGAACTTGAAATGGCTGCCCAGTAATATGTGGGATTAATTAAAGGGACACTCCAGATCCCTAAAGCACTTTAGCTAGCTAAAAAGCTTTATGTGTCAAAAGTATGTCTTTTTTAATAGAAATTGACACTTTTATAAATTAACCTGGTTACATCCCTCTGGCTCTTCAAGTAGACAACAGGTTATGTTACTTCCTGGTTTGGTTAGCTCAGTGAGACTAAACTCAAGAGGCATCAATTGCCTAGGGTACCTGCCTTACAAAGCTCATTGAGCTGCATTGGGAAGTCTGTCATTGGACAGCTACAGAAAGTCTCGGCGGGGTTAGAAGGGGAGGGTTTGCAAAGGCTGCAGACAAGAGAACTGCAGGTTTTGCAAGCTGCTTTTAGATTTACCCCCAATAAAAAAAAATCCTAATTAAATGCATGCTGGTTTTCATTGAGGCTATATCTACTAAACGGTAAGTTTAATTTATTTTGTATTTGGACAGCGGAGTGTCCCTTTAAGTATTTAGATTAGGGACTGATTGTAGCGGAACACTGGTCACTCACAGACTATTTCCGCTGGTAGTCCAGGTGTGGCTCAGAAACAAGTAGTGTAATAGAATAATCCAACAGCGTAGCAAGCACAATCAGCAATACCATCCAATAATATCCTATCACCTTTCCCAATAACTGGACGACACACAGTATCAGGATCAGAACTGAACTAACTTTTAATCACACAACCCCTGCTTTAATGCAATGCTCCCATGCAAGGGAGCCACCCACAATAATTAGTACACATCTCCTCCCATCAGCTTATCTGTTAACAGAATTAAAATGTACATATTTTTCTCCAAGTTTTAGATGTACCCCAAATACATAGGGTACACCCGTAAATGGTGTATCCCCTGATAGCCCTGATCTGGGTGGATAACATATTCAAAAATCACCCAGATCGGACCATGGGTTCGGGAGTTATGGGGGTTTAAAGTTTTGACCGACTGCACAGGCAATAGTAGCCGAAAATATTTCCATATGTTTTGGCCTTGCTTTCAGTCTCCGTTCGTGGAATAAAAGTCACAAAATGTTTGTCATCCATGGCTATATTGGTGTTCGTGTGAATCCCCATGTTTGCATTGATCTTTCTACCGAACGGCGGCTTGTTCGGTAGTTTCGAATTTATGGATGTCTGGAGGTCTCAGCGGTGTTTGCCTAGTTGAGTGTCCGATTTTAGTTCCAGACACTCGACGGCAAAACACCGCTGTTCGGGAGATTAAGATGGCCGCCGCCGCGTGTAAAACTTCCGAAATGGCGGCCACCCAGGAACTTAACAGAGCGTTCGTGAGTTTCCACTTAAGAGGTAATAAAACGAATTGGGAGGTTGATTGAAGCCACACTTTGCATCAGGGTGGTCTGGTGTTCGGTAGATTTAGTTCGTACGATGAATGCGGTGGGTCAATATAGTTTTATGGGGACAATCAAACGAATGCTTCATACACTGAATATATATATAGCAGCAAAGTACCGAAAGCATTTTAAACACCCAGTTTTGCAGACAGCTCAATGTCCTTTGCTGCATAAGTTATATAGTTCAAAGTCTCTGCAATATTATAGTATATGTCCTTGGCTGGTTCTTAAAGGGCCAGTAGTGCCATTCAAAATCCCATTAAGCCCAGCCATTGTTTTTAAAGGGTCCCATCTTCCCGGGACCATAATCACCGGGCAGCGGCCGAGCAAGCAGCCCCCTCCAGGAAACCGGGGCAGACTCTTGTACAGGGGCTAGTCCACTACACTGATTGTCACGGAAGCTCCCGTCCCACAGCCTTCTGGAGAGGCATAACAGCTAGCCTCCTGCCCACAGACTGTGGGTCTGGTCACAGACTTTAAAATGATATAAAGGACCCAAACCAAACTACCACGGTTTTTCAGTTGGAGACCCGATCCTGGCATCAGATGCTTTCCTACACTCATGGCCTAACACTTGACATTACGCTTTTCCTCCATTTGCTCTGATTGCCTGGACACTTCTCCACCTCTGGCGTTACTGGACTTCGCTAATTCTCATATGCCCTCGACGGCTCAGCCCTGGTTCCCTACGCTCATGGAAATGTCCATAGATTACTCGATATTACTCCTGGTCTTCTCTGATCTTTTGCTGGACTCCAACGGAAACATTCATCCGCTTCTACTCCAGGGGCATCTCAGGCTATTGGCTTGGCTCCTTTCCGGGGATTCAGTCTCCTCACAGAATTTTCACGAAGAACTCTGGATCTCTTGGCAGGAGCTTGGGCTCCGGGAATAAGGAAATCCTTCCTCCATTCCTGGAACTCATGGAATGGTTGGTGCATGGAACAACAATTGGATCCCTTATCTATGCCTGTGAGTCACGTTTTGAGTTTCCTCACTTCACTTTTGAACGTAGATTGGCATATTGTACGGTGAATCTTTATAGATCCGATGTATCGGCAGGCCACCAAGGTAGGAATGGATTCCCAGCAGGGCAACACCCCTTAGTGTGTCAACTGCTTCGTGGCATCAGATTTGCACGTCCACCTCGTCTTAAATATTCCTCGGTATGGGATGTGAACATCGTTCTCAGATTGTTTGATAACTGACATCAGAATAAAAACCTTTCACTCAAACAGATCACGGCTAAATTGGTCATGTTATTATGCTTAATTTCCTGTAAACATGTTTCAGATGTTCGTGCACTGGACTTTACGTTATCTAGATGGGTTAAATGGATTATGACATCAGCTGACATTGACACTTCCACGTATGGAGCACACTCTGTTAGAGGCAGTATAGCATCAAAAGCCTTCTCGTTCGGATGCAGACTGGAAGACCTTCTACTCGCTGCTGATTGGTCCTGAGAATCTACTTTTCGGGAGTTTTATTTTCGTTTTTTTTTCCTTCTACGGTGGTGACACAGCTTTGAACTAGCATAATATGAGCCTCCGTGTCCTTTAATAAAATTACCAGATTTGACTAATTTTATGACGTAAAGTCATGATTTTATTAAGGACACGGAGGCGAGTATTATCCCATCCGGTAAAGGTAAGTTGCGCCCTCCCTACGTCACTAATGGGCATTTAACCTCTATGACATTGTTGGTTATGTTTTGATTTACCTAATTCATGTTAATTTAATGTTTACAATAGACATTTTGATACATAATTACTAAATTGTGGATGTATTGATGTAATTACAGTCCTGGAGCATATTTTACCACTTATTTCTCTGTTTCTTACAGCCTCATAATTGGTCCTCTATACCGATACCAGTCGTTTCATGAAAGTTTGAGCGTTTGTTTCACGGTTCCTTGAAATACGGTTCTATGGTTCAAATATTTGGAAGCAAGGTTCTTCACATCTAATTCGGCCTATGGTTCTGGTCTGTTGGGATGTTCGTCGGTACATCGAGAAAGAGGAGTGGCTTAATATCACATGGGACATTATGGTGCAAGGAGCATTATCATTGGATAATATGTTTATAATGTATTTAACACTTTGGGGTACATGTTATTTTGTTTTCTTTGAATATTTCAATATCCTTTCTTTGCTGCTGAGGAATAAAGAAAGAGATTAAGCATAATATGAGCCGCCGTTTTCTTAATAAAATCATGACTTTAAGTCATGAAATTAGTAAGATCTGGTAATTATCTCTCAAACACAATGGCTTGTGGGAAGGAAACCCCTGTGATTTTGAATTAGAAACCCCATGCTAGGGGCACTGCATAAGAAGCTGAGTGTGGCCTAATAAAGTTCAGATTACCCAATACGACTGGCCTTGTCTACTATATTGGGGAATTTTTACAAGGTTACAGAGGGCTAGAATCACCGTATGCTGTAGCTGAATCCAGGAGCAGCAGAGGATTAGACAAGCGGTGACCAAGGGACACTAAGAGACCCCGGAACCCGTGGTATTTTAGCCAAAATTACAGAACACTTTCATCACTTTCAAAACATGCTGACAGAATGACGTAACAGCACATACATGGCGATATGAAACATTAATTGATATTTTTGGATACCTGCCTATCCCACTCTTTGTACATAGTGCTATATAAACATTATAAAGGGAACTGGTATCTTTATAATTTCACACAAAGTATGGTATATCTTATTCCACTGATTGTGGCCATTTGGCTTCTTACAAGCTTATTCACTGATTTTTCCATTTAGGTAGCTTGTTACCTAAAATTTTTAATTCATTTTGAATTTATGGGAATTCACATCCTGGTGAAAAAAAGTTGACAGTGCTGGACTTTGCAATTACTAAGTGGAGATTCACAAGCATGTAATAATTTGTGTTTTTGTGTGTTTACAATGACTCTAACTTATCTGACTGATCACCAATTCAGTATTATTGGTTTAAGTTCACTGCTGATCAAACAAGTCAAATATATTAAAAGATCAGGAAAATAGCCAGGATATGAAATTCAAACAAATTATTGAAATAAATACATCTGTCTTGATCTCTTATATTTAAATTGGTTATACAATATGTTTATATGATCTTATACACTGAAAAGACATAACATTAAAACCACCTGCCTCATTTTACGTAAGGTCCCCTCATGCTGCCAAAACAACTCTGATGCATAGAGGCATGGACTCCACAAGACCTCTGAATGTGTCCCCTGGTATCTGGCATCAAGACATTATCTGCAGAACCTTTAAGCCCTGCAAATTGGGAAGTGGTTCCACCATGGGCACTCTGACCGGTCTGCGGCTAAGCAAACCCATTTGCAGCAAACTGTGACACTTCTGACACCTTCTATCATGATCAACATTAAGTTTTCCAGCAAATTTTTCGGACCAGACCGGCGAGCCTTCACTTCACACGTGCATCAAAGAGCTTTGGGCGCCCATGACCATATTGCTAGTTCACCTGTTGCCCTTGTTTGCACCACTTTGGTAGGCACTGCATCCCGGGAACACCCCACAAGACTCGCCGTTTTTTGAGATGCTCTGACCCAGTCGTCTAGCCATCACTACTTGGCCTTTCCTTGTCAAAGTCACTCTTTTCACTTGCCCATTTTTCCTGCTTCCAACACATGACTGTTCCTAATATGCCACTTTCTAGGTAAAGTTTAATTGCTGCCTAATATATCCCACACTTGACAGGTTGCCATTGTAACGATATAATCAAATGTTATTCACTTAACCTGTTAGTGTTTTTAAGGTTGTGGCTGATCAATGTGCTTACTGTCATCTAGTGTGACAATAAAGCTGGGCAAAATATTATGACATCATAAGGTGTTCTAACCAATCTTAGTTCCCGCTGGCCACCAACTTTTGTTTATTATAGCTGTGATGTCACATAGCTGGTGTGCTCTGCAGGTCATTAACCAGGAAGTCTCAGGATGGGAAGGCTGCCATTGGTTCTGGCATTCACTATTATCCTAATATGCCACCTTCTAGGTAAATTTACATTTTCACGATATAAATTAACCAAGTATTGCTGTGTAGGGCAGTGTGTCATTAGTCTATGAGTAGATAGACAGTGTCCCTATTTAGGAAAAAAGTCTATATTGTGAGCCCAAGCCCCTCGGCCCCTCGGCCCCTCATTTCAATCCTAATGCCATCTTTTGTTGGAAATTTAATATATTTGGTGTGTCCGAGTGTATAAAAAAGCTTCAAAGCTGAAAAATGACAATAATTTGCCTCTAAATTACAATAAATGTGCTTAGAAATCAGTTTGTAGAAATAAGATACTGTGGCCTTGTTCTAAATGACATTTTCAGTTATATCAATGTGTCATAATGTTATTTAAATTGTGCCTGAATTGACGCCTCACCTCCAGCAACTCCCCTTAATATAAAGCTGTCAATCTGACTGTTTAAAATGGTGAATGTTATGGAATTATACCAAGTGATAAGAATACATAACGGGGAGATAAATAAATGTCACATATATAGAATTAATCTTATTTCTTTTAATCTTATTATTATTTCTTTTTATTCTTTTTATTTTGCTAAATAAAGTTATTGTAGATTAAAATTCAGACTTAGGCAAACACTGGGTAAGGTTAATTGGAGTTATATCCCGCATATGTTGTTTAGCAATTGTCTATCCCATTCATGAGATGCATATTTTAACTCCCACTGCCTCAGCCAGAATCTCACTGAGCATGATGGCAATTGTAATGCAGCACAGGTAGGCAACTATTTTACAATCTGTTAATGGGACATTAATTCCCCAAAGAGAGCCTTGTATTTTTTCCCACTTCTATCCTTGGCACATAGAAAGGGCAGAGTTCAAAAACCTGAACCGATTTCTGTGTTTTTCGTTGTCAGCTTGTTAAGGAGTTGATATGTCTGAGAGTCAGGCAGCAGAACCTTAACAGTGTCAGGATAATTCACTAAATTCAAACATTTGGCTCATTAAATTAGAGTAATTAAAACTTGAGCTAAAATAGGCTCCAGTTGAATTGGAGATCTTTGTCCAAATCAGCCATTTTAGCACATATTTCTCCATTCAGATCTAAGTTGCTAAAATTTGTAGTTTTGCAAATTACCCTTTGTTCATATCTAACAAAATTGGAAAGTATGCGATCAGGACAGGTATGGGGGCGGCAGTTTTGGGGATACAGAGCCCCAAATATGTGTATTTTTATTCTGTGTGCTGCTCCATGATGGTCTGCATGTTGAATCTCAGCCAGGAGCATAAGCAGCACATTAGCGCTGAGACTCAACAAGGAGACTAGGAGGGAGAACTTCATAGAGGGGATACCGCACAGATTCGGTGCCTGGCCTGGATAAACGGGTTGCAGGACACCTTCCACCCCCGACAACCAGGTACGGAATATTGAAAAATATTTTTGAAATATTTTTTATAGTGTACTTATGTGGTGTGTATTTGTTTGTATGCCTGTGTCTATGTATGCTTGTGTGTAATAATAGGATATGTAATACTGAACCTCATCACGGGATTTTTGAGGGGCCTGCTGGCCAGCCTCTTACCTCAGGACTATTGCCCATGTGTTAGACTTTGGTTCAGGACTATGAAAGGGCTTTGTGCGTGCCTTTTCCCTTGTCTGGTTCTGTATATAGGATTTACCGAACGGATTATAATTATGTTGCTCGTATGCCAAACCAACTACCAAAGAGTTGGACCACCTGGAAGTGGAGTGTGTCACTTGTTAACCCTATTGACCTCGTTAACAAGCTCTAACCGCAACATTCTAAATGGTCGGCTAATGGCTGCCGTTCGTATGGACGAACACATGGCAACGGCCATCTTTAGCCGCGAACACATACCTCAAGTTCATAGAACTATAATCGGACACCCGATGGCGCGAATACCGCTGGGACTTCCATCTCTTTGTACGCTCTTTGTAAGCTGGATTCACTTGAGAAGAGCAACGTTCGGTGGAAACACACTCCCGAACAAGGGCCACAGACTAAGTGTACATACGAACTGGTTGCATTCATATTTCTGATGTATCGTGAACTCCCGAAAGAAACCGACTGCACAGCCTGATTTCATGGAACTCTTTTGGGGGAATGGGCCTCATGTGCGGTTGGTCAAATTATGACCTCCATGGAAATCCCGAACCCCTGAGCTGAACTGCCTGATTTTTGGATATGTTAGTCCCCCAGATCTGGGCTATCAGGGGATGTGACTTTTATGGGGTTTCCATGTGTTTTGGGGGGGTACTTTCGGGAGGTTGTTAAAATGTATATTTTCTGTGCCTGGAGATAATTGAGTTTATTACAGTTCCTGACCCAATTATCTCTCAGGTACTTGGGAGGTATTATCCTGTTTTGTGTGGGAGTGTCCTGGACCTGACAGCCAATGTAATTACAGTGTGTACTTTGTCACAGTCCCCTCTTAGGTCCAGTGGGGAATGCCCCTGGAATATGTTTGAGTAAACCCCTTGCAGGGGAACCTGCATATAAGGCCAATTGTGGCTGCCATTAAACGAGTTTCTCTTCACCCTCAACATAGAGCCTCATCTCTGTGGAGGGGACAGCTAGATTGTTATAATCACTATACTCCCTTGGATTACAAAACTTGCTCTTGTAAAAGCAGCCTGCTTTACACTCTGGAAGCTGGATCCTCATCCTGGGTCTAGAGTGGGTGGAGGACAGCGAGACCCTAAGCTGCAATGATGACTGTGGGGTTTACGGTGGTTATGGTGTCTGGTGCAGTGTTTATGGTACTCAAGAATTACTAGGAAGCAGTAATTGGCGGTGGCACCAGTGGTCCGTCACAGTGTGTGTCTATATATGCCTGTATGTGCCTGTCTGTGTACATCTGTACATGTATGTCTATGTACGTGTATGTCTGGTTGTGCCATTGTCTGCCTGTGCCTGTATGAACTTGTATCTGTCTGCTTGGGTCTGTGTGTGCACCTCTGTCTATATGTGCCCTGCGTCTTTATGTATGCATCTGTGAATTTGTGTGCCTTAACATGTATGTCTTTATGTACGTATCTGTCTGAGTATGTTGAGAGACATATATTGCAGTTCTTGAAGGGTGGCATTTGAGAAAGACCCAGGTGTGGGATTTTGAGTAGGGTTTACCAAATTTGTTTTAGACTCAAACCCCTGGTATATGAGCATAGCAACACCACTGATTAATATTTATCCATTATCGCTATACAGAGCATGCAAACTGCAAGGCAGGACGTAAAAAGAAGCATCACAAGACCAGGACGCACACTACAGTCAGTGAACCAGGTACCCAACTATCTGCGGGTAGCCTGTATTTCCCCATTCTCTTTCACGGTGCCCAACAGGTCAACGTACTGCATCCCCTCCATATACCATGCGTTTCCTCACCTTCCACTCCCTGTATCCTGCATTCCCTCACCTCAACTTCCCTGTACCCTGCATTCACTCACTTCCCCCGTTACTGTATCCTGAATTCTCTCACCTCACCTTCCCTGTACCCTGCATTCACTCACTTCCCCCGTTACTGTATCCTGAATTCTCTCACCTCACCTTCCCTGTACCCTGCATTCACTCACTTCCCCCGTTACTGTATCCTGAATTCTCTCACCTCACACATTCTATCCCCTCCCATCCCTGTACTGTACATTTGCCTCACTTCCCTCCCTGTACCCTGCATTTCCCTTACCTTTCTCTCCCTGTACCTGTTCCACTTACCTTTCCCTCCTTGTGCACATTCCCTTACCTTTCCCTCCTTGTACCCTGCATTCCCTTACCTTTCCCTCCTTGCATTCCCTTACCCTGCATTCCCTTACCTTTCCCTCCCTGTACCCTGCATTCCCTTACCTTTCCCTCCTTGTACCCTGCATTCCCTTACCTTTCCCTCCTTGTACCCTGATTCCCTTACCTTTCCCTCCCTGTACCCTGCATTCCCTTACCTTTCCCTCCTTGTACCCTGCATTCCCTTACCTTTCCCTCCCTGTACCCTGCATTCCCTTATTCCTTTACTCCTGTACCCTGTATTCCCTTACCTTTCCCTCCCTGTACCCTGCACTCTCCCTCCTTGTACCCTTTCCCTTACCTCTGTATTCCCCTTTCCCTCCTTGTACCCTGCATTCCCTTACCTTTCCCTCCCTGTACCCTGCCCTTACCTTTCCCTCCCTGTACCCTGCATTCCCTTACCTTCCCTCCTTGTACCCTGCATTCCCTTACCTCTCCCTCCTTGTACCCTGCATTCCCTTACCTCTCCCTCCTTGTACCCTGCATTCCCTTACCTCTCCCTCCCTGTACCCTGCATTCCCTTACCTCTCCCTCCTTGTACCCTGCATTCCCTTACCTTTCCCTCCTTGTACCCTGCATTCCCTTACCTTTCCCTCCTTGTACCCTGCATTCCCTTACCTTTCCCTCCCTGTACCCTGCATTCCTTTACCTCTCCCCCCATACCCTGAATTTCCTCTCTGCCCTCTCCCTGTATCCTTCCTCATTATATTCATTAATGTCACTTTAATCCCATCCTTTCTCTCCCCAGAAGAGGAAGAAGAGTTATCAAATACAACACATCATTTTCGGAGACAGGAATCTGAGGAGCCCAGAAAAGGAGCTCCCTGGTATGGCATAGGTAAGGGTATCCAAATATTATCCAGCTTCTCTAGTCACCACAATTCTCTGCTGATATACTTACACTATCCATGTTTCTTGCAGTAATCGCTTTACTTTTGCTGATACTCGTTGGTTTTCTAATCTATAAGTGTTTCCATCCAAAGACTATATTCAAGCAATTCCTGTAAGTAATCACAATCTATGTAAACATATAACCTTTTAATACTCCATAGTCCATACTCCTGTGTGTTGATTGGTAAATCACTTGTAATGAATTTCATCAATCTCCAATGGATTTGTTAGAGATGGCAGTTAGAAGAACATCTGAGCCTTTTCTGAAGGCCAAAATCCAGGGGTAACTAGAAACTACAGGACCCATTTTCAATTCCTTCATCCCTCAAAAAAGTGTGGTCCTTTCTCAATATTAACCCATCACCTTCTGTCTCTCTACACATTCTCCCATCTCCATCCTCTCTCTCTCTCTTAATATTCTTCCATTTCCACCTTCTGTCTCTCTCTCCACATTGTCCGATCTCCACCTTCTGTCTCTCTCCATATTCTCGGATCTCCACCTTCTGTCTCTCTCCATATTCTCCCATATCTACTTCCTGTCACTCTCCAGATTCTACCATATCAACTTCCTGTCTCTCTCCATATTCTCCCATATCTACTTCCTGTCTCTTTCCATATTCTCCCATATCTTCTTCCTGTCTCTCTCCATATTCTTTCATTTCCACCTCCTGTTTCTCCCCACATTCTACAATCGCCTCTTTCTGTCTATTTCTCCGCATTCTCCCATTGCCACCTTCTGTCTCTCTCTCCACATTCTCCCATCTCTACCTTCTGTTCCTCTCCACATTCTCCCATCTCCACTTACCGTCTCTCCCCACATTCTCCAATCTCCTCTTTCTGTCTCTGCACATTCTCCAATCTCCACCTTCTGTCTCTCTCTCCACATTCTCCCATCTCCACTTACCGTTTCTCCCCACATTCTCCAATCTCCTCTTTCTGTCTCTCCACATTCACCCATCTCCACTTTCTGTCTCTCTCCACATTCTCCAATCTCCTCTTTCTATCTCTCTCTCCACATTCTTCCATCTCCACCTTGTGTTTCTCTCAGCATTCTCCGATCACCACCTTTTGTCTCTTTCCACATTGTCTGATCTTCACTTTCTGTGTCTCTCTTCACATTCTCCGATCTCCACTTTCTATCCCTATCTCCATATTCCCCCCTCTCTCACTTTCTGTCCCTCTCCATATTCACTCCTGCCATCTTCAATTTTCTCCCTGTTTTCTTCTCTCCCACATTATTCTCTAAATGGTGACAACCTACTGGCCATCCGTTTTCTGCCTGAAGTCAGATAAAAACTGTTTGCCTTTACCATAGTCTCAAATACTTCTTTACTAACAGGGTTATTTATCAAAGTGAGAATTAAAAGTCAATTTTAAATTTAAACCCGGATGAGCCAAAATGAAAGTATAGCTAGCTTGAAATTTGAAATTCACTTCTTTTGTGAATAACCCTGTATTTGTTGCTACTTTATAGTATTGTTTATTACCTTTGGTTACATTATTTTACCAATTGTTTCTACTATTTATATTTATACTTTTCTACCACTTAATTCTGTGCATACCCTTCAACACCTCCCCCAACACAAGTTGAATAGCATGTTTTCTACTGTGAATTTATGCTGTGTCTATGCTTTCTTCCATTGCCATGAACACATTCTGTTTAAGGTTTCCCATAACAATAATTTAACCCCATAAGAACCAAACTTCTGGAATAAAAGGGAATCATGACATGTCACACATGTCATGTGTCCTTAAGGGGTTAAAGGGACACTATAGTCATCAGAACAACTACAGCTTAATGAATTTGTTCTGGTGAGTAGAATCATTCCCTTCAGGCTTTTTGCTGTAAACACTGTCTTTTCAGAAAAAATGCAGTGTTTACATTACAGCCAAGTGAGAACTTCAATGGCCACTCCTCGGATGGCTGTTAGAGATCCTTCCTGGGTCATGGCTGCCTAAAATGCATCCAAACATTCAGTGTCTCCTCCCTCTGCATGCAGACACTGAACTTTCCTCATAGAGATTCATTGATTCAATTCATCTCTATGAGGAGATGCTGGTTTGGATCATGCTGGCTCAGCCCCTGGTCTGCCTCTTTGTCAGTCTCAGCCAATCCTATGGGGAAGCATTGTGATTGGATCATGCTACCACTTCTGATGATGTCAGCAGACTGCTTTTTTTCTGAGGCAAACAGCATGCAGATCCACAGCTTCTGGCTTGAATAAAGTAAGATTTTGCTATATTTATGAAGGCATGAGGGACCCAGGGGGGCTAGATGGTGGTTTTAACACTACAGGGTCAGGAATACATGTTTGTGTTCTTGACCCTATAGTGATCCTTTAAGAATAAGTGTTTCGACCACGTCTTGTGTTTGAAGAGAGCATATTCGAGCTCTTTTTAAAGGGACACTATAGTCACCAGTGCAACTACATGTATTCCTGACCCTATAGTGTTAACACGACCATCTAGCCCCCCTGGGCACCTCATGCCTCCATAAATATAGTAAAACTCTTACTGTATTCAAGCCAGAATCTGTACATCTGCATGCTGATAGACTCAGGAAAAACAAGCAGTCTGCTGACATGTGATAGCCTGATCCAATCACAATGCTTCCCCATAGGATTGGCTGTGACTGACAAGGAGGCAGATCAGGGGCAGAGCCAGCATGATTCAAACACAGCCCTGGCCAATCAGCATCTCCTCATAGAGATGAATAGAATCAATGAATCTCTATGAGGAAAGTTCAGTGTCTGCATGCTGTGGGAGAAGATACTGAATCACAGGATGCTCGTGCACAGCATATTATGCCTCCAACAACTCCGAGGTCCCTCTGGTTCACTCTGAGTGACAGCAACTGGAGGTGTTCCTAGTTTTCAATGTAAACACTGTATTTTCTCAGAAAATACAGCGTTTACATGAGAAAGGCGGCAGGGAGCTATAGTTCCCACCTGAATATCCTCATTAAGCTGAAGTTGTTCAGGTGACTATAGTGTCCCTTTAAGTTAAAAATGCCAGGATTTGGAAATGGACTGGAAGCAAGCTGAAAGAGAGAATTCAAAGACAAAACTGTTGGAAAGAAAGTTAGCTTTGTGCAAAGGTCGATGGATTTACCACTGACTCAAAGTGAAAATAACAATGGAATGTCTACTATGGAAGTTAGAATAGAGGGATCTCTAGAGTGAGGTTGGAAACAGTGTCCATCATGACCTATTTTCTTTGTACTCACTGTCACTGTAAGAAAGACATTCTGGTGGGACGCTCTGCAAAATCTGTCACCGTTTGTTTTTTTGAGACGTGCGTCATTGTGACGGTTTGTGACAATCTTCTCACTTCTCTGTCTCAGGAACACGCATCTTCCATTTTATTGTGAAGTATAAGATCTCTTTTTATTTTCTTGGTGGAGTTTGTGGTTTTTTTTTTTGTTGCACTAGAAACCAATTGGGCACCTTTTTTGTTTCTCCGACGGTCCTCTTGTTTCTCTTTGCAGATAATTGTTTCACAATGTGCATATTCACTGTGTCCCAAACACAGTGCACATATCTCTGTGTCACATCTTATAAGATTCTGGTTTTCTGCTATACAGTTAGGTGCGGAAATATTTAGACACTGACACAATTTTCATCGTTTTGGCTCTGTACGCCACCACAATGGATTTGAAATGAAACAAACGAGATGCAATTGAAGTGCAGACTTTCAGTTTTAATTCAAGGGGTTGAACAAAAATATCATATGAAACTTATTACGCTTAGCAAGTGCAACCATTATCTTATACTGTCCCCTTATTTCAAATGTAATTGGACAAATTAAAACAATCATATAAAAAGTGTTAATTTTTAATATAATTTTGTCGATAATCCCTACATGCAATGACTGCTTGAACATGGATATCACCAAACACTAGGTTTCCTCCTTTGGGATGCTTTGCCAGGCCTTTACTGCAGCTGTTTTCATTTGTTGCTTGTTCATGGGTCTTTCTGTCTTAAGTTTTGTCTTCAGCAAATGAAATGCTCGATCGGGCTGAGATCAGTTGATTGACTTGGCCATTGCAGAATATTCCACTTCTTAGCTTTAAAAAAACTCTTGGGTTGCTTTCACAGCATGTTTTGGGTCATTGTCCATCTGTAACGTGAAGCGCTGTCCAATCAACTATGCAGAATTAGGCTGAATCTGAGCAGACAATATATCCCTATTCACTGAATTAATCCGGCTGCTTCTGTCCCAACATCAATAAACACTAGTGACCCAGTGACACTGGAAGCCATGCATGCCCATGCCATCACACTGCCTCCACCATGTTTTACAGATGATGTGGTATGCTTTGGATTATGAGCCGTTCCAAGCCTTCTTCGTACTTTTTTTCTCCCTATCATTCTGGTACCGTTTGATCTTAGTTTCATCTGTCCAAATGCTGTTCAGAACTGGGCTGGCTTTCTTAGATTTTTTTTTGGCAAAGTCTAATCTGGCATTTCTATTCATGTTTTTTTATGACTGTTTTGCTCCTTGTGCTGAACCCACTTTATTTGCTCTCGTGAATTCTTCTCTACACAAGTCTGTCTTTAGTCTTCTCGTGAAATGTTCTTTACTTGGCTGGATATCAAAGGATCCTACGATCATCCACCACTGTTTTCCATGGACGTCCAGGCCTTTTTGTGTTGCAGAGCTCACCAGTGCAGTCTCTTTTTCTCAGAATCTACCAAACTGTTGACTTGACCACTCCTAATGTTCCTGTTATCTCTCTGATAGATTTTTGCAGCCTAATGGTGGCCTGTTTTACTTGAATTTAGAGCTTCTTTTGGCCACATGTTGTGGGTTCACAGCAACAGCTTCCAAATGTGAATACCACATCTGGAATAAACTCCAGAACCTTTACCTGCTTAATAAAGAAATAACAAAGGAATAGCTCACACCTGTCT